TAGCTGAAATTTCTAATAGGTCTGAAAGGGGGTATAGATAGATTCATCTAAAAGATTATTAACAGAAATAGATAATCAAATCTTCTTTCTGTTCTTCTTTTTTATTTTAGTAGAAGTATAAAAGTCTAATACTCCTACTAAGAAATTAAAGCTAAGTAGAAAAATAAATAAAAAATTGCTGTAAATAAAACTTTGAACCAATATATAAATGGTGCAAATATTTAAAAAGGCAGAATGAATTATTAGCTTTCCTTCGTACAACTTTTAAAATTTCATTATGATTTAATTGGTTAAAATCCATAGAATTGAGAAATTGATAAAAATCATGGCTATATAAAATTAATTTTACAAACTTTTAGCTGATAAAGAGAGCAAGTAGATATTTATGCAAGCAGTAGGCAAGGTGGTAACTATCAATTAAACAAGCATTCAAATTGCTTAATTTTTCATTGATCTACAAACACAATACCATTCACTTTATAAGGAACCAAAGTAAATAAAATGGATTGATTCTCTCTTTCAAATTATTGAAAACTTGAGATGAGAGCAGTAAATTTTGAATACATCCAAACAATTATTATAGCATAGACTGCATTTATATTTGCTAAGTTACACAAATTCGTATAAATGAAGTAAAGATATTGAAACACTTGATAATACTCCTAAGAGAAAGCTTGTATTTCTTTTGTTAAAACACTCAAAGCATATCCTATTTGCTTTTTAAGTCTACTTTTATTTTAATAGATAAATTTTAATTAACCATAAAAATAAGGCGATCAAATGAAGAGATGGAAAATAAAAAAATAAAAAAATCAAGAAAGACCAATTCTTTTACATTATTTCTTTTGCATATCTAAATATTCCATATAATTTTTGAAAACAGTAGAAATTTACCCTTTAACTAACAACTTATATTCATCAATTTACACTTCCAATAACAAAGAGCTTATCTTTCAATTGTAGTAATTTAAAATGAATGAGCATCTATATCAGAATATGAAAAAAAAAAAACATTGTTTTTTCCGCAAAAGCACTGTCATTTTTCTTCATTCTTTAAATTCAAATTTTATTTTACATTTTTGTAAAAAAAGTTAAATCAAGTATAGCTAATCCTGTAATTAAAATATCAGGAACTGTGTAGGTACATACAGATGGTGATATGTTATTTAATTTTTATGATTTTAAGCTAATTTTTCAAAAAAGACCAATTTTTGAACTTTTTGGTGGGGCTCTAATTGGTATATTACTGTGATTGTATATTAAATTTTAAGAGAGAGTAATAATAATTTTATTCTTAACATTTTAAAAAAAACACTCAAATCAATATATTTTTATTTTAAAAAAAATTTATTGAAGAGCTAGCTATATTGTTTTTATTAATTGTATTTGTTTATTTACTTAAATGCTTTATAACTTACTATTGTAATTTGAAAGTTGAGTATGAAAAAGTAAATAAAAAATAAATAATTTTGATTTTGTTGTATGATAAAATTATTAACCAATTTTCAAATCATTAGAACATAAAATTAATATTTATAGACCAACAGACAAAAGTTGATTAATTTTTTTATAATTGCTGTTTTAAAGATATTTTTATGAAAAATTAACTTCAAATAAGCATAACTAAAGAGAAAAGCAAAGAAACTATGGGTAAAATGTAAGTGGAAGATGTTGAAGCAGCTTTGCAAACATTAGTAGCAGAACCAGCTGGGGCAGTTTATCCAGATGGGCATGCAGTACATCCACTGGCACCAGAAGCGGTAGGAGTACCATAAAAGTTAGCTTTACATTAACAAACAGGAGGAGTAGCAGAGTTGAGGGCAGCGTTAGTATCTGGACAAGCGCATGAACCAATAACAGTTGTACCGGCGGTAGAAGTTGTTCCAGTTGGGCATGCAGTACATCCAGTAGCACCACCAGCGACGGCATTAGGTGTACCGTAGAAGTTAGCCTTACATACACAAGCACTGTTATCAGCCTTGAGGGAAGAGTTAGTATCGTTGCAAGCGCATGAAGTAACAGCAGTTGAACCAGCAGCAGCGGCAGAACCAGTTGGGCATGCAGTACATCCAGTAGCACCACCAGCGACGGCGTTAGGTGTACCGTAGAAGTTAGCCTTACATTAGCAACCAGAGTTATCACCCTTAAGGGAGGCATTAGTATCATTGCAAGCGCATGAAGTAACAGCAGCTGTACCAGCAGGGGAAGTAGTACCAGTTGGGCATGCAGAACATCCAGTAGCACCACCAGAGACGGCGTTAGGTGTACCGTAGAAGTTAGCCTTACATTAGCAACCAGAGTTATCACCCTTAAGGGAGGCATTAGTGTCATTACAAGTGCATGAGCTGACAAGAGTACCTGAGGCAGTGGCAGCAACAGAATTAGTTCCAGTTGGGCATTTTGTGCAAGATCCAGAAGGAGTGACATCGGTAGAAGTACCATAATAACCAGCATTACAGAAACAAGTACCTCCAGCACCAGCAGTAGCGTTAGTATCAGTACAAGCGTTTACTGTAGCAATTACAGCTAATGAAATAAGTATCAAAGAAGTTGCTTTCATTTTTTTTTTTTGCAAAATTAGTTTATATTTATTTGTATTTTTTATTTTTATTAAATCTTTATAATTTTAGTTTGCTCTATTTTCAAATTAACACAGTTGAGCTGGGATAGTTTGAAGATTTTTTATTCATTCGTTTATCAATTTCCCCTCTTTATATTAATTATCTTGAATTTAAAATAAATGATCAAAAGGGTAGGCTAATTTATTATCAATGATAAAAAACTAATATTTTAAAAATTAACTTATTTGAAGCATCTACCTAAATATATCAAATATAGTATAATAAAGGTTCTAAATGAAAAAAAACATATTTGAAAATAAGAAATTTTCATATCATATCATAAACTTATTTTTTTTATGCTAATTATTTTTTTTGCATTAAAAATCATTTAATTTCATTTGTTTAAAAGATGATTTTTTTAAAGTTGAAAATCCAAAAATACTAAATTTTACTAAACACAAAATAAAATAGAAAATTATTATTTTTTATAAATTTTGCTTATGAATTAATCATTCAAATTAGGAAAGAATTAAAAATGAAATGCTTTATTCTACTTTATTACTAACTAACAAATAGAAAATATGTTAAAGTTTTAGGAGAATACGGTAGGCTTTTTATAAATTAGATTTGCAAATAAAATATTGATTAATTTTCTGATAAAATATTAAAAAAATATGTCTTCTAAAGAATTTATTAGAATAATAGTTAAAATAAAATATATATTGATTAATTTTCTGATATAATATTAAAAAAATCTGTCTTTTAAAGAATTTATTAGAAAAGTAGTTATTATATTTTCTCATTAAATCTTAGCTTAAGTTGTCTTCTCAGGGTGTGAAAAAATAATTTGTCTTGTATATTTTTTCATGAATTTTTATTTATTTCCACTTACAATTTTTGGAAGGGAAAAATCAGCAGTAATATCAATGAAGAAAGTTTAAATTAAAAAAAATCAAACTTAGAATGAAGAGAAGAATTGGGAGAAAAGAGGAGGAATTAATCAATTTCTATACTATCACTTAATTAAATTCTTAGTTCTGACGAAATATTAATAAAATTTGTCTTCACAAGAGCTGTAAAAGAAATGATCCTTTACTGATGAAATATTAACAAAATTTGTCTTTAAAAGCTTTGAATATAATAAATGCTTGATGATCTTCTGATGAAATATTAAAAAATGTGTCTTCTCTCTAATAAATATTTGCAAAATAATATAAATTTATTGTTTGTTTGTTATTATAAAAAAATAAATCAATGAAAAGCTCAAATTTATTTAAATGATCACACAAAATTTAACACTTAAAACATCATTTTTCTTAAAATTTATCATAGAAAAACTCATATTAAATTCATAAATCTTTAAAATTATTTATTATGATTAAGGAGCTTTAATTTTTGCTTTTACTTTCATATATTTGATTATATTTTAACAAAGATAATAAAAATTGACTAATTAATTAATTAAAATAGAAAGAAAGTAATATATAATAATATAAATAAAAGTTTACAGGCAAATATCATAAAATATTTATCAATTTATTAAATTGTATTAACTTTATTTATTTACAAACCAAAAATTGATAAAATTCATAATTTTTCTTTCACAATAACAATAATTTAATTTGAAAGTGTGCTTAGAGCTTTAAAAAAATTATTTCTAGCAAAAATTTGATAAATAATCAGATTGTAATAAATTTTCTATTGAATTAATACTCATAATAAGAAATATACCTAAATTTGATATAATACATTATTTTTTTTATAAAATTGAAAACGAGTGAGAGTATTTAGGATATTTTTTAATATAAAAATATATATATCTTTCTGATTAAATATTAATAAAATTTGTCTTCTTAAGAATTTATAAGTATCATCTAAATAATCATTTATTATTTATTTTGATTTCAGTGTGATTTTAATATTTATTTTGATTGGAAATACGGAGTTTATTTCTGCAAAAATATCTTTAATTCACAAAAATATTTTTCCAATAAAAGTTTGAGTTAGCTTCATCAAAAATATAATCATTAAAACTGAGAAAAAAATACTAAGATATTTAATTATGAAACAGTACAAATTTTAGATATATATTTGAATGATAAGATATTTTTTAACATTCTTCATCTTCTTCTTCTTTTGGATCTAAAATAAAGCAAATATTTAAAATAGCTTTTCATTTTTAATTGACAAACTTTTTATAATTATATTTGTTTTTTTACTCATTTATATGCTTATTATTACTTACTGTTGTAATTTGAAAGTTGAATGTGAAAAAATAAATAAAAATGAATTAATTTTTTATTTTGTTTTTTATTATAAAACTTTTAACCAATTTTCAAATCATTAGAACATAAATTTAATATTTATAGACCAACAGACAAAAATTGATTAAATTTTTAATAATTGCTGTTTTAAAGACATTTTTGTGAAAAATTAACTTCAAATAAGCATAAATAAAGAGAAAATCAAAGAAACTATAGGTAAAATGTATGTAGAAGCAGATTTGCAAACATTAGTAGTAGAACCAGCTGGAGCAGTTTATCCAGAAGGGCATGCAGTACATCCACTAGCACCAGAATTAGTAGGGGTACCATAGAAGTTAGCTTTACATTAGCAAACAGGAGGAGTAGCAGAGTTGAGGGAAGCGTTAGTATCGAGACAATTGCATGAGGTGACAAGAGTTCCTGAGGCAGTGGCAGCAGCAGAATTAGTTCCAGTTGGGCATTTTTGGCAAGATCCAGCAGCAGTTACATCAGTAGAAGTACCATAATAACCAGCATTACAGAAACAAGTACCTCCGGCACCAGCAGTGGCATTAGTATCAGTACAAGCGTTTACTGTAGCAATTACAGCTAATGAAATGAGTATCAAAGAAGTTACTTTCATTTTTTTTTACAATATTAATTTCTATTTATTTGAAATTTTATTAAATCTTTATAATTGAAATTTTGCTCTATTAAAAGAATAATACAGCTGAGCTAGGATAATTTGAAGATTACCCAATCGTTCGTTTATCAATTCTTCTTATTTATATTAATTATCTTTAATTTTAAAAAAATGATCTATAGGGTATGTTAATTTATTAATTAATGATACTTTATTCTAATGATAGTTTTTTTCAAGTTGAAATTCCAAAAGCTCTAAATCTATTTCTAAACACAAAATAAAATAGAAAATTTTTATTTTTTTATCAATGCTATGTTGTCTTGAAAATTTTTCCATAGATCATATATATTTATTGGATCTTACAGTTTTTGAATAAAAGAATCAATAAAAATATCAACAAGAAAATGATGAGAAAATTTGGGAGAAAAGAGGAGAAATTAATTAATTAATTTCTTTCTTTCTTTCTTTCTTTTTCACTTAGTTAAATTCTTAGATCAGACAAAATATTAATAAAATTTGTGTTCATAAGAGTTATAATAGATATGATCATTTCTTGATGAAATATTAACAAAATTTGTCTTTAAAATTTGAATATAATAAATATTTGCTGATCTTTTGATTTAATATTTAAAAAATGTGTCTCCTCTCTAATAAATTAAAAAATTATATATAAATATTTATAATATTGATTTTTCTTTGCTCAAAAATAAATAAAGGTTTACCCTATATTTTGCTTGAAATTTATTGTTTGCTTGCTATTATAAAAATACATTAATGAAAATCTCAAATTTATTTAAATGATTACATTAAATTTAATATTTTAAACATAATTTATCTAAAAATTGATCAGGATAAACTAATGCTGAATTTAAAATTATTTTTTTATGATTAAGAAACTTTAATTTTTGTGTATACTTTCATACATTTGGTTTTATTTGAACAAAGATAGTAAAAATTCGCTAATTATTTAAATGTAAAAGAAAGAAATAAATAAAAGAGAATAGAAAATGTATTGGGAATTATTCTAATCTATTTATAAATTGTATTTAATTTAATTTACAAACCAAAAATTAATCAAATTCATAATTTTGTTTACAGTAATAACAATTTAATTTGAAAGTACACTTAGACCTTAAAAGAAATTATTTCTCGGAAAAAATTTAGATAAATAAACAGATTGTAATAGATTTTCTATCGCATTCATACTAGTAATAAATATCTAAATTTAATATAACGCATTATTTTTAAAAAAATTTAAGCATGAGAGTATTTAGGACATTTTTTAATAAAAAATATATATATATATCTTTCTGATTAAATATTAATAAAATTTGTCTTCTTAAGAATTTATAAGTATCATCTAGATAATCATTTATTTTCGTTTAAGCGTGATTTCAATATTTATTTTGATTAGAAATCATGAATTTCTTTCTGCTATCATATCCTTAATTCACAAATATATTTTCCCAATAAAAGTATCAGTTACTTTCTTCAAAAAACTTAGTAATAAAAATACTAAGATATTTATGAATTAATTCAAATTAATTTTAGATATTTGAATGATGAAATAATTTTAAAATTTGTCATCTTCTTTTTCTTAAGGATTTATGATAAAAAAGTAGATTTCAATAGTAAAAAACATAAAACAAATATCCACTACGTGTGATGAGATATTTATTTATTAGGTCATATATTTCAAATCTAAATCTGATTAAATATTATTAAAATTTGTCTTCTTCAGAATTAGTTATCCATCTAAATAAAATTAAATTTCATTCTTTTATTTCAAATTTAATAAAATCTCTTTAAATCTCCGAAGAAAAAATGGATCATTTTTTCTCATTATCAAATATGTATATGCTTTATTCATTTATCTAAATAAATTAACTAATAACGAGTATATTAACGCTGATTTGGTAAATAATAGTTTTTATCTAGGCTATAATAAAATATTAATTTTAGAAAAAGTAGGAAGGAGGTATTTTTAAATAAAAACTTATTGATAATCAGCTGACATTATGTATATAAAGAAAAATTATTTAAAACTTTAAATACCTTTACGAATATACCCACCCACCCTCAAATTTATATGTTACAAATTTTTAATGTTATTTTTAAAAATTTCATTATTTTTTTTATTTAGTCTGATTGATTTATCAGATTTTTTAAAAATAATTCTTTATTCTTCATATTACTGAAATCAAAATAAGTCAAATAAATATTAATTATAAAAAGATATAATTGCATGTTAAATTTTAAGTGAGAACAGTAATAACTTTTTTCTTAACATTTTTAAAGAGTAGTATGAATAATACTCAAATCAGTATATTTTTATTTTTTATAAAAATTTGATTGAAGAGCTAGCTAGCTAGCTAGCTTGTAGCTTTTCATATTTATAGGCATACATTATTTAAATTTATTTGTTTGTTTGTTTGTTTATTTAACTACTTTTATGCTTACTATATTACTGTTGTATTTTATAATTGATTTTGAAAAAATAAATATATTTGAAAGAAGTAATATTTTATTTTGCTGTATGATAAAAATAATTAATCAATTTTCAAATCATTAGAACATAAAATTAATATTTATTGACTAACAGACAAAAATTGATTAAATTTTTAATAATTGCTGTTTTAAAGATATTTTTGTGAAAAATTAACTTCAAATAAGCATAACTAAAGAGAAAAGCAAAGAAACTATGGGTAAAATGTAAGTGGAAGATGTTGAAGCAGCTTTGCAAACATTAGTAGCAGAACCAGCTGGGGCAGTTTATCCAGAAGGACATGCAGTACATCCACTGGCACCAGAAGAGGTAGGGGTACCATAGAAATTAGCATTACATTAGCAAACAGGAGGAGTAGCAGTGTTAAGAGAAGCGTTAGTGTCTGGACAAGCGCATGAACCAATAACAGTTGTACCGGCAGTAGAAGTTGTTCCAGTTGGGCATGCAGTACATCCAGTAGCACCACCAGCGACGGCGTTAGGTGTACCGTAGAAGTTAGCCTTACATACACAAGCACTGTTATCAGCCTTGAGGGAAGAGTTAGTATCGTTACAAGCGCATGAAGTAACAGCAGTTGAACCAGCAGCAGCGGCAGAACCAGTTGGGCATGCAGTACATCCAGTAGCACCACCAGAGACGGCGTTAGGTGTACCGTAGAAGTTAGCCTTACATTAGCAACCAGAGTTATCACCCTTAAGGGAGGCATTAGTATCATTGCAAGCGCATGAAGTAACAGCAGCTGTACCAGCAGGGGAAGTAGTACCAGTTGGGCATGCAGAACATCCAGTAGCACCACCAGAGACGGCGTTAGGTGTACCGTAGAAGTTAGCCTTACATTAGCAACCAGAGTTATCACCCTTAAGGGAGGCATTAGTGTCATTACAAGTGCATGAGCTGACAAGAGTACCTGAGGCAGTGGCAGCAGCAGAATTAGTTCCAGTTGGGCATTTTGTGCAAGATCCAGAAGGAGTGACATCGGTAGAAGTACCATAATAACCAGCATTACAGAAACAAGTACCTCCAGCACCAGCAGTAGCGTTAGTATCAGTACAAGCGTTTACTGTAGCAATTACAGCTAATGAAATAAGTATCAAAGAAGTTGCTTTCATTTTTTTTTTTTGCAAAATTAGTTTATATTTATTTGTATTTTTTATTTTTATTAAATCTTTATAATTGAAATTTTGCTCTATTTTAAAATTAATACAGCTGAGCTGAATAATTTGAAGATTATTCATTCTATTGCTTAATAATTTGAAGATTATTCATTCATTCGTTTAATAATTTTCCCTCTTAATATTAATTGACTTGAATTAAAAATAAATGATCAATCGGGTAGGTAAATTTATTAATTAATTCATGAGAAAAACAAAATTTTTTAGATTAGCTTATTTGAAACATCTACTTTTATCAAGTATAGTATAATGTAGGTTCTAAATGAAAAAAAACAAATTTAAAAATATGAAATTCTACATTCATACCTTTAATTTATTTTTTTTTCATGAAAATTATTTTGTCATTTCGATTTTAAAATAACATTTAAAAAAAATCAAAATTCTAAAAGTTCTAAATCTTTCCATTTCTTAACACAAAATGATATAGAAAATTAATTGATGCTATTTTTTATAAATACTATTTTTGAATTAATCATTAAAAGTAGGAGAAAACTAAACATGAAAAGCTTTATTCAACTTTATTACAAGCTAATAAGTTGAAAATTTTCTAAATTTTTAGGAGAATATGGTAGGTATTTTAAATAAAATTTGCAAATAAAATATTGATTAATTTTCTGATAAAATATTAAAAAAATATGTCTTTTAAAGAATTTATTGGAAAGATTCTGGTAAAATATTAACATAAATTGTCTTCTGAGGATTTGTAAGAATAAGTCTATATTTTTTTTCATGTATATTAATTATATGGATGATAATATATATTGCATATAAAACATTCATCAAATAACAAATTAATATAACAGTCATATATATTTATTTTTACTTATAAAAATTGAAGGTTTAACAAGAACATCAATAAAGAAAGTTTAAAAAACAAAAATTTAATTTTGCATGAAGAGAAAATTTGAGAGAAAAGAGGAGGAATTAGTTTCCTTCATTATCACTTAATAAATTTTTCATTCTGATGAAATAATAATAAAATTTGTCTTCAGAAGAGCTTGTAATAATAGACAAAATCATTTATTGATGTAATATTAACAAAATTTGTCTTTAAAAGATTTGAATATAATAAATGTTTGATGGTTTTCTGATGAAATATTAACAAAATTTGTCTTCTAACGAATAAATTAGAAAAAATAAAATATAAATATTTATTTAGATCTTTGCTCAAAAATAAATAAAGGCTTTTTTTTTTAATTTACTTGACATTTGCTGTTTTGTTATTGTAAAAAAATACTTCTTTCAATCAAAAGAAATATTTATTTAAATAAATACAAGAGATTTTATTTTATCTTTAAATTGATTATGGATAAACCAATATTGAATTCATAAATTTTTAAAATATTTTTTATGATTAAGGAGCTTTAATTTTTCTGTATAAATTGATACATTTATACATTTTAAATTATTAGAACAAAGATAATAAAAAGTAACTAACTAATTCATTAATTTAAAAGTAAAAGAAAGAAAGAAAGAAATAAATAAATAAATACAGTAGTAACAACCAATTTTTACAAAAAATAAATTATTAAAGTCAAACATATTATACCATAAACTATCTTATAATCAATAATCTATAGTCTCTCCCTGGCTATCAATTACTTATTGCATTCTCATAAAAAAAAAAAAATTTTTTTGATAATTATTTATAAAAAATCTTGTAAAAATTGGCTGCTGGCACTGTAAATAAATAAATGAAGAGAATAGAAAATTTAAAGGCAATTATCATATAAAATATTTATCAATTCATTAAATTTTATTTATTCGTATTTAAAAACCAAAAATTGATCATATTGATAATTCTTTCTTTCCGTTAATAACAATTTTACTTGAAAGAGCGCTTTGAGCTTTAAAAAATTATTTCTTGCAAAAAAATTTTAAAAAACAAACAGAATATTTATTATAGATTTTCTAAAACATACATATCCATAAAAGGAAATTTATCTAAATTTTTTAAAGTTAATTAAATGCATTATTTTTCATGAAATAGAAAGATAGATACACAAGAGTATTTAGGAGATTTTGTAATTAAAAAAAAATAATATTTTTCTGATTAAATATTAATAAAAAATGTCTTCTTAAGAATTTATAAGTATCTTCTCGATAATTATTTATTTATTTATTTATTTTCATTCAAGTCAAGAGGACTTACTTTCTAAATTTACTTTTATCTGGAATCAATCCTTACATTAAAATATATTGATTGCCGCCTAGCAATTTCAGGTAAAAATTAAATAAATGCGTAATTAAAATAGAGTAAATAAAAAAAGCAAACACATATTCACAAATAAATAAAAAAAATCAGGCTATTAAATACAAAGCCTATATTAAAAAACAAATTAGAATCAAATGAAAAATAATAGTTAAACCCATTATTTAAAAGCTATTTTTTCTTTCGTTTTTAAGCTTCTCAAACAAAATGTCTTATTTTTTTTTGCGATACATCTTTTATTAAAGTAAAAATCATAATTTAAAAATAAATATTTTATAATAATGTAAAGAAATGAATGAATTTAACATTTTTAAATGTTAAATTTAATAAATTTTTTTATAGTTTTTATTCTATGCAGAAGCTACAAAATAAAGACTCTTATTTAGAAAATGATAAATTAGATTAAATTTTTAAACAAAGAAGAATATTTAAAATTTCCTAATGATACATACATATATATAAAATCAAATAAAATCTAAAAATTAAAATTAAGCTCAGCTGAATTTCTTCCGATGGAAATATCTTTAATTTGAAAACTAATTAATTTTCCCAATAGAAGATTCAATTCATTTCTTTAAAAACTTAATAATTAAAATTGACAAATAAAATGCCATTTAGTTCAAATTTCATATATTAAAGTGATGAGATATTTTTAATTAGTCATCTTAAAAATTTACAATAAAAAAAGAAAGTAAATTTTAATTGGAAAAAAACAAACAAAAAGTGAATTTCCCCTCAAAACAAATAGTGTATTTTCCCTAAATTTATTAAATACATAAATAAACATAAAGCAAATAAATAAAAATTATTTCTTTTTCGAAATACAACTAAATGCGATGCGTATATTATATATCCATCCCATCTTAGCGCAAATATTTTTATAAATTTTTATTATAGTTTTATCATACAAGTATATGAAATGATTTGTTGTAGAACTAAAATAAAATTTTTCGAGTTGATGATGTATTAATTTATTTATTTATTCGACTATGTATTTCAAAACTGATTAAATATTATTAAAATTTGTCTTCTTCAGAATTTGTTATCTATCTCAATAAATTAAATTTCTTTTTTATTTTAAATTTAACAATTTCTCTTCAAATCTCCTAAGAAAATATTAATAAATAATAGATGATTTTTTCTCTTTATTTAAACATATGCATATACCGCATGCATTTAAATATATTAACTAATTCAGGGTCTATAAGACCTTATTTGGTAAAAAATAATTAAAATTTCTCCTAAAGCCTCTTTGAAAAGCTTCAAAAGTTTCCTAAATTATATGTTAAATATCATATTTACTAGGTCTTTTAAAAAATTCAATTTAATATTCTTAGATATTTATTTAGATAGAACTTGATTTAAAACAAAAATATCTTGCTTTGTTTTTTCAATAGTGCTAAATTCCTTATTTTTTACAAGATATTTTCCATTATGCGTTTTTATAAACTACAAATAAATTAATTAATAAAGAAAAATAAGTCATTCAAAATTTAAACACAGATGAAAAATGAATGAAATAGGTTTGGACTATCAATGAAATCATTGGATTTAAATTTTTAATAAATAAATGAATGAATGAATGAATGAATGAAAGCGCTTCTTTGATTGATTTTTATTTATTTAAAAAATTTTCTTCTAAATCATTTTTATAATATATTTTTCCATTTTGCTCTTTAATGAATGAATGAATTGCTAATAAATTAATCTTGAAAGAAAAAAAGTCATTTAAAATTTTAACATAGATGAAAAATGAAATATATTTGTTTGGAGATTCTAAGAAATTGTTGAATTTTTAATAGATAAATAAATGATTTAAAAACTTCGATTATTAATTTTTGCTTATTTTAAAATTACTTCTAAAATCTCTTTTACAATATATTTTTCCATTATGCACTTTAATGAAAGGACTGCAAATAAATTAATCTTGAAAGAAAATAGTCATTGAAAATTTAAACACAGATGAAAAATGGAATAGGTATAGAGACTCTAAGTAAAATTGGATTAAAATTTTTGATAAATAAATAAATGATTGAAAGTTTCAATAATTGATTTTTGCTTATTTTAAAATTTTTTTCTTAAATCTACTATATGAAATTCTCATAAATATATTCATATACTAATAAATAGCGATTAATATAATTATAATATATCCAACTAACAGGGGATTTATTTATAAAAATATATTTCTTATATTGATTTTTCCTTTTATTACCAAATAGTTATTTAATGTATTTTTCCCATACAAATTAAAAAATATTCCCCTATTTTAAATTTCAAAGGATATTCTCCCTATGCAAATTAAAAAGGACTATTATATTTGTTAGTTAGATTTTATTTCTCAAGAGTGATATTTTAATTTATTTTTTTATGTACTTATTATTATATTAAATATAATAAAGCAAAGTTATAAATAAAGCAATTACAAAATATGACTAGATTTAATAATAAAAGCTAAATTAAATAAATTTAATTCATTTATAAAATGCTAAATATCTTTCATGAGTTTTATTATTATAGATTTTAGTATATAATAAGTATTTATTTATTTAAGCAACAGAAACAAACCAATTAAAATTTACAGTAAAATTTAATTTCATATGCTAAAATAAAATATCTAAAAATGACTGACTGACTTACTGACTGACTGACTGACTAAATTCCAAATTATTTTATTTTATTTAGTGTTTTAAGAAAAGGAATGAAAGTGAATACAAAATAAATTAGTTCCTTCGAATATATATTATTTATATTTTATCTCAATTTATTCTTTTATTTATTTATTTATTTAAGATTTTGCTTGAAATAAAATATCAATAGAATTTATGTTTTTATATTCTTAATTAATATTATTAGTTGTTCTATATCTTATTACATTTTTTTTATTTTATTAAATAATTTATTAGCACCTTGTTTCAACATTTAAAATATGCAATTTCATAATAATTTATATATATTTTTTTTTACACTAATAACTATTCCAAATAGCAAATAAAGAAACTAAGAAACTAAATTTAAAAAAAAAAGGATTAAAAAACAATTTATAATTTAATTTTTTCTTTAATAAAATATTTCTTAATTTTTTTAATATTTACTTAAAAATAAAATCGATAAAGTAAAATTTAAAAACAAATTAAAAACTAAAATTAACAATCATTTGTCAATTAAATTAGATTTAATATTTGTAAATTTTGTTTCTAATATTAGTTATTTCAAATTAACTCTCTAAAAATAGGTTTTTATTTTATTTAATTAAAATTTATTTAATTATTTAACAAAATTATTTTAATTAATGTAATTTTCTCATTTTGCTACAAATGATAAAGTAATTTATATTATCCTATATTTCATTTTGTTATTATTTTTAGCAAAAATAGTTAAAACAAAAGAAGAGATTTATATCTTCCTGGGATATAAAAATAATAATAATAATCAAAATGATTATTTTTTATTTTAATAGCAGTCTTTAGAATAAAATTTACTCTGAATTTTCATAATTTGAATTAATTAAGTCTTACTTTTTCTATTTTTAAAAATTATGTTATCAAAATTGCTGATAGATAGATAGCTATAAATTTTTCGATTTATTTAAATTTTTTATTTTTTGAAAATTAAAAGCATTTTTGTATTATATTTAATAAGTATTTTACGATATATTAAGTGAGGAAAAGTCAAAATAGTAATTGTCTTATTTAAATTTTATGGGTATTTAATTAATGATTTCGTTTTAAGCAAATTGCTTACATTCTTTACAAGTGAGCAGTTGCTGTAAAGTTAGAATATTTTTATCAATTTTTACAAGAAGAATATACATACATTGAAAGTTTTTAATCTCAAAATATCAATTTATTTTCATAAGTTAATTTTAGATTAAAATTAAATGAGTAATTTATACAATTTTCAATCTCAAATTTTTAATTCGAATTTTATTAATTAATTAATTAGAATTTAAAAATAATTTAGTAAATTAAATGGCAGGGGAGTCAAAACCTCAAAAATATCTGTCTTCAGCTCTTAATTTTGTAGAGATTTCTTTAATGAAGAAGAATTATAGTTAGAATGCTATTTTTAGTCAATCAGAGATGTTAGTGAGACCAAAAATTATTCTGGTTTGTATCAAGGTATTTATTTTTTAAAGAAGAAAAGACTGAGTCTATTAAGCTTACAGATAGAGTCTTTGCAATATTAAATATTTGTATCCGATCAAATTATTTAAATTCATATTTCTTTAGGGTAGAGTTAGTTATTTTGGATGTTTAAAAATACGAAAACTAAAAATTTTAACAAATTATTAAAAGGGATTAAGCGATTTCATAAATTGATGATGTTATGAATTATGACTATATAGAGCTACATTTTTATTAGGTGATTCAATAAAATAAGATATATGATTTCTAAAAAACTTGTAAATTTTCGTTGAAAAAGACTCAATAAATCACAAAAAAAAAAAAGCTTTGGCTTAGGGGTAACTCTTTAAAAACAAGTATAAATTCATGTAAATTTTGCTGGATGTGATTATTTATCTCTGTAAAATAGATTTAAGTCTTATACTCTTTTTCTGTTTACACTTTTTTGATTAGAAAAACCATCAATTATATATATAATCAGCAAATTAAGACATAGGCTTGAAGGAAATTTTTACAATTCTCTAGTCTAGCACATATTATAAAATAATTTTTTATGATGGAGATATAAATATTATTGACACCAAACAACACGTATATGAAAGATAAGTATACAATCAATTAACAAATTCGTAAAAAATACCCTCTACACCTTTACTATGACAGATAAGTGACACACTAAATTAACTAACTAATTGAAGAAGTAAGAATTTATCTAGGAGGAAACAAGTTATAGAAAAAAGATCAAGACTCAATGATTGATACAAAGAAAACCAGAATATTTTTAATCAATTCATAAAATTTAAAATTTTTAATTATTCTTTTAAATAAGTTGCTCTTTAAATTTACTTTCAAATAAAGTTAAGGAAAAAACTCAATATTTTATTTTGTAAAAAGGGCATCCATTTATTTTATTTTTAACAAATGTATTTCATAAAATTAACTAATTTTATTTTAATTTACCACTTACTAATATTTGATAGTTTAAAAAAAATTGATAGAATATTATTTTTAATTTTATTTAGTTTTTCATTAGCACAAATTTATTTTATATAAATATATTGGAATTTAAAAATTGGCAACATGTTAGAATATATTAGTAAAATATTAATAAATTGTACTAACAACTTACACTTGACCATTTTTTATTATAAATGTATTATTTTTAAATAAATTAACAAATTTTTTACATTTAAATTATTTTTAGAAATATAATTAGACAGTCTATCATCTTAGTTTTTTCATTATATTCCCATCAATCTATCTGTAATTTCAACTATACAAATTAATTTAGTAATTTCAAAATTTGATAAGAAATTTTATAGTTATCTATCTAACTATTTTAACTTATCAATATAAAGTAAATTGTAAACTGATTTTGAATACCTATAATTAATTGATATTCAATTTTATTGAGAAAAAATAAATAATACAATTGATAAAATTATAAAAAATTTAGATATAATATTTTGTTTTTAAATGATTATTTTTTGTATTTATTTTTTAATAAAAAAGGCTTTTAAGCTCTTTATTTTAACCTATCTATTTCTTTTTACCATATTTATTTATAAGAATGAAATTTATTATTACTATTTATTATACTGACTCATATTATTTTTCAAGTTTTAAAAAAAAATTTTTAATTTTTTTATTTTTGCAAATCTTAAAAATGCTAAATTCATTTTTTTAGAGGGAGCTTAGCAAATTTAATTCTTGTTATATGTAAATTGATTGAAAAAAATATGATAATTTTATTAATAATAATACCAACATTTCATTTCTTTTACATTTTAATTTAAATAAAATATGAATGAAAAAGATAATTTTAGACAATTATTTATTTTTTAAAATATTATCATTGTTATCATTTCATTACTGCAATATCTGAACAAGTAGAGTACATATAAAATAGTTATTTCTTTTATATACACTTTATTTAACTAAAACAAATACTAAAAATAATAAATTTAATTGATATAAATTAAAGATTGAGAGACTAATTAATTGTAAAAGAATATAGTATGTAAAAAAATATCTAAAAGTATAGTATAAATAACATCATTTAAATTTATTTTTCTCATTTAGTATATTAGAAGGAGATCGATGACAATTTTCTGGATTGATCAAAAAATTTTTAATAATTAAGTAAAATAAGTAATGGTTTATAAATAATTTAAATGCTTTTTTGTTAGAATTAACCAAAAAATATTAGCTTACACTTGAGCTGGTAATGGATAAGTAAATTAAAAAAATAATTAAGAGATTTATATAATAATTAGATATTAACAAATGACTTTAGTTTTACTCAAATTGATCTTAATAGGTAGGTTACATATTTTTTTAAAAAGTAATCAAGTTGATTTCTTTAAAAAAGTAATTGAGGTCAAAAAAAAATAATTTTTGTTATGAAGTAAAAATTGAATTGAAAACAAGAGGAAAGTTTCTTCAATCATAAAATGTTTATTTTTTATTCAAAAATGAAATCAAATTAATTAATACAAATGGGTTAATGTAAAATGAAGAATAATTATTTAAATTAACAAATTATTAATATTGCTTTTTACATACATTTTAAATAAAAACAAAATTTATACTAAAATCAATCACCATTCTTTCAGTAAATTAATCAATCCGTCTATCCACAAATTTTAAAAAAATTTTGCAAAAGATTTCTACTTTATTAATCAAAACAAAAAATAATTTTAGCCTTAATATTTTAAAAATCAATGCTAAAAAAATTATAAAATGCATGATAAAGGAGAGTTTATTTTTTGTTAGTAAGCAATATTTTGGATTACAGCTAAAAGCATAATTACAAGAAATGTAAGGTTAGTTAAGCCTTTTAATGTACAAGGAAATGTAATGTAATCAAGCTATTTTATAATGTGAATTAGAGGTAATAATCGTTTTCCCCAGCTCTCAATTTCTAAATGAACACTTTTGTTAGTTTACTTTTGATTGAAATTATGGTAATTATATGTAAATTAATAGAGCTATAAAGCAATCAAAATTATTACTGAGAGAGATGTCAATTAAAATGTGGTTAATAATTTCAGCAAAAACATTAAAACAGTAAAAATTTAGATAGGCAAAATAAAAATATGCAGCTAAATTTTTTGATCAAATATGATAGGTTTTAAATTAGATTGATTTGGCAATACGCAAGCAAACAAGAGCTATTTTCTTTTGGTTTATCTCAATTTATATTCTAACTTTAATTCGTAAAAATATAATAAATTATTTCAAAAAAAAAATTAAATCAAGAATTTTGCTCAAATTAAAAAATGTACAAACTCACTATTGCTCTCTTTGCCATCTTAGCTGTTTGCACTGCTGTTAATACCAAGTGCAGTGACTTAGAAAGAACCAACTAATTCTGCAGCATGATTTACAAGCCTGTTTGTGGTATCACAGTTTCTAAAGAAAACTCCAACAAAACCAACAAGGTTACTTTCCCTAATAGATGTCATGCTTGCAAGAGCTCAGAAACTCTTTTCTTCGCTGAAGGTGCTTGCAACTCCTATCCTGAAAATGCCGTCTTCTGCCACCCCGATGCTGTCAATAACAAGATGTGTACCAAGGAATACATCCCCGTTTGTGGTATCTATGAAAAGACCGTCAATTGCATCAAGGCTCCTTGCGGTGAAACTTATCCTAACAAATGCCATGCATGCATTTCTGGAAAATCATCTTACTTCGTCCCCGGAAACTGCAACAGTGAATGAAATTTATATAAATAATGATAACAATATAAAAAATTTGAACTGTATTTATATAAATAACAAAAATTAAATAAGATTATATTTTTTTTTAGCATTTTAAAATCAAAACAAACAAATAAAATTAATAGCTTAGAATTTTTTTATCAACTTTAATTTTCTTTCTAATAAAATAAGTATTGTAATTACTATTTGGTATTTGGCTTCACAATTCCTTTCTTCTTTTATTTTTTATGATTTAGGAGATCCAATAAATAGTTCTAATCAAGATACAAATTTGTGAATAAATGTTATTAAAGCTTAGGCAAATATAAAAATTTTGATTTAGATTGAGTGTCTAATTGTAAAATTGGGGAAAAAACAAAATTATCTATGATTTGGATGGGATTATTAATTCTATCAGAATTATATCAAAAGAAACAGTCAGAAAAATTTTGATGATTTTTAATAATAAATAAATTATCCAGAATTAATTGAAATGATTTTTGAAGCGTAATAAAGATATAATGTACAACTAGCTTACAAGAAGTTATTTAAAAATATCTAAATTTGTTAATATCGTTTTGCGTTAAATTTTTTTCATTTTTTTAAAAAATTATTGGAGAATAATTTATTAATTCATTCATTTTGATTTAATAAATATTAAAAATTATATAATTTAAATACTGTTTATTTATGATAAAAATTTAACTAAACTTACTTCTACATTAATAAAAATATCCAAAATTCTTTAATTTCAATAATTTTAGAGGTGTTTAATATCAATTCATTATCTATTTAAAATTTGCTTTATTAGGATAACTTAAAATTGTATTTTTAAATATAAAATACCCTTTTTTAAAAAATAAATTTTGATATCTAAACTAAATATAAGCTGATTTATTTGTTAGTTTTAAATAAATAAAATATTATGAAAAGAAAGAAACATAAATTTGATTTGTTGAATGCACATTTTTATTTTTTACTTGTAAATAACAAGTAAATCTACATTTTTTACATTTTTGAAGAATTACTTCTGTTTTGGTATAAATCTTTGAAAAAACAAATTAAATAAGCAATTTTATGCAAATAATTACTTAAATTTTGATAAGATACTTTATTTGTTCATAGCGGTATTTAAAATGAATTTTGTTTGTGTTTGTTTTAAATAAAATTGATAATTATAAAATATGAATTTGATAGAGTTTAGCATATATATTTATAAATTAACATGAATTGACAATCAAAAAACAAATATTTATTCTTTTGTTGCTTGTTTGTTTTTTTGTTTATTTATATTTTTATAGAATTTTATATATAATTTTCTCAAGAAACTTATAAAATCTATTTCAGAATTTATTTATTTATATATTTTATATAATATTTATACTTACTTATATATTCTTTTCTTCAAAGTTATCAGAATACCAAGAATAAAATGAAGTAAATAGCTGAGAACAGTAAAACCATAGAGTTGCTCTTGGGTTAAACTGACAATCCATCATCATTTTCTAATTATGATTTTTTGACCTTTCCCGGGCAATCGTATTGGATCAAGGCTTGGGCATTATTGAATTCTTGGTAGCAAGGAATACAGACTTAAACATCAGTGATATTTACTGGCTTGTAGCTGTATTAGCAAACGGAACAGTTTCCATTTTGGTAACTTGCACAACCTTAAGGAATAGAGATACATTTGTTGTCCTTCAAATAGTATTGCTTTCCATCCTAAATACATCTCTTGCAAGTAGTGTCTTCCTATTCAGCGCAATTTTCGATACTGTTAGGTTAGCAAGCACTATTGTCATTACTTAAATGGTAATTTTCAGCACAGACAACACATAACTGTGAATCTGAGCCATCATTATTTTTATTTTGTTTTTAGCTCAAGCAGTTATCAATTTACTTTATTTAATCTTCTGATTTAATAGGAAGGCATTCGTTATTTACGCTTAAATAGTAGTGAGAAGAGCATTAAATAGTTTAAATTTGATTGTCTATTTATTTGCAGCTAACAGCATTTTGATCAGAGCAACGAAGACATTTTTAGGTTTATCCATCATCAAATTGGTAGAAATCCTAGGAGCTAATCTTTCTTTATAATTTTGGAATACTATCATCAGTGAAGCAATCATTGCAAGCACCTTTAAACTTGTCATCGCTGATATTTAAAGCCTTTTTTTAATTTTAGAATTGTTTAATAGAATAATTGTGGAAAATCAAATAGAAAAAATATTTGAAATTGAAAATTAAATTTGTTTGTTTGTTTGCTTTTTTTGTCTTTTTGACTGTAAGTAAGTAAGTTTAAATTTGTATTTATTTATTCATTTATTAAATAGTAAATCTTAATAAAATTTTACAATTTTTTATCTAAGAGAGGCAAAACTCTTGCATTACTTAGTGTTTATTTGGCACCAAGTATCAGGATTAGGAACATCGCTGTAAGATTTGACAATACCCTCTTTGACTAAGCCATCAACTTCATCGATAGTGATTTATAAGGAGTAGCTATCAGCGTAGGGAATATCGAATTAAGAGCCGACCTTACATAAAGTGGGAATGTAAGCATTAAGCTTATCATTGTATTAACAGAGGATAGAATTTTTAGCTAAAGTATCGCAAGAAACACATTTGTTATCTTTCAAAGCATAACCATATAAGCAGGTTTTATTTATTACATTTCCATCCTTTAATTCGCAGTCAATAGCACCTTCTCCGCAAATGAAAGCTTAGTTATTGTTTACAGTCTTAATAGAATAAGTAAAGGTTTGGTTGAGGAGATCATTTTGGGTAACATAAGAAGCACTCCAGTTAATTTAATTGAAGCTATTTCCAGAGCAAACTAATTTAATGCTACTTCTTTGAGAATCTGATGGCTTGTTAATCAAGAGAGAATCAATATTACATTAGTCACAAGTGTTTTTATCAGAGTTGTAGAAGAATCCAGATGAGCAGATATCGCATTAAATGTGACTGGTGAGAGAGTCAGAAACAGAGCATTACTAGCAATTATCCATACACTTTTGGCAGACCATAAGAGTTGAATCTTTAAGGGCATCTTAGTTTTTAGAGCTAACTTAGACAGTTCCAGCAGGGCAGGTTTTACATAAGCCTTTATAAGTGCAATCGCTGCAAACTTTAGATTCTTATTTTTCGTATTTATCGTTATTGAAGAAGACAATGTCGGCTTTGCATTATTCAGTGCAGCTAAAATGTGAATCAAAGTAAAATCCAGCCTTGCATTTGGAGCAAGAAACAGTGGTAGAGGTTCTATCTATCTTATCACAATTTTGAATTTTCTTACATACGCTACCTATTTCTGCAACAACTCCATCGCTTGATGAAGAATCAACGCATTCATCAGCTCTGATAGCTAAGTATTATTGATAGATTTTCATTTCTTCGATGTTCTTTTGTTGTTGAGTCTTCAAAGTGGAATTACTAATATCACTTAATACTTATTGAATGACGGGATCTTTTAAGAAGTTTTAGTTGGCGATAGTACAAGACTTAACACCATTACCGCAAGAGACACACTTTCCGTTGAATAGGACGTAACCACTAACGCAGCTTGTGCAGCTTCCATCTTTAAAATTAGGGCAAGAAGCGCATCCACCAAAAACAGGGTCAGAAGGATCATTATATTTATATTAGCAGTATGTACAACGCTAGAAGGAATCACTGTTTTACTAAATATAGCGGTTATACTTGTTACCGATGTAAGAGCAAAAAGTGGATAAATCTTCAGGCTTGGTCATCTATGCAAAGCATATAGGCAAGAGCATAGAAAAAGCAATCAAAGCTATTATAATAGTAGTTTTCATACTTGTTTTGTTTATTTGATATTTAGTTATTCTAATCTTAATTTGATTAATTAATTTATTAATTATGGATTTATCATAAATACGATTAGAAGGATTTTAATCTTCTCTGCATGTATTACTTTATCATTCAAACTATTTATTAATCTATTTATTTATTTATTAGCTTATCCTTTATGATTTATTATCTCACAATTACAGAAAAACAAATTAATAAATATTTTCTTCCAAATTCATAGGAACAAGCGTTTGATAACCATCAATTACCTCGAAGATTATTTGATTTTGGTGTGTAGTGCATGATGCGAAATACTATGAATAAAGGGATAAGCAAACAAACAAACAAACAAACAAACAAACAAACAAGATAATTTAATAATGAATACATTTTAATTAATCATTTATTTTATAATGAGAATTTAAATTTTTTGAAAGTAAATCTACTTTTTACTTGTCAAAATACTCAATTGATTTTATTTATCAAACTCACTTTTTGTCTAATATGAATGAATTAACACATTAAGTAATCACACGAACTAGTATATTCTTTTTTCCATCTAATTATAGATTGAAGTATAAATTATGTCCATACAATCAATCGATTTTTTAAATTTCATAATAAACTTTGATTAACCTTCCATTAATTTTTTTAATTCTGAGAATTTCTTCCCATAAAATACTCATGGAGAGCCAAAATAAGATTTTACCATGATTTCTAAAGCTTTTTAGTTGTTTCTATCTAGTTAATCTTTATTATGAAATAAATGCTCCTTTTGTGATAAAATTGGCCCAAAATAGTTAAATAAATAAAATTACACATATGATTTGTGACTAAAATTATTAAAAAGTTTTGAATTTAAATAAGGAAAAAGTTCAAAGAAACACATTGAACAATCATACAAAGCATTTTTTCCTGATCTGATTTAATTGAGTTTTGATTCATCAAGTCTCAAACAATCAGAACTTGATAGCAAAAGAGTAAATAAAGAAAGACACTATAACTTTACTTTATAATAGACAGACAACATAGTCAAATTTAATTTACTCTTTTTTTCATAAGAGCAATTTTTAATTCTGGAATGTAAATAAATAAATAAACAAATAAAATTGAAGGACATAGAAAATTAGTAATATCAATCCTTTAATGTTTAAAAATTAATTCATTTATTTATCCTTTTTGTTAAATATAATTTGCTTAAATTTGTATTTATTGTTGCGCTTCAAAATAAATTCCTAAACCTTAAAAGAAATTTAAGTAAATAAAATAAATTTTCTACCGTTTTCTATTAATAAAAACATAGTAAATTTTATAAAAAATAATTTGATATTTAGAAATACTCAAAATAAGTTCTAAACGCTATTTCAATTTCAAAGTTCAAAAATCAATCAAAAATAAAGATTTTTATTTTGCTACCACAGAGTGCAAAATTAATTAATTATCTCTATTAGCTTAAACAAATCTGATAGATTTTAAAATTTAGTTTTATCATTTTACTTTTGAATATAGTTTTATTTAGATATTTTTAATACAAAATATTAGATAAATACCTTCTTTTCTCTTTAATTTAATAAAATTTCCTTAAAAATATATCTTTTTATTAAGATTAACATTTATTTTCTTACCTTTATTATTCATTCAGCTTTCTGAATTAATTATGAACTATTCTTTCGTATTTTAGTTATTAATTTTTTTCTATTAAAATAGAAGTCATTTGGTGATTCAACTACATATATACTTTTCTAAATTGAATATAAATTATAAATTCAATTTAATTTTTCATTAACTCATCCAATCAATATTATTCATTGTTAAACAACTTTTCGAATATTCACTAAATTCATTTAACATGTTAAAAAAATAAATTGGGTACTAAACAGAGTTGCTTAGATACTTTTTGGTATCTGAAAAAAGTTCTGAAACCGATACAAAATATTGGTATTGAGTATTTATTTTTTTTACCTAAAAGTATCGAGTATCTGAAAAATTTTTAAATTCTAGCTCGATAGTTTTCGAATAATAATAACCTTTTTAATTTTTAATGGATAAATTATGTACAAATTAAATTAAATAAAATTAACTTAATTAAATTTCAGTATATAAATTTATTTTTTTATTTTATTCTTAAATATCTATACATATATAAAAAAGACAAAATAAACAAACAAAACATATTTATATATATTTTAGGTTAAATTATATATTACTAAATATTATATTATAATACATATTATATATGTTCGTTCTATTATTATTCAAATATTTAATATTTATTCATCTTTTTCACCACTTCTTTATCAATAGAAACTTATTTTAATGACAATTAATTTTTTTGATTTAAGACACTTGCTTTTTACTTTCAATTATTAAGATTTATCAATAAATTTGGAACTTTTATTTTTATTAAATTAAAAAAAATTAATAAATAAAATTAAATAAAAAAAAACATCTGGCATAAGAGTTTTTTTGTTATAAACTCATTTTTTAAAGTAAAAATATCACAATCTAAGACAAATAAACTGTTTTTACCTAAGATAAAGTGTCAAATTTGAGAGATTAGTACAATTTGCTAAAGCAGAACCTAAGCCTGATGCACCTTTTGCACCAATTTTATTGCCACTTTTTAAATATTGAAGAAAAAATATAATATTAAATAGTTATTTAGAAGAAAAAAACGAAGAAAAAATATGAAACAATAAGAAATGAATAAATAAATAAAAAAATAAATAAATAATAGTAAATGTTGAAAATAAAAAATGAAGAAAGATAGCAGTAAAAAACAACACAGGAACCATAAAAATGAAAAAGAAAAGTAAATCAAATTAAAACCTATAAACAGGTTAAAAGAGTTATTTTATTTTAAATTCATTTTTATAGCTAAAAATATAACAATCCTAAACAAATAAACTGTTTTTACCTAAGTTAAAGTGTTAAATTTGAGAGATGAGTGCAATTTGCTAAACCAGAGCCTAAGCCTGATGCACCTTAATCGCCAATTCCATTTGAACTTTTTAAATATTGAAGAAAAAATATAAAATTAGTTAATTATTTAGAAGGAAAAAATAAATAAAAAATATGAATTAATAAGAAATGAATTAATAAATAATAAAAGCAAACGTTGAAAATAAAAAATGAAGAAAGATAATAGAAAAAGCAACATAATTACAATAAAAAAGAAAAAGAAAAGTAAATCAAATTAAAACCTATAAACAGGTTAAAAGAGTTATTTTATTTTAAATTCATTTTTATAGCTAAAAATATCACAATCCTAAGCAAATAAACTGTTTTTACTTAAGATTAAGTGTCAAATTTGAGAGATTAGTGCAATTTCCTAAACGAAAACCTAAGCCTGACGCACCTAAATCACCAATATAATTTTTACTTTTTAAATATGAAGAAAAATATAAAATCAATTTGTTATTTAGAATGAAAAAAAAATAAAAAATATGAAATAATATTAAATAAATAAATAAATAAAAGCAAATGTTGAAAATAAAAAAATGAAGAAAGATAATAGAAAAAACAACACAATTACAATAAAAAAGAAAAAGAAAATTTAATCAAATAAAAAGCTAATAAACAAGTTAAAAGAGCTTTTTCTTTTAAATTCATTTTTATAGCTAAAAAGATCACAATCCTAAACAAATAAACTGTTTTTACTTAAGACTAAGTGTCAAATTTGAGAGATTAGTGCAATTTACTAAACCAGAACCTAAGCCTGATGCACCTGTTGCACCAATATAATTTTTACTTTTTAAATATTGAAGAAAATATAATATTAATTAGTTATTTAGAAAGGAAAAATGAAGAAAAATATTAAATAATAAGACATGAATAAAAAATATAAATTATAAGAAATGAATGAATGAATAAATAAATAAATAAATAACCAAACAAACAAATAAATAAAAGCAAATGTTGAAAATATAAAAATGAAGAAAGATGATAGAAAAAACAACACAATTATAATAAAAAAGAAAAAGAAAAGTAAATTAAATAAAAAGATAAAAAACAAGTTAAAAGAGCTCTCTCTATTGTTTTTAATTCATTTTTATAGCTAAAAATATCACAATCTTAATCAAAAAAACTGTTTTTACTCAAAATAAATTGTCAAATTTGAGAGGTTAGTGCAAATTGTTAAGCTAGAAACTAAATTTAATGCATGTTAATCATCAAACATATTATCACTATTTAAATATTGAAGAAAAAATATAAGATTAATTATTTATTTAGAAGAAAAAAATGAAGAAAACATATGAAATTATAAGAAATGAATACATAAATACCGTAAAACCTCGTTAAAAAAAATGAATGAGTTGTAGGTAAGAGCTTTAAAATTTTCGAAAATGAAAACCTCGATAAATCGAAAATGTTTTGAATTTTCTGGTTGCGAGTTAAAGAGATTTTACGAATAATAAAAGCAAATGTAGAAAATAAAAAAATGAAGATATATAATAAAGTAGAAAAAACAATAAAAATGAAAAAGAAAATAAAATAAAGTGCTAATAAACAAGTTAAAAGAGCTAGCTATATTGTTTTAAATTCATTTTTATAGCTAAAAATATCACAATCCAAAACAAATAAACTATTTTTACCCAAGGTGAAGTGTCAAATTTGAGAGATTAGTGCAATTTGCTAAACCATGACATAAGCCTGCTACATCTATTGCACCATTAAAACCGATACTTTTTAAATATTGAAGAAAAAATAATAAACTAATTAATTATTTAAAAGGAAAAAATGAAGAAAAAATATGAAATAATAAGAAATGAATAAATAAATAATAAAAGCAATTATTTAAAATAAAAAAGAGTTAAATTAAGACAAATAGTAGAAAAAATAACACAATTATAATAAAAAAGAAAAAGAAGAAAGTAAATTAAATAAAAAGCTAATAAGCAAGTTAAGCTCTTTTGTTTTAAATTAATTTATTATTAGTAAAAATATCATAATCCATCCAAAACTAATAAACAGTTTTTATCATGTAAAAGTGTTAGAACTAAATTAATAAAAAATATCAAATCATAATAAATGGATAATGATTTTTAAAAATTTTTAATGAAAATTCAGTTAAAATAACTAAAAAAACATTTTTAAATATAATTTACGAATGTAGGGAAAATTTCTATTTGAAAAATTAAATTCTAAAAGAAAAGAAAGTTTATAATATAAAGATGAAATTTATAAATAAATAAATATACATCGGACCAATATGGAGAACCTCATGAGATTTAAGTGAAGAGCTTAAAAACTTTTAATATTAGTAAATATAAATTTATTGTATATTGATAAAAAATAAATAATTACTTCTTGTAATGAGTGGTATTTAATCTATTATATCATTTATTTATTTTCAAAAATATTGAATAACAAACAATTAATTTATGGAAATTTAATTAATTATTAGTGGATAAAAAGAATAAATAAATTATATGAATTTATTAGCTTTTAGTAAGAGAAATTACAAATAACTTAATTAGTCAGTCAAACTAACATTCATTATTAAATCTTAAAATTTCTATTTCAAATGTTTACTTAAAAATAATAATGACTTAGAGATTGTATATAAAGGATAATGAATGAGAGAGAACTCACTAGAATAAAATAAATTTCAAGTATTTACAAGTATTTCTTTCTGTTATTTGAATAATTATCATATTTATTTTTTAAAATTTTATATTTTTGAAATAGTTTAAAAAAGTAAATGATAACTAACTAACTAACTATTTTTAAAAAGTTTGCATTCTTATTATCCTTTATATATAATCTCTAGTTCCTTATTAATTTTTAAGTAAATATTTAAAATAGAAATATAAAATTTAATAATGAATATTAATTAGACTGATTAAGTAAGTTATTTGTGATTTATCTTGATAAAAGCAAATTTATGAATTCATATAATTTATTTATTTGTTCTTTTTATCAACTTATAATTCATTAAATTTCCAAAAATTACTTCGTTATTCAATATTCTTTAATTAATTAATTAATTAATAAAATAAATGATGCAATAGATTAAATATTACAACAAATTTTAAGAAGTTATTATTTATTTTTTTATCAGTATACTCTTAATTTATTTTTACTATAAAAGTTTTTAAACTCTTCACTTTATTCTCATGAGGTCCTCCATATAGGTCTGAGGTATATTTTTAAAAAAATATTATCATTATAATACATATTCTTTATATATTTAACTGTCATTAATTTTTCTTATAGAAATTTTCCCTATATTCGTACATTATTTTTTAAAATGTTTTTTAGTTATTTTAACTTAATTTTAATTAAAAAATTTGTAAAAATAATATATATATCTATAGTAAATTGAAAGTATTATTTAAGTCACCAAAAATATTAAATAGAATAACAAAAGTCAATTTTATACATAATCCTTCATTAAAAATTAATAAAAAGATTTGAAAAGATGGATGGATAGATAGATGTTTGAAAAATTTTAAATACAAATTAGCATCTATTTGGTCAATCAATATCTACCTAACATTTCTTTCTGTTTATATAGATTGTAAATTTTGTAAAATTAAAAAAAGACTATGGCTTAAATTTTTATATTATTTTTATTTTTTCAAAAAACTAAAAAATAAAAAATAAAAATATCATAAACTAACATACTACACACATACTAGATATTTTAACTTTAAAAGTTAATCCTAAAAAATAAATTGAACCCATAAAATAAAAATATTAATCATAATTAAATAAAATAAGCAAAAATTATTCAAAAGGAAGAAATAAAACAATTTAAAATATGCTTGTGCATAATCTTTAATGACCATCTGAGTGAATCTTTAAATTTTTTTCTTTCATTCTGATGAATTCTTAATTAATCTGATGTTCATTTTAAATTTCTTTTATTTCTTTTTTTGGGCTAATTTTGTCTATTTTCCTAAATAGATATAATTTTTTAAAAGCGATTTTTTATAAGAAGTGAAATGATAATTATGTTAAGATAAAATTGCAATTTTTTAAATTGTATTGATTCGAAAAAATAAGTTTTTTTGATAAATAAATGAAATTGGATGCAACTTCATAATATTGTGAAAATATCTTTAAAAATTTTTTCTATTAAGTAACACTGCACTCTCAATATCTATAATATTGTAGTAAATATATTTAAAAATTTCATTATTTTTTCATTTAGCCAGATTGCTCTGCCTAATTTTTTAAAACTAATTCTTATATTCAACATATTATTAAAATCTGAAATCAATATTAGCAAAATAAATTAAAACTTATTAATCAATTTTCATACCATTAGAACATGAAATTAATATTTATAGACAAACAGACAAAAATTAATTAAAATTTTAATAATTGATGTTATAAAGATATTTTTGTGAAAAACTAACTTCAAATAAGCATAAGTAAAGAGAAAAGCAAAGAAACTATGGGTAAAATGTATGTGGAAGATGAAGCTTTGCAAACATTACTAGCAGAACCAGCAGGAGCAGTTTATCCATTAGGGCATGCAGTACATCCACTAGCACCAGAAGTAGTAGGGCTACCATAGAAATTAGCTTTACATTAGCATACAGGAGGATTAGCAGAGTTAAGGGAAGCGTTAGTGTCTGGGCAAGCGCAAGAAGACATATCAGTTGTACCAGCGGTAGAGGTTGTTCCAGATGGGCATGCAGTACATCCAGTAGCACCACCCTTAGTTGGGTTAGGTGTACCATAGAAGTTATCCTTACATTAGCATGCAGTGTTGGAACTATTTTTAACAGAATTTGAGTCTACGCAAAAGCAATAATCAACAGAATATGAACCAAAAGTAGAAATTGATCCTGTTGGGCATGGAGTACATCCACTAGCACCAGAACTGGTAGGTTTACCATAGAAGTTATCCTTACATGCGCAGCCAGTGTTGGCACCATTGGGAATAGCATTAACATCGATGCAAGTGCAAGAGCTGACAAGAGTTCCTGAGGTAGTGGCAGCTGCAGAAGTAGTTCCATCTGGGCATTTTTGGCAAGATCCTGCACCATTAACATCAGTAGAAGTACCATAATAACCAGCATTACAGAAACAAGTACCTCCATTACCAGCAGTAGCGTGAGCATCAGTACAAGCGTTTACTGTAGCAATCACAGCTAATGAAATAAGAATCAAAGAAATTGCTTTCATTTTTTTTTTTTTTGCAAGATTAATTTATATTAATTTGTATTTTTTATTTTATTAAATTTTTATGATTAAAATTTTGCTCATTTTAAAATAATCCAGCTGAGCTATGATAATTTGAAGATTATTCATTAATTAATTTATCTTCATATTATAATCTTGAATTTAAGATAAATTATCAATCAGGTAGGTTAATTTATTAATTAATTAATTTAAGATACAAAACAAATATTGTTAAAATTAGCTTATTTGAAACATTTACCTAAATTAGTTAAAGATAGTATCATGTAAGTTCCTAAACGCAAATAAAATTACTTAAAAATATGAAATTATACTCACTTTTTATGAAAATCATTTAACTACTTATATTTTTAAGATAATTTTTGAAAATAGAAAACCCAAAAATTCTAAATATGTTTCTAAACACAAAGTGAAATAGAAAATTAAATTAATTGATACTATTTTTGAGTTAATCATTAAAAGTACGAAATAATTAAAAATAAAATGCTTTATTCTACTTTATTAATAGCTAAAATGTAGAAAATCTGTCCAAATTTTAGGAGAAAATGATTGGTTTTTCAAATTAGATTTGCAAAAAAAACATTGATTAATTTTAAGATAAAACATTAAAAAATGTATGTTTTAAATTATTTAATGGAATAATAGCTATCATAATTTAAGTTAAAATATTAACATAAATTGGTGTGCAAGATTAATTAGTCTTGTATATTTTTTTTTTACATATTCTATGCATGATAATATTACAAAAAAATATTGATAAAATTATGTATCAATTTGCAACCATATATATTTATCTCCACTTACAATGTATTGAAGGGAAAAACTAATAAAAGCGCTAGCTAATAAAGAAAATTAAAAAAAAAATTTAATTTTTAAAGAAGATAAAACTTGGGAGTTAAGAGTAATAATTGATTTCTTTACTTCTAACTTAATTTAATTTCTAGTCCTGATGAAATATTAATAAAATTTACCTTTATAAGAATTGAATATAATAAATGCTTAAGAATTGTATGATGAAATATTTAAAATTTTGCTTTCTCTCAATTAGAAAAAAATAATATTTTTAAATAAATAAATTTTTTGTAATTTTGATAAAATATTTGTAAATTGGTTAAATTGTATTTAATTTTATTTACAAAAAAATTCATTCATTTATTTATCATTTTTAAAATGATATCTTTTTTTTTACTTCAAAATAATTTTACAAAATTTAACTAAATAAAATAAATTTTATATTAACATAGTATTTATGTATAAAGTAAAAATATATTGGTATCCTTAAAATACTCAAAAAATGAGATCTAAAAACTATGTAAATTTCAAAGTACAAAAATAAAAGATAAAAATTTTTATTTTGCTACCTCTAAGCTCAAAATTATCTTTATTTGCTTAAATAAATCTGATCAATTTTAAAATTTAATTTTATCATTTTTACTTTTGAAAAAAATATTTCGTTAGATATTTATAATAAATATATGATAAATATTTACTTTTCCATATATTCTAATAAAATATATCTCTTTTTAATCATGATTAACATGTCTTTATCTTTACTATTCATTCAGTTAATTTATTTACTATCCTTTTGTAATCTTTCGTAATTTAATTAGTTAGTTTTTGATTTTTTTCTATTGAAAAGGAAGTAAGTAAGTAAGTTTCCTATTCAACTATATTTAAATGAATATTTTTCTATAATAGAATTATTTTATAATATTTAATTGATTTATATTATATGTGATAAAATCAATAAAATAACACATTAACTATTTTCCCCATTTTACAGAATTATAAGGTATCTTCAAAATAAATTTCTTTTTTAATTTAACCATTTTTTTAAACAAAAAAAATATATCAACTATAAATTCTTAAATGTTCCAAGAGTAAAAATAATAAATTAGTCATATAAATTTTCAAAAATACGTTAAAATAATTTTTATTGGGTGATAGATACCACATTCTCAATATCTATAAAACTGTAGTATATATTTTAAATATCATTATTTTTTTGATTTAATCAGATTGCCTTGCCAGACTTTTTAAACTTACTCTTTTATTCAAAATATTATTGACTACTGAAATCAATATAAACCAAATAAATTTATTAATTTTTTTCTTAACATGTTTAAAGTGATATTAAAAAACTCAAATCAGAATATTTTCATATTTAACAAAAATTCTATTCATGATAAATTTTCATGTTTAATAGGCAAGTTTTATTTATTTGTTTAATTATTTACAATAAGATTATTATCTAATTATATAATTTGAAAGTTGAGTATTAAAAAAATTAATAAAAAAGAACTAATATTTTATTTTTTTTTGATAAAACTTATTAATCCATTTTCAAATCATTAGAACATAAAATTATTATTTATTGACTAACAGACAAAAATTTATTAATTTTTTAATAATTGATATTTTAAAGATATTTTCTTTGAAAAATTAACTTCAAATAAGCATAACTAAAGAGAAAAGTAAAGAAACTATGGGTAAAATATATGTGGAAGATGTTGAAGCAACTTTGCAAACATTAGTAGAAGAACCAGCTGGAGCAATTTATCCATTAGGGCATGCAGTACATCCACTAGCACCAGAACTAGTAGGAGAACCATAGAAGTTAGCTTTACATTAGCAAACAGGAGGATTAGCAGTGTTGAGGGAAGCGTTAGTGTCTGGGCAAGCGCAAGAAGATAGAGCAGTTGTACCTATGGTAGAGGTTGTATCAGTAGGGCATTTAGTACATCCACTGGGACCAGAAGAAGTAGGTGTACCATAGTAGTTAGCCTTACATTAGCAGGCAGTTTTGGCATCATTGATGACAGAATTAAAGTCACCACAAAGACATTAAGTAACAGTAGTTGAACCAGCAAAGGATTTTGATCCAGTTGGGCATGGAGTACATCCACTAGCACCAGAACTGGTAGGTGTACCGTAGTAGTTATCATTACATAAGCAGAGAGTGTAAGTAATATCGGGAATAGCGTTAGTATCGATGCAAGTGCAAGAGCTCTTAAGAGTCCCTGAGGTAGTGGAAGCAGGAGAAGTAGCTCCAGTTGGGCATTTTTTGCATGATCCACCTGAAGAAACATCAGTAGAAGTACCATAATAACCAGCATTACAGAAACAAGTACCTCCTTAACCAGCAGTAGCATTTGCATCAGCACAAGTAGCGTTTACTGTAGCAATTACAGCTAATGATATAAATATTAAAGAAATTGCTTTCATTATTTTTGCTATATTAGTTTATATTTATTTTTATTTTTATTAAATCTTTATAATTAGAATTTTGCTCATTTATTTTTAAATAATACAGATGAGCTGAGATAATTTGAATATTATCCATTCATTATTGTATCAAATCAATGTTCCCTCTTTATATTAATTATCTAGAATTTTAAATAAATGATCGATCGGGTAAGATAATTAATTAAATTTATTAATTCATTCAAGATAAAAAAACAAAAATTATTAAAATTAGCTTATTTGAAACATTACCTAAATTTGTTAAATATAATTTTATTTAGGATCCTAAACAAAAAAATAATTATTTAAAAATATGAAATTCTACTCTAATTTCATAAAAATCATTTAACTACTTTTTTTTAAAGAGAATTTTTACACAAAATTGAAAACCTAAAAATTTTAATCTATTTCTAAATAAGCACAAAGTAAAATATAAAATTAATTGATACTACTTTTGAGTTAATTATTAAAAGTACTAAATAAATAAAAATAAAATGCTTTATTCTACTTTATTATCTACTAAAAAGTAGAAAATCTACCATAATTTTAGGAGAAAATGGTCAGTTTTTTAAATTAGATTTGCAAATAAAAAATTGATTAATTTTATGATAAAATATTAGAAACATATGTCTGTCTTTTAATTATTTATTGGGATAATTATTATCATAATTTTTGGTAAAATATTAACATAAGTTGTCTTCTAACGTTTTGCAGATTAATTATCTTGTATATTTTTTCTTTCATATCCTATGCATGATAATATTACAAAAAAATTATTCATCTAATTACATATCAATATAACAATCATATATATTTATTACGACTTTCAAAATATTGAAGGGAAAATTAGTAAAAACACCAATAAACAAAATTAAATTTTTAATGAAGAGAAAATTTGGGAGATAAAAGGAATAATTAATTAATTAATTAATTTCATTCCTACTCACTTAATTTAATTTCTAGTTCTAGTTCTGATGAAATATTAATAAAATTTGTCATTAGAAGAGCTGATTATAACATATATGATCATTATTGATAAAACATTAATAATATTTCTCTTTATAAGAGTTGAATATAATAAATACTGGATGATATTATGATGAAATTTTTTAAAATTTGTTTTCTCTCTTTTAAATTAGAAAAAATAATATTAAAAATTATTATTTTTCTAAACTCAAAAGTAAATAAAGGCTTACTTTTTATTTTATTTTAAATTTGCTCTTTGTTATTGCAAAAAAATACTTCAAAGAAAAGCTCAAATTAATTCATTTAAATAAATTCAAGAATTTAATACTTTAAACATAATTTAACTTAAAATTAATCAGGGATAAATAAACTCATGTTGAATTTATATATCTTTAATATTATCTTTTAGGATTAAGGAGTTTTTATTTTTTTGCATACTTTCATGCATACATTTGAAATTATTAAACAAAGTTAATATAAATGATTAGTTAAATATTTAAAAAGTAAAAGAAAAAAAGTTAATAAAAAAGAAAGAAAATAAATTTTAGGTCATTTTAATTTTATTTACAAACAAAAAATTGATCTTAATTCTTCCTTTAAATATTAGTATTAATTTTGAAAGAGTACTTACAGGTTTAAAAAAAATATTTCTCACAAAATATTTTTGAAAACCAAACTGATTGTAATAGATTTTCTATCTAATACTTGAAATAAGAATAGTATCTAAATGTTTTTAAAGTTAATTTATTGCATTATCTTTAATAAAATAAATTTAAGCAAACAAGAGAATATAGCTAGGTTTTTTAAAAAATATTTTTTTTTAATAATTTTATAAAATTATCATATAATAGATAAGGAGAATTATAACTTTTTTATACTCGTAACAATCCATCCATCCATTTTTATGGATTAAAAAACTTTTGGAATATTAAACACAATAAATAGATAGGTGGTATGACTAAATTACAATCTATTATATTATTATCTTTTTAAGTTAAAACATAAAAAAAGAAAATTATTTTTTCATAATTTTATTTTGTGAAATTAATTTTGATAAAAGTAGATTTAACAAATATTTCTAGAAAATATCACCAAAATAAGGCAAATTTTATTAATAATAATTACATTTGTTATTGAGTAAAAATACAAAAATGAGTAGGTTTTTTAAACTTTAAAATGTTCAAACTTTCTTTTTTAGCTTAAAAAATAAGTAGCAACAAAAGAAGGAAATTCAAAAAAGCCCTTAGGAATCTAAAAATCTGTTTTAGCAAGCTTAGCAACTGCACAAACAAAATTAATTTGAAGAAGCCATCTTCTACTATAGTAAATCTATCAAATTAGATGAAAAGAACATAGTGCCATACTTTTATATGGGTCATGCCTACTAAAAGCTTTAGAATCATAAGCAGGCAATCGACTGTTTTTAAAAATATTTAGAAAACAAGCCAAAAGAAACAGCCACATATAAATATATTGGATAATCTTTCTTGAATATGAGTAATTTTGAGAGTGCAATCAAATGTTTTCTCTTAGCATTGAAATCATCTCCAGATGACCCTCTGCTTTATTACAATTTAGCAATAGCCTATGAAGGTTAATCAGAATAAAAATAAAACAATGAAGACATTGATAAAGCCATAATGCTTTACCAAAAGTCAATTTTACTAGACAAGAATCTTAAAGAGTCATTTAACAATTTAGGAAGCATTTATTTGCAAAAGAAAGATTATAATTAAGCCATTTAAAATTTTGAAAAAGCTATTGAAATAGACAATTCTTTCTCAAATGCTTACTTCAATTTATCATAAGCATATGCTAATTAGTAGAAATACTAAGAAGCCCTTATTCCATTAGAAAAGGCTAAGAATTTAGACCCAGAAAATGGCTAAATTTACTATAACTTAGCATTTTTGTATAGCAAGTTAGATAATGAATAAAAAGCAAAAGAATATTTAGAAATTAGTAAATAATTGCTAGGATAAGAGAATGAAAATTAATGAAATATGCAAAAACGCCTTAAAATGAACAACTACTAGATAGATAGATAAATAAATAACTAATTAAACTAATATAATTAATAATACTTACAAAAATGTAAATATACTTTTACTTAAAATAAGATAGATAGATACCTAATTAATATCTTTAATACAATTTCTGTAAACTAAATATAAATAAATCAATAAATCAATTAATCACAATTTTAGTCATTATTTAAATGAATAATCTTTCTTTAAAAAGCTAAATATTTAATCTATGTTTTATCTATTTTTTTATGCAGCATACAAGATAAGCTGTTTATTTTTTAATAAAATTAGACTTTCAACAAAACCCATGACTATTTTTTTTTGGAATTGAATTATAAATTTTGTAATAAAATCTGATTATGTTTTAAATTTATGATTTTAAAAAATAAATATTATTTAAATTCAAATGAGACTGATTTTTTTTTTTAATAAGCTCAATTTAATTTCTATCATATTTGAATTTATTTTAAAAATATCATAATTATTCTTTGATAAGCCAATTAAAAATTAAACTCTTTACTATTCATTCAATTAAAATGGTTCTTAACTTGATAGATATCCACTAGTTTTTTAAGGTGGATATTTAAAATGTTTAGGTATATGGTGGATATTTAATCATTTTAGGTCTTAGGTGGAGAAATAACAGGGATTGACCATAAAATCTATTTATCTTATTATATTTTATGTTAAAAACACTTTTTCAAAATATTATATAATAAAAAAAACATATAATATTCAATTATTCAAACATTTAATATTTATTCCACTGGTTTATCACATGAATTCTTTTTTTAAGACAACTAATCTTTTTGATTTAAGAATCTTGCTTATTAAATTGAATTTTTATGATTCCTTCATTTTGCTAAAAATTTTATAATAAATTGGTGTAAATTTTTAATACAAAGAAAGAACAAAAAAAAAGCAAGCACAATAAAAAGAAAAAGAAAAAAGTGCTTTATTGTTTTAAATTAGTTTTTATAACTAAATATATCACAATCCAAAACAAGTAAACTGTTTTTACAAAAGTTAAAGTGTCAAATTTGAGAGATTACTGCAATTAGCTAAAGCAGAACCTAAGCTTGATGCACCTTCATAACCAATATCATTGCAACTTTTTAAATATTGAAGAAAAAATATATCATTAAATAGCTAATTAGATGGAAAAAATCAAGAAAAAATATGAAATAATAAATAAGATTAATTAATTGATAATAAAATTAAAAGTTGAAAATAAAATGATGTGTTAAATTAACAAAGAAAGAACAAAAAAAAAGCAAACAAAAGAAAAAGAAATAAGAGTTTTATTGTTTTTAATTAGTTTTTATAATTAAAAATATCACAATCTAAAACAAATTAACTATTTTTACCCAAGCTTAAGTGTCAAATATGAGAGATTAATGCAATTTGATAAAATAGAACATAAGCCTGATGCACCTTTATCACCAATTTAATTGAAACTTTTTAAATAATGAAGAAAAAATATATCATTAAATAGTTAATTAGAAGGAAAAAATGAAGAAAAAATATGAAATAACAACATTAATTAATTAATAATAAAAGCAAAAGTTGAAAATAAAATGATGAGTTAAATTAACAAAGAGAGGACAAAAAAAGCTAGCACAAAAAAAAAGAAATAAGAGCTTTATTGTTTTTAATTAGTTTTTATAATTATAACTATCACAATCCAAAACAAATAAACTGTTTTTACTTTAAGTTAAGTGTCAAATTTGAAAGATTAATGCACTTTGATAAACCAAAACCTAAGCCTGATACACCTTCATCACCAATTTAATTACTTCTTTTTAAATATTGAAAAAAAAATATATCATTAAATCGTTAATTAGAAGGAAAAAATGTAGAAAAAATATGAAATAATAAGATTAATTAATTAATAATAAAGCCAAAAGTTGAAAATAAAATGAAGAGTTAAATTAACAAATAAAGAACAAAAAAAAGCAACCACAATAAAAAGAAAAAAGAGCTTTATTGTTTTTAATTAGTTTTTATAATTAAAAATATCACAATCCAAAACAAATAACTGTTTTTACGGAAGCAAAAGTGAAAAATTTTAGAGATTAATGCAATTTGATAAACCAAAACCTAAGCCTGATACACCTTTATCACGGATTTAATTGAAACTTTTTAAATATTGAAGAAAAAATATATCATTAAATAGTTAATTCGAAAGAAAAAATGAAGAAAAAATAAGATTAATTAATAATAAAAGCAAAAGTTAAAAATAAAATGATAAGTTAAATTAAGACAGAAAGAACAAAAAAAAGCAAGCACAATAAAAAGAAAAAGAAATAAGAGCTTTATTGTTTTAAATTAGTTTATATAATTAAAAATATCACAATCCAAAACAAATAAACTGTTTTTACCCAAGGTTAAGTGTCAAATTTGAGAGATTAATGCAATTTGATAAACCAGAACCTAAGCCTGATGCACCTTCATCACCAATTTAGCTTGAACTTTTTAAATATTGAAGAAAAAATATATCACTAAATAGTTAATTAGAAAGAAAAAATGAAGAAAATATATGAAATAACAAGATTAATTAATTAATAATAAAAGCAAAAGTTAAAAATAAAATGATGAGTTAAATTAACAAAAAAAGGACAAAAAAAAAGCAAGCACAATAAAAAGAAAAAGAAAAAAGAGCTTTATTGTTTTTTAATAGTTTTAATAATTATAACTATCACGATCCAAAACAAATAAACTGTTTTACGGAAGCCAAAGTAAAAAATTTGAGAGATTAATGCAATTTGATAAACCAAAAACTAAGCCTGATACACCTTTATCACGGATTTAATTTCCACTTTTTAAATATTGAAGAAAAAATATATCATTAAATAGTTAATTTGAAAGAAAAAATGAAGAAAAAATTTGAAAAAATAAGATTAATTAATAATAAAAGTAAAAGTTGAAAATAAAATGATAAGTTAAATTTACAAAGAAAGAATAAAAAAAAAAGCAAGCACAATAAAAAGAAAAAGAAATAAGAGCTTTATAATTTTAAATTAGTTTTTATAATTCATAATCCAAAATAAATAAAATGTTTTTACCCAAGGATAAGTGACAATTTTGAGAGATTAATGCAATTTGATAAATCAGAACCTAAGGCTGATGCACCTTCATCACCAATTTAATTCTCACTTTTTAAATATTGAAGAAAAAATATATCATTAAATAGCTAATTAGAAGGAAAAAATGAAGAAAAAATATGAAATAACAAGATTAATTAATTATGAAAGCAAAAGTTGAAAATAAAATGGTGAGTTAAATTAACAACGAAAGAACAAAAAAAAAAGCAAACACAATAATAAGAAAAAGAAAAAAGAGCTTTATTGTTTTTAATTAGTTCTTATAATTAAAAATATCACAATCCAAAACAAATAAACTGTTTTTACCAAAGTGAAAGTGTCAATTTTGAGAGATTAATGCAATTTGATAAACCAGAACCTAAGGCTGATGCACCTTCGTCACCAATTTAATTACTTCTTTTTAAATATTGAAGAAAAAATATATCATTAAATAGCTTAAAAAATTAAGAAAAAATATGAAATAACAAGATTAATTAATTAATAATAAAAGCAAAAGTTGAAAATAAAATGATGAGTTAAATTAACAACGAAAGAACAAAAAAATAATAAGAAAAATAAAAAAGAGCTTTATTGTTTTTAATTAGTTTTTATAATTAAAAATATTATAATTCAAAATAAATAAGCTGTTTTTACCCAAGCAAAAGGGTCAAATTAGAGAGATTAATGCAATTTGATAAACCAGAACCTAAGCCTGAAACACCCATAGCACCAATTTAATTGGAACTTTTTAAATATTGAAGAAAAAATATATCATTAAATAGTTAATTAGAAGGAAAAAATATGAAATAACAAGATTAATTAATAATGAAAGCAAAAGTTGAAAATAAATTGATGAGTTAAATTAACAACGAAAGAACAAAAAAATAGCAAACACAATAATAAGAAAAAGAAAAAAGAGCTTTATTGTTTTTAATTAGTTTTTATAATTCAAAATATCACAATCCAAAACAAATAAACTATTTTTACACAAGTATAAGTTCCAAATTAGAGAGATTAATGCAATTTGATAAACCAGAACCTAAGTTTGAAATACCCATAGCACCAATTTAATTGGAACTTTTTAATTATTGAAGAAAAAAATATCATCAAATAGTTAATTAGAAGGAAAAAATGAAGAAAAAATATGAAATAATAAAATTAATTAATAATAAAAGCAAAAGTTGAATATAAAATGATGAGCTAAACTAACAAAGAAAGAACAAAAAAAGCAAGCACAATAAAAAGAAAAAACAAAAATGTATTGTTTTTTTAATTAGTTTTTATAATTAAAAATATCACAATCCAAAATAAATAAACTGTTTTTACTCAAGCCAAAGTTCCAAATTTGAGAGATTAATGCAATTTGATAAACCAGAACCTAAGCCTGATGCACCTTCGTCACCAATTTAATTGGAACTTTTTAAAAATTGAAGAAAAAATATAACATTAAATATTTAATTAGAAGGAAAAAATGAAGAAAATATATGAAATAATAAGATTAATTAATTAATAATAAAAGAAAAAAAGTTGAAAATAAAATGATGAGTTAAATTAACAAAGAAAGAAAAGAAAAAAGAGCTTTATTCTTTTTAATTAGTTTTTATAATTAAAAATATCATAATCCTAAATAAATAAGCTGTTTTTACCCAAGCAAAAGTGTCAAATTTGTTTTCATAAAAATTAATAAATAATGATGATAGTTTCAAAAACAAAAATTACTTATTTAAATAAATTGAAAGTTAAATATATAAAAAATATTAATAATAATAAAAATAATATTAATAAATAAAAAACACTTCAGTTCAATATGGAGAACCTCATGAGATAAAAGTGAAGAGCTTAAAAACTTTTTTTATTAATTTATATAAATTTAAAGGATATTAATAAAAAAATTAATAATTACTTCTTCTAATCTGTTGTAATATTTAATCTATTTCATTTATTTTTTTTTTTCAAAAATATTGAATAGCGATTTATGAAATTTAATTAATTAATAATAAATGGATAAAATGAACTAATAAAATATAATAATTAATTATCAGATATTAATTTATTAATTTTGTTTTATGAAGAGATAGATAGATATCAATCACAGAAGAGTTATTTAAAAATTCATTATTTAATCTTAATATTTGTATTTAAAACATATACTTAAAAATATAATATATAGAAAAAAATTGTATTGATCCCAGCCAAAAAAGAAAAATATATTTCTCTATTCTCCATACCTATCACACTATTTTTTTCTGCCTTCCAAGCATTTCGCCTTGAAGGCTTTATTATTTTCAGAAAAAATGATAAAAAAATAATGAATTTAAAAATAAATTGCTAATAAAATGATAGATTACATAATTTATTAATATCTAAATTAATTAATATTTAATTAAATAAAATATGAAAAGGAAAGACAAACAACATAAAATTAATTATCAATAAATTTATCTATAATTTTTTAATTAATATAAAATAAAATTAAAATTAAAATAATTTACTTAAAAAAAATTAAAAAGTAAACAAATAAAAACATTAAAATAAAATAACATAAAAATTAAAAATTAAGTAATTGATTTATTTTTTATTTATATTTTACTCTTCTTAGCTACACAAAAAATATGCAGCAAATAGCTATTTTAATTAAATGAAATGTCACAATCTGCACATACATACACAGCTAGCAATATTTTAGTAACAAGATTAGAAATATTATTTAAATTGCACTATCAATTAATTGTAATTATTTTTACCTAATCTTTAAATAATGTCAATTTTTGAAAGAATTTTTTTGATCATTTCTAATAAATAAAAAATAACAAGTTTTACTTAAAATATGGCTATTGGAAACATAAAGAGAGTAGACTGGATAAAATATATATCTACTTATCCCTAATTTTATATTAGATAGAAGTGTTGCTTGCTATGGATATTTATTAAAAGCATATTCACTTTTAATTCTCACAAGAAATTAAATTATTTGAGTTTTTATTGAGAACGAATATGAACATCAAATATAAGTGGCTATTTTAGCTAATTAAAATACAAAAATAATGAAATTTATTAGTTTTTAATTTGTAGGTATTACTAACTAACCATTACAGATGATTTATTTTAATTTATTATTCTAATTTTATAATGATTCTAAAATTATATATGAAATTTTCATAGCAAAGTACCTCTAACAAATAAGTAAATTAAAAAGAGACAGATAATCAGATAGACAAACTTACAAACAAACAAATAAACAAATAAACAGACTACTATTTTTGTTTTAAACAAGAATTCTATTCTGGTATCTATTTTTTATAGATAAATAAATGAAAACATAACTGAATTAATAGGGGTCTGCAGAAAAGATTAAAGGTTTACTGGATTTTAAATTTATTTACTGCGAATAAATTACTTTATTTGATAAATTAAATAAAAACTTAAGCATATTTGTATTAATTTATAGATGGAAATAAAGCCAAATAATTAATAATAAGCAATTAATTTCTATTAATTTAATATAAATTGTGTAAAAATAATCAAAAGGCAAATAATTAAATTAATGAAAATCTTAATAGGTTTAGTGGTTATTAGCATTGCTTTTGCTAAATAAATTTTAACAAGCTTAGATGTGCTAGATATGAATAATAATCCTACAAGGATATCTTTTTATTATTGTAGCATCACCATTTCTGATAATTATGAATGCTTATATGATAAAAATTTCTAATTATAATTAGAGGAGACTTTAAAGTCTTTTTGTAAGAGAGTAAATAGCATGTTTCTTTGCTTAGAAACAACAGACAATTATGTCTTAAAGAGAAACTAATTTAGTATCGAATCATCTGTCTTTGATGATAAGTGTAGCATGTTTTCTGAGGATGGAAAGATATGTGAGAGTCCAAAATCTGGGTACACTTTTGTTATTCCTGATAACACTTATATTTTGATGGATAAAACAATGTGCGCTATTTATAATTCTACCAATAAGACTTGCGAGAAATATTACTATCGCTTCTTGCCAGTAGAAGACTACAGCTACTCAGTATTTTTCAAAGACTTTCAAAATTTTGAGAAAATTTAGAAAGGCTCTACTTCTAAAAATATTAAATGTTAAACGGGATATAAGTTATTAAAAACTCAAGATAAAATTGGTTGCGTCAATGATGACTTTTTTGATCCTTTCTGTTCTAAAGCTGACGAATTTAATAGATGCTAGGAGTGCATAGCTAATTATGCGATAAATGCTCATACTGGCGAATGTCAATACAGCACTGTAGATAATTGCTTAATTTAGGTTATTGAAAATCCATCAGACAACTTTTCTTAATGCCTACTTTGCTAAAAGGGCTATAAAATTGTTAAGGAAGAAAAAAATAACTATGTATGTAAAAAATGGCTAAATTGCTAAACTATTAATAAATATCCTCCTTATGAATGCTTGGCTTGTTTTATCAGAAAAGATATTCCGGAATATGCAAACGATTGCAGGATAAACGAAAAGAAAAATATTGATATATATAATTAATATGGTGGAGGCTTGAAGTGTAAAGATAATGAAAACTTTTTCTTAAAATATGATTGCGTTGAAAGAAAGTTCTCAAAAAATTGCCCGAATAAATCATAACACCCCTTAGGAGATTTCTGCACTTCATTAGGTTCTGATAGATAATTTTGGCTTTAGGAGGATGTAGATCGTCCTATTCCAAAATCTATCGCTCATCTTGAGCCTCTGAAGATATCCAGTACTTCTGATTACATAAATATTATAGGTATAGTTCAAAAGAATTCAATGTTTTTTAAAAGTTATGGAAGTAGAATGTATACTAATACGCAATACTATTAGTAATTTGAAATGACCTATGACTTTTAATTATTTAATCCCTAGTAGATCACTTAAATTTAAGGATGTTTAGAATACTCCCTTTTTTCTGATTTGTGTGTTAGATGCGAATAAGGTATTGTTCTCGTAAACTCTAGTAAAACACCTTAGTCGTAATGTTCTCAGGATACCTAACAGATACCAGAAGGATGCTTAGTTTTTGATACTCAGAAAAAACAATGCTTAAAGTGCTCAGATTAAAAGCCTTATTGCTAATCTCCTAAGATAGATAATTGTAGAAAATAATTCTATGAAAAGTGTCTTATCTGCGAAGATGGCTATACCCTTACAAAGTAATTTAAGTGTGTAATATAATAACCAGATTTTTACTATACCAACTTTGCCTTATTTGATGGTGAGGATTATTGCTTTCAAGGATTTTACTTTTAAACAGCTATTAAAAGCTAAAACGGAGAATATTCTTGCCAAAACACAAAAGAAAATTGTATAAATTTTTCTAGCAGCGGTAAATGTAATTAATGCTAATTTGGCTATAGCTTGAACCAAGATACATATAAATGCTAAACATCTGCTAAACTATAAAACTGCTTATACTCTAAAGGAATAGATACGTGCACATATTGTTAAAATTCTTATCAACTCCTCAACGATGGTACTTGCAAGTTTATTTCTCCGATAGCAAAATGCTAAGATAATAATTTAAATTGCTAATGTGGAATAAATACCAATTTTTGTATTTTATGTGATGACGGCTTTAAATAAGCTACTTCTTCCTTTTATAGGTGTGATAAAGTTTGTAAAAATGGATAGATCGGAAACGCGTTACCTACTTGCTCTTAACAAATTAAATGCTAGAATGGTTGTTAAACATGTGCTTTCAATAATACTAGTTTTTGCTATTCATGCTAAAATGGAGTATAGCCAATTGATGGAAGCTGCGATTCAAAGCCAAAGCAATGCAAACCTAACGAATTTCTTACTTAAACAAAAAGGTAGGTTTGCATAAAGTGTCCTGATTAATGCTCCTCGTGCTCATCTCTTACAAAATGCATAACATGTGTAGATCCTTCAAAATCTGTTAACTTATTATGTAATTGTAAATTAAACTAATTCTACCATGAAAATACCTGTATCGATAAATGTCCATATGGATGGAAAAAGTCTGAAACAGAAGAAGGTAAATGCATAAAAGCTTGCCCTGATGGCCAATATGCTATATAAGATAAAGAAAACAACTTTCTGAAGTGCTCTGATATAAATTCTGATTCTAATCTCTAGCTTTATTGTTCATCTTTGATAGGAGCATTGCCAGATTTATTAACAACAAGCATCTCAAATAATACAAATGATTATATTGACATAAAAATTACTTTCAGCCAAAGTGAAATCAAAAAGTGCTTCACATTCAAAGTAGTAAGCGCAAGTAATGTGGAATAATAGCTTTAAGATTAGTAAACTAATATCAACAACAAGCTAGAAATGATTGCTCACATTTCTAAAAAGGATATCTCTTAGAGTATAAGTGAAGATTAAAACAAAAATAAATTCATTTTTGTTTTATTTTAGATATTCCAAAAAGATGTGCAAAAACAAGAAGTAAAGATTAAATTAACCACAGATTTTGCCTTAATCCCTTTTGAAATCTAAAAAAATTTTGAAGAAGTTCAAAAAATATGCCAAAATTGTGAAATTCCAAATTCAGTTTAGGTTTAATCCACTTTATAAGTAAGCTGCAAGACTAGCAAAAACTGCTCTTCAAACACTGTATCAGCTTAAACGGAAGAAGATATAGAAATAGTATAGACCACTGGTGAATCTAGCTACCAAAGTAGTAGAATAGAACCTCACGAGTTTAGAATTACTACTCGTAATTCTACTGATGGAAGCATTAAAGTAATTTTAGATCATCCTTTCTCAATAGATTAATCCTAGCCAGGTAAAATTTTGTATAAATTTAAAGCACCTAAGTAGGCAAATAACTCAACCATAAGAATAACTTCCAAAGTTTTATAGTCTGGAAAAAAGAGATTATTAGAGAGTGATTAAGTTCTTTATCCAAGCAAGTATAAATATTTAGTTCAGAGCTTTTAAATCTAAATATAAGAAAAATCAACTCCATCAACTGATCCAACAACTTAAACATCAACATCAAGTGAAAACTAAAGTACAGAAAGTTCTCAAGATAATTCTACAAATACTCAATTAATAATCATTATAGTATTCTCAATAGTAGGTGGTCTAGTAATTATAGGAATAGTAGCTATAATATATTTAAGAAAAAAAAATAGAGCAAGTAAGTTCCGCGATTTTGAAATTGAAAGTAAAAAAAGCGATAAAAATGGCAGTTAATAAGTTTAAAGCAATGGAGAATTAAAAGGTTCATAAGAATTATATGGAATTGAATACATTTGAGCCAAATAAATTAAAAAATTTTAATAATTTTTTAGAAGGACTTTCTTTTATTTTATTAAGTATTTTTATGTTTTTTATTCAATAACTGAAAAAATTACAATAATTTATTTTTATTTTTTTTTATATTTTCAAAAAGAGTTTTTTCTTTTTATTTCATATGATTAAATAATAAATTCAATAAAATTAAAATTTTTGATAATAAATCAATGAAATTACTTACTTACTATAAATATCCATTTATTAAGACTTTTAGGTAAAAGGTTGATTAAGAAAATTTTTTAATTTTTAGCCCATTGAATAAGGGGTCAGTCAATAATGGGGGATGTTAATTAATATTTGAGGATTTATATTAATTGAAAAAGTAGCAAGTAAAAATTCAAGAGAAATTTACATAAATTCAACAACAGCTTCAAAACTAAAAAACTTTTGAATAGATAGATAGAGTAAATTTATATTAAATATTTAATGATTTAGCAAGTCAGAAGGATGCTTTAGAAAGCTTTAAAATACTCATTAATATAAAATGTCACTTTCAAAAGCAAAAAATTAGAAAAATAAAACATATTTAAATATGCTTTTTTTGTTTTTATTTATGATTATTAAAAATAAACACTTATTTTCAATCTCAGATTCTATCAATTACAAAAATGTCTTGATCAAAAATGATTTTTTAACATTTCAAAAAAAAAAATACAGAAATAAGAGAAACTCATATGTCAATCGAAGTGATAAATAAAAGGATTTAAATTAAGATTAATTATCTTAATATTTAGAATATTCTGTTTTTTTTGTTATTATAAAATGCAATTATTGAATATTGTTAAAATTATTGTTTGAATTTTTCTATCAAATTGTGCCAGAAAACAAATCTGTTATTTGGTTTTTTTTTGTTTACAAGAAATAAAGAATTCAAATGAATATTAGTGAGATGTTTAGATAACATTTGTTTGCTATTTATCTATATATTTATTTATCTTTTTTAATTTCTTTCAGTTTTTGAGTAATAATTTGAAATTTATTAAATTAAAATAAGTTTTGGCGAAAAGAAAGAGTAGATCTTAAAAATAATATTAGTTCTATTAGAATTTAAATATAAATAAATGTCAAACAAAATCAAGCCTTTAGAAAAAAGCACAAGCAACGAAAGCAGCAATGGATTGATTTAAAATAGAAAATTAAAAAGGTTCCTAAATCCTCAAAAGGTTGAAGAATTTGCAGAAGAAAATGACAAAATGCTCGTAATTTTTCAAAATAAAGTATACGATTTATCATAATTTCAGCATGAGCATCCAGGTAAGAAATAAATTCATCATTATAATATATTAATATTAGAATGCAGATAAAAGAAATAAATTAGACAATATTTTAAAATTATAAATCAAATATAAATAAAAAAGGTGGCCAAGATGCTATCGAAGATTACTAGGGACTTGATATATCTGACATATTTTTTAACTCCTCAAGACATAAACATTCTTAATATGCATAAAATCTTATGCAAAAGTACATTTACGGTGTAATTGGAGATGAGCAAGAGGAGGAAAGAGAACAGCTTAAATAAGGAAAGATAAAGGTATTAATTAGTTAAATACACTTTGTTTAATACATATGATTTAGTTTAATTTTACCATTTCAAAAAAAGTAAGTTGTTTAAATTCAAATTATTATTAAACCTATATCATAGGTAAAATAATTTGAACAAGCAATTAAGTTTAAAAAACAACTCAAAGCTAGTAAACAATAAATAGATAAATTAAAATGAAATTTTTTAATTTATAATTAAAATATATTTAAAGACAATATGTTAATAAAAAATACTTTAAAATTAAAAGAAATAATATCCTCACCTCACACACGACTATAAATTGGAATATAAAAATGTGACTTTGAATTTAAATAAGGGTTTGGTTAGTCAAATTAGAGCAATAAAAGATAAAAAGACGTATGAAGATTTGTTAAAAAACCCTTGCAAGAGAGTAGTTGGAACAAAACTTTTTGATAATGACTCAATTGACTCTCTGTTGAATAATAATATAGGAATAGTAGTTCTTTTGTATACCATGATATTCATTTACATGTTCTATTGTGGTCTCAATTTAGATTATAACTATTCTAGGGGAATGTTTGACAGGCATTATAAAGCTGATAACAGACCCTTGCTTTTTCTTTTTGGTTTCTTATTTTGTGGAATTATCATTTTCTGGATTATGGAATATGTTTTTCTAAGAATCATTTTGCAGCCTTATGTCCTAGGAAAAACATTCCATTTCTTAATTTTTGGAATTCACTATGTCTTTCCATTAGATGAGTAATTTATTTATTTATTTCTTTTAATTTATTTCAGGTTTGAGTATAAATAATCTTAGCCTTTCTTCTTTAAATTTACTTGGAAGATTGATTTACTTAATGAAATTATTTTGAGATTTTCTGCATCTAATTTAAATCAAATGCAATATTTAAAAAAATAAATTGATTATTTTATTTCTATAAACACAATTTTTAATAAATTTTATATTTAATTATTTAAATATTTCAAATATCTTATCAAAAATCAAGCTTTAAATAAAATTAATTGATTTTTTAGATATGTTAAAATTTATTTAAAAGCATTAAAATAAAAATTATATTTTCTAAAATTTAACTTTAATATTCAAAAATTAATATTTGCTTTTAAATAATTTTTAAATCTGATTTTTAAAATTTGATATTGGAATATTTTATGATAAAATGAAATTAAAATTCATAAAATAAAAATATTTAATATTTATTCAAAATTATTTGTTAAATATTAATTTATTTTATTTATATAGAGCCAGAACAACAATTTAGCCATTCTTCAGCATTTTTGTAGCATTTTTGATAAGATATTCACTAGGTTTGTTAATATATGGAAATACTTTATATTTAATTCTAAGTGGTATTTGTTTAGGATATCTTTATTATGAGGTAGTTCACTATGCTCTCCATAATAAAAAGAAATTAACTCTTAGTTATTCTTAATATTTAAGGAATAAACACGCTAAGCATCACTTTAAAGATAGGGAATATGGCTATTAAGTCACCAATCATTTTTGGGATAAATTCTTTTAGCTTAATGATCTTGATGAAGAAGAAAAGACAAAAGATATATTTGGGTTTATAACTGGTAAAGAAAAGAGCACTGATTACGACAGTGATAGTTGATTTGAACAATATTTAAATATTAGAAAAAAAATTAATTTAATTTTGTATTCTTTTATAGAAATTATTTTGTAATAAAAATTTTAAATACTTTTTAATTAAAATTCATTTTTCATTAAAAAAAAAAATTTGCTGCTACTTTTGCACAATAATAATTTTTTTTTGAGTGCAGAGAAAAGAATCAAAAATTCTACTTGGATATTGTGTTTGATAATTAATTATTAGATAAATAGATAGAGATTGCTATAAATGATATAGTGGTTCAATTAAAAATAAATGAAAGAAAAGTGTGAAAAAATAACGAGTAGATTCAAAAGTAGGAACTGAATGATTTATTTGTCTTAATACAACAAAGGTATTTGTTTGTAATTTGATTAATATTATTATCTAAAATTATTAAAAACCAAATTTAAAAGCAAAAATTAACAAATTAAAATAAAAAATATAAGAAATATGGGAGAGGTAAATAATAGCGAAATAGAGGTTAACAAGACATCCACATTTGATGAAAAGAAGTTAGGATAAAACATCTCTTCTAACGTTTCTAGTGATCTTGGCATCTTAACCATTTTTGACTCTAATGAGATTCCCAAGAATAGCGATGGCACTATTAGCGAATAAACTCTCTTGGAAAGAACCAGATTGAACATCTCCAGAATTTTCAATAAGATGCTTTCCATGAAGACTCTCTAAAACGCTGAGAGAGATGCTAAGGATGAAGAATTATAGATTCACGATTTCTCCAAAGGCGCTTACGAATTGAAGTTGCCTAACAAAGTTTCTGTTTTTCCAAGATAAAAACCTATTCCTAAAGAAAAGCCATTAACAAGATGGTAAAAATTCGCAAAGGAAAAGGGTATTGAAAAGAAGAAAAGAGGCAGAATGGTTTATGATGAAAACGTTTAAGATTATGTACCAAGATGGGGTGCTTACAGCGTTAAAAAGAATGAAGATAAATTCACACCTGTTATTGAACATAAGGCCGGTACTGATCCTTATGAAGATCCTTTCTTGAGAAAATCTCTTGAGAAAAGATTGGCAAAAGAAAAGCAAAAAATGAATGAAATTAGAAATAAACTTGAATCTAAGGGCTATGATGTAAATAAAGTAATGAAAAGTTCAGATAAAGAAGATAAGAAAGCAGCTTCAAAGAAGAGACTGAAAGGTGATAAGAAGCTCCTCTAAAAGTAATTATAGGTAGCTCAAAATTCAACTAGATCTATGGGTACATATGATAAAAAGGCCCATAAAGATGAGGTTAAGATGAAACCTAAAGTCAGAAGATAAAATGTAGAATTTAATGATAGAAAGGAAGAAAAGAGAAGAGATCTTGACATCCTTGACTTCATATAAAAGGGAGAAGGCTCAAAGAAGCTTAAGAAGAACTGATTTAATATATTTTTCAACATTTCTTTGTAGTAATTAATGTATATATATATATTTTGTTTAACTTTCTCTAAGTATTAAAAGCTACTATGCATCCAATTAATTTACTATATTATTCAATCTATCTTAATATTTGTTAAATAATTAATTTATTAATTTGCATTTTCCAAAATATTAAATTCATTCTATGACATAGAACTTATAGCAGCAGCAAAAGTAACTAAGTAAGTAGAGTAGGTATTTGCATTTAAAAAATGATATCTACAAATATATTTCAATTTTATAAAAAAATAGGTTTAATAATCTTGAAATTTGCATAACATTAAAAAAATATTATTATGATTTACTTAAAGAATATTTTAATTTGACTTGCTAGTTGATTGATTTTTAGAATCAAAAATAAATAAAAATGGGTTATTTATGAATAATAATTAGAATTTAAAAACTTACTTACTTACATTTTAAGAGTTAATTTATAATTTTAATGGTTAAGAAATATTTATTAAATTAAATAAAATTATATAATTTTGCATTGCTTAAATTTTATTGTTGTTTAATCCTTAAAAATATTTTTTAGGGAATTGTATTTTCATTTAAAAAAAGTTTTTATTTTTTGAGAGTTAATTTACAGTTTTGATTAAGTAGTTATCGTGGAAACTAATTATAAATAATTTACAAATAAATGCTGTTTTTTAGAAAACATTTTAAATAATTAGAAAATTAATTTAGAAAATTTTAAATTCAAAAAAAAAAAATAAATTAGTGAGTTAAACTAATTTAAAATTAAAATAATAAAATTTATTTAAATTCATCTGTATCCTAATTAGATATATTTATAAATCCTATTTAATCAAATTAAACAATCAAATAAATAGAAAGCAGGTTATTAAAGATAGATCTTAAATAAAGATAAATAAGTAAATAGTTAAGACAGACAGATAGATAGATAAATAAATAGATCTTCATCTATTAACTTTAAGAAATAAAGCTAAAATTCAAGGAAAAAGAAAAATTTAAATAAAAAAAACCAATTAATAAAATTGAATTTATGTATGTGTGTATTGCTTCTAATTAAGATTAAATACATTTATTGTCTAAGGAAATATTTTTACTAAAATAACATGATTATATGTGCTAAATAACAAAGACATACATAAATAAATGAATGAATAAGTTTCCTGATTAATAAGGATAATTAGAAATATATTAATTATATGGATAGGATCTGTATGTATGTATATATGTATTTATTTATATTAATGATTGATAACTTGACTTAAAAGAAAATATAATAAAACAAGCTAACAAATTTTACTCTAATTGATTAGATAAAATTTTTATAAATTAAAAAGTTTGTTTGTTTGTATTTTTTTTATCTTTACTAAAAATTATCAAAGAGTAAAAATTAATTAATTAAATATAGGCATGTCTAGCTAATAACCTCCAATTATGCATCCTCCTATGCAGGGAGGTATGCCACCTCCACCACCTGGTTTAATGGGCCCTCCTTAGATGGGTGGTATTCCTCCTGGCGGAATGCCTCCCCATAATATGATGCTTCCACCTGGTATGCATCCACCTCCTATGCCTGGTCCTCCTCCTGGAATGATGCCCCCTGGAATGTCTGCCCCTCCATATATGATGGGATAACCTCCAATGGGAGGCGGAGGCATGGTCCCTATGCCTTACATGAGACCAATGAAATAGTTCTTCCCTTAGGAAATTTAAAATTATTTCAAAGAAAGAAACGTTGGGTTTATCAAATCAAAGAATAAACCAAAATGCAGAAGCTACGATGCAACCACATCTCATGGAATGTGGGATTACATTCTTTAGAAATTCGAGAGAGGCCCACCTGTCCCTCTTGAAAAGTTTGAGACTCCTGAAGAGAAAATGATTAGAGAAAAGAAGGAAAAAAAGGAAAAGTTAAAATAGAAAATTAGAGACGAAATGTAGAGCTGGAATCCATTTGATGACTAAAAATAAACTTCTGATCCTTATAAAACATTATTGATATTTAATATTTCTTACAATGTAAATGAATCTAAATTGAAAGAACACTTCAAGGTGTATGGACCAATCAAGTCTTGTCGCATCATTAGAAATTAAAATCAAAAGCATAGAGGTTATGGCTTCATTGAATTCGAAAGGAAAAATGATTTTATTTCAGCCTATAAAAATGCTCACGAAAAGAAAATTGATGGCAGAAGAATTGGAGTCGATATCGAAAGAGGCCGTACAATTTTAAGTTTTAGACCAAGAAGATTTGGCGGAGGATTAGGTAATGATGATGCTTGTTATTATTTAACTCTAACAATTTTTAATTTTAGTTGATTTTTTCATTAATTTATTAAAATTAACAACAATAACAATGGTAAACGATTTTTTATTTTTGGTGATCTTCTATCATTCATTAATTTTGCACAATCATGTCATGTCATAAATTAAATTATCCGCCTTTGTAGCGATTGATTTCAGCAATGTTTTAACCAAAGCGAATAAGGTAAGAAATAGCAAAGTAAATAAAGATTATAATAGGTTTGTTTATAAGCGAAATATAATAAATAGTTGCCAGCAAACAAAAGGTAGTTAGTTTGTTACTTTGTTTGTTTGTTAAATAGTTAGTTAATTGATTTTCAAACAAGGATTTTAAATAGTTTATTTGCTTGTTTGTTTGTTTGGTGCATGCAGACTTCCAAAAGATATTCCTTTCCATTTCTGACTAATTTGAAAAAATTACTTGAGGGATGCATGCATATTTACAAACAAGCAACCAAGCAAGCTAGCAAGTAAGTAAGCAAGCAAACAAGCAGTATAATCAATCATACATTTTTCTTTAATAAAACAATTCAAAAACCTAAAAAGAGAGTCGATTCCACTAATAAGCTACTACTTACTTTATTACTACTTTTGCACACCATTTTATTTATAGCCCTTAAAGAATTTCAAACAAATTTCTAAGATTCTTTGAACAAACATTGATTGAAGCAAACAATGAAAGCTGAAATGAATGAATGAATAAATGAAATCAATTAATTGATTATATGAATTGATTTGAGATTTATGGTGATATTATATGGCTATTCAGAGATGAATAAATAATTAAGATAATAAAATATTTTGTAAAAATCAATATAAATGAGAAGAGAGAGATCAATCCCATCATACATTTTTTTAACTTAAATAGGTGATTCTAGAAAATCTAGAGCTAGATCTGTGAGTGAAGAAAACGGCTACTTGAGTGACGACAGTGATGCTGATAAAAAGAAAAAAAGAGCTAGAAGTACATCTTATCATTCTCGTCGTAGCAATTCAAGAAGAAGCTATTCCCGTAAAAGCCGTTCTCCATCGAGAAGAAGAAGTCCTTCTCGCAGAAGCTACTCTAGAGAAAAGCAGAGAAAATATAGCAATTCTAGAAGCAGAAGCAGAAGTAACAATAAAAGGAGCAGATCACCTTCTGCTAAACCCTTGAGAAATAAAAGCAGATCTCCTGATAAAAATGACAGGAATTCTCATGATGCTCCTTTGAGAAAGCCAAGCAGATCTCCAAACAGAAGATCTAGAAGCAGAGATAACTCTAGAGATAAATAAAATAATGGTTCATTGAAAAACTCTAAGAAATCCAGAAAGAGTAGATCTCGCTCTCCTCTCAATGATAATAGAAACAGTAGAAATTACGATGATAATAATAGCAACATCTTCCCAACAAACGAGGAAAGATTAGAAAGAAAGGAAAAAAAATCCAAAAAGGATAGTAAGAGAGCAAATCATAATCGTGACGGAGTTTAAATTAATGAAGAAGAGGGAGAAATAAGAGGTGCTGAAGAAGGAGAATGGGATAATGATCGTGATAGAAAGAAGAAGAAGAAAAAGGAAAAAAAAGATGATAAAAAAGAGGAGAAAGGAAGCAAAAAAGAAAAAAAATCTAAAAAGGATAATTGAGTTAAGCTATTTTATTTATAAAAATAACCAAAACATAGTAAAAAATTTAACTAATATAACTAACAAAAAATCTGATCGATCGATATATATTCTTTAATACTACATGTATAGCATAAGGTTACTTACTTATTTTCGTTTTTTTAGCATGTTTACATCAAATAAATAACTCTGTAAATTTTTAATTGTACAAAATTTGGCAATGCATGTTTACTCAAAATGCATTTTTTTTTATTTATTATTTCATAATTAATTTGAAACAAGCCATATTAATTAACAGTAAATCTGCAATCTTCAAATAAAAATGAATAATTTATATTGAAGAATGGAATTGATATATGAATAATAAAATTTATTTTTTAAATTAATGAATCTATAAATTTAAAAACTTATTTTAAATTTTAAAACTAAAATACAAATTTAAATTTTAATTGTTTTGGAAATATTATTCATAAAATACTTACTTACTTATCTACCTATTTTAAAAGTTTTTATGCAACTTTTTTTTGTAGCTAATTTATTTATTTTGAACTATTTAACAATCATAGAATATTTCTATTTTTTAGTTAAAGTAAACATAGAAAAATACCAGCATTTAATATTTATAATATTAATGGCTGTTAGTAATATAATAATCATAATATAAATTAACTTATTTGTTCCCTTAGTTGCTTACTTACTTATTTAAATACTTAGGGCTACTAAAAAAATAATTTTATTAAATAAAAAATAAAATATAAGTGCTATATCTATATTTTATTTGAAAGTTAATATTTTTTTGTATTTGTAGAATTTGTTTAAGCTATAATCTATTATAAAAAGCAGATTAAAAATTAAATAAATTTGCTAAAAGATAATAAATGTTAGTTTATTTTTAAATATTTAAAATAAATTTATATTTTATCTAGATTTTGCTAGAGGAAACTAAAAAACTAATAATTGCTAAAAAACTAATAATTCCTGTATCAGATGTTGATTTAATTTTTATTAGCGCAATTTATTATTTACATATAAAAATCCATAATTTATTTATTTATTTTAATTTATTAATATGTCTAAACAAAAAATAAATTATTTTAAATTTTGTAAATAAATAATAATAAAAAAGTATATAAATTTAATTAATTTAAATAAAATTTACCAACAAATAGTTAGTTCTTGTTTTTTATTTGCTAAAGTATTCTTATTTTATAAATACCTTACTTTATTTATTTATTTATTTATTGTTATTTGGTGGTCCATATTTTTTGTTTTTTTAATCCTAAAATCAAGAATCAACATATTTTTAAAGATACTTTTTAATCATAAAAGATTGAAAACATTTTTTATTGATAAGAAAAAGATTTTTTTTTTTATAAATCAATAAATAAATAAATAACCTATGAGAGATTTATTTTATTAAATAATTTGAAAAGTTTTATAATATTAAATAAATACAAATTTATAGAAAATTACAACTGACAGGTTTAAAAAAATGAATAAATTTGTAAATAAAAATAAATAATTCAATAAATTTGCTTAATTAAATTAATTATTTTAAAATTTTGTTATTCATTATTAAATCTAAAACTTTTTGATATCTTAAACAATAGAAATTTAATCTAATTCATTTTATTAAATATTTGATTATGTGTAAAAGCACAAGAAATAAGGTTTTTTACTTTTTGAATATTTTTTGCGGTATTTTAAAGAACCTGAGTTTATTATAAACAAATCTAGATAGTATGATTCCACAAACTAATCAAGTATTTCTTTAGGATTTTCTTTTAGCTTTTTTTTACTAAGAAATCTAATCAATCTTTTATAATGATCTAAAAGAAGAGATGATATAAATTCATATTTAAAAAGATTATCCAAAAATTCTATAGCCATTTTATTGTTATCATCAAAGTAATTCACAACTAAGTCAAAAAATCTCAAATATATTTATCTTAAGATGATGTAGTCAACTTCAAGTTGCTTATTTTTTGAATCGATGTGCATCAGTTGTTTAATTAAATATTTTTTTGATTTAGCTTGACTTCCAGAGCATATAAAATTTTTTAATATACAATACATAGTGGTTTTTAATAGTTTTTCCTTTCTGAAATTAAAACTGACTGCTTTGAAATTTTATTCCTTATATATTATTTGATTCTCTTCTTAGTTGCATAAGTCGTATCCAAACTATTTGATTTCCTTTATTGACTTTATCTTATCAATCGTTGATTACTCGAAATCTGAATCGTCAATCAAATAGTTAATTTTTTACTTTTATATATTATTATTTAATTCATTTTTAAATTCCTCTGAAAAAAAGCTCTTTTAGAATTTATTTTACTCAAACATATTTACAATAAAATCAATTAGTTGGCTCTTATAATTCTAATTATCGTCATTTTATATTTATTCTGTTGTAGAGGTTACATAAGAGCGAAGAATGCTTTCTTGTTTATTTTCAAAATCAGCGTAATTTGTAAAGTCTGTACTCATTATATCAGTTTCTTCATCATTGAATGATAAACTCTAATTAGATTATATGTTATTCCTAGAATTAAATTCAATTTTACTGCTTGTTATAAACTTTTCTTTTATCTAACTAATTATTTATTTTCTGTCTTATTTATTTTCCAAAAATTACTAAATTTCTTTATTAATTTCGCTTAAAACTGAATCTAATTATTATATTTTCTTAGAGTCAACAAAAGTAGGTATAGAAATGCATATATCTTCGATATAAGATATATTTTGGTATTCATCCTTCCAATCAGGAAGTTCTTTTATCTGTTAAAACTCATTCATATTTCTAAATTAATGATACAGTTATTAATTATTACCATCATTATTTCTGTTACTATAATTATTATTGTTATTACTGTGATCATTATAGTTATAATTGTTGCGTTAATTATTACTATCATTGTTGTTGCTGTTGTTATAGTTGAAACGATTTTAACTATAGATTTGATTTTGATTATTAATTTGTTATTCAGCGTTTATATTGTTTGTGTTTACAATTTCGCGAGTTTAGAAATTGGTATTTTAGTTATTATTTTATAGAATTTAGGATTAAATATCACTTTATTAGGATTCTTACAGATAGTTAACCTATCTATAAAATTGTTATTATTGCTATTAAATCTGATTAAAGTTGAAATGGTTATGTTGATTGAACATTTAATTATTTGGTTAATTAAAGTTATATTAATTTTACTAAATACCATTTGGAAGTTATTAGAAATTTGGTTGCCTACCTTAATTATAATTATAATTGTTATTATTACTCATTCCTTTATTCCTTTATTTACTTTAGATATTTGCTTTTCTTTATTTTTTTTAATTATTTAAATTTTTTCTCAATTATTATTTATCAAAAAGAGCAAAAAAAGTTTTTATAATCAAAAATAAAAGTATTTTATTTTCCCCATTATTTAAATTAAGTATTTATTTTTTTTTAAGTTAATATCATTTTTTTCAAATAAAATTTAACATTTTAAATATTTTGTACCAAGTTTTGGTTCTGATTAGATTCAAATATAATATTTTTAATTACTTTCTTTACTTACTAATATATTTATTTGTTTCTTTCTTATTTGAAATTATTTAGTTTAATTTAAAAAAATAAAATAATTATGTCAAATATAAAATATGTAAAAATTTTTAGTAAGGCTTAATTTTTATATGAGCAGTCGATAGCAATTACGCAGTAATTTATTATCCATTTTGGCAGAAAATATTTATTTTAAATGTTATGAATGTTTAAGAGCTATAATATAAAGCATCTACTAGCAATCTAAAAATAAGATAAAGAATCTTTGGTTTGTTTTAGATCATAAATAAATTTATCAATATAGATAGATAGACTGTATTATTTTAAGATTGAAAAGAAAGTTTTAGTAAGATTAGATTGAATAATGGCTTAGAGACATAGCATTGTAGCTTTTTAAAATACTTCTGTTTTGATAGTTTGTGAGGAAGAAGATAACAAAATTAGTAAGTTTGTCCTCTAGAAAAATGTACATAGCGATAAGATCTCCACTTATGGATCATTTAGCTATGAAGGAACTCAATATTTCTATACAGGTTCTTTTGACAAAGTCATTAAATTCTGGGTTTTAGAAGGTGATAATTTGAAGTTAGTAAACAGCTCTATATTGCCTAAGAAGATTACTCATTCTTTCTACTCAAGCTAGATTAACACTCATTTTGTAACAGATAAATACGGAGACATTTACAGTTTCCATATTGATAATATTCTTAAAAAAGATGGAGATCTTTATCCTGAATATTAAAATTCTAACAATTTAGCAATTTAATAAGCTTTCAAGGATGTCACTGTCAATGAAAACACATCATACTGCTTATTAGGTGATAGCTACTCTAAAATTAAGCTCTTTGATCTCAGAAATATGCACGATTTAGCCAACTTGTGGGTGCCTTTTGAAAGCCATTTAATTTCAATTTTAGAATTTTAAGAATCAGTTGTTTTCCTCTTCTAAATGAAAGACAGCGAAACATTAGAAAAGAGATATGTCATTCATTTACTTTGCAAATCTCGTTTCAGCGAATCAGATTATTCTGGAGAAAAAATTGAATCTATTTAATTCGCTGAAAACTCTGTCAAAGTTAGAATCGAAAAGAAAAATGACCATTAATTTGTTATTTACTAAATTACCAAGGAATCAGATATTTCAGTATAAATCTTTGATATTTAGCAAAAGGTTCGTGTATCCGAAGTTAAAGGTAAGTTAAATTTCGCCCTATAACAAGGACAGTCTTTCTACCTCCATTTAGCTCAACTTCATAACAATGCCATAGCTGTATGTGGTATTAAATCAAACACAGCTGAAGATGTTTAATTAAATTAAATAAACAATTTAGAAGTAACCAACTAACTATAAATAACAGCTATCCACTCTCAATCAGATATAATTGTCACTTAATGAATACAATTCATCAAGATATTATTGTTTATAAATGTTTATATATTTATCTCTAATCAGTTTAGTTTAATTTAGTTTACTTATTTCCAAAAAACAAAAGGCTAAGTTGTTAATTAAGTATTTTATCAAAATATTTTAATCATATTTTTTAGTTATTTTTAAAAGTAGAAATATTCGTTTAATTTATTTTTGTAGATTTTATTTGGTATAAACCATTGAATAAATAATTCTTCAATAGCGATTATTTATTTAAAGGTTTTTTAAGCATTCAGTTTAATTATTTTAAATTTAGCATTATTTCTTTAATATAAATGATTGATTTTATTTATGCTATTTGATATTTATCAATAACAAATTTCAAAAAATAAATATGAGTATTTTTTCAATTCCTTTTAATATTTACAAATTTATTTTTAAATAATAAATAAATAATATAAAATTTTAATTGAAATTGCTTGAGCTTCTTAAAATATTATATAAATGGTTTTGTTGAGTTATTTATTTATTTATAGTTAGTTCTTAGAGCAATAAAAAGCTGAAAGGATATTAAATATACAATTAAAAATATCACAAATTTACTAATTAAAAACTAACTAAAAATAATAAATAAAATTGATTTAAAATCTTAAAAATTTAATTTTTCTAGTAAGAAATTCCAAATAAATTTAAATAAAAGATAACTTTTTAATAAAAAGGAGTCATTGAATATATTTATATAATAAAATATTTTTTGAATAAGTTTTATTCTTATTTATGAAGTGATTGATATATTTATTTTACATTATTGAAAAATAGACATAAAAATCTAGCTAGCTATAAGAATACTGTACTTGTTTATATATATAAGAAATAAAAATTAAAACATTGATATTGAGAGTATTTAAAAAGTTATTAATTTTATTTTTTTACATTTTTCATTAACTTTTTTAAAGAATCAAATTATTATTATTTTTTTCATATGAAAACCTTTCTTAATGGACCTTGTTTTCTACAAATTGGACATTTAACATTTCCACTGTGGGACTAATTTTTAAGAGTTTGAGCACATTCTTCACAACCAAACAAATGGTTACATGCATCAACTAAATAAGTAGCTTATTTTTCTAAACAAATTTTACATTCAACTGTAGTAGTTTATATGCTGTGCTTAATATTATGCTCAACTTTGGCATTACATTTCTAACACTCTATATATTTTGAATTTGTTAAATCAGTTGCTATTAGTGAATATCCGCTAGAGCAATAAGGACAAGTCATGAAAAAACCTTTCTATTTTAATTATATTCAAAGTTACTTCTATAAAAAGAAATAAATAAATAAATTCTTTATACCTTTTTACAGCCATCACAGTCGCGGTCGAAGACATTATCATTAAATGAATCTAAAATATGATTTAAACTTGCTTTGCATTCTTTTTTCTCGCATTTTAGCAGAATTTACTTTTTTTTGCAGTCTTAATAACTGCATACTAGCCTTCCATAATCTCCGAATTTGCTAATAAAATTCAAAAATAAATAACACTCACAAACAAACAAAATGAATAAATGAATGAATGAATTAATTAATTACTCAGAGCTCTTTAAAGAAAAGCGACCACAAGCCATACAGTTAAAATAGCATATATATTATTTGCACTTTTTGCACTCTAAATTTCTATTTAAATAATTAAAATTAGAATAAAATATTTAATATTATGAAATTAATTACTTACTTTCCATATTCTAGTTTATTTTCTCCCTCTTTCAATTCTTTGACTATAGGATCACTGCATTTAGTGCAAATTAAATATAAAAAATTTTTAGAGCAATTTGGTCCTTTACAAAGAACATTTTATAGAGGTTTAACACAATTAAACAAATTAGGAAATTTGCAAGATGGACAATTTATATGTTAGCTTATTTGATCTTTTTTTATGCAAGATTTGTTTGAGCATTTGAAAGGGATGCACTATTTATAATTTCCGTCAAAGTAGGAGTCTTCAAAACAGCTATGGCAAGCAACCTTAAACAAAAAAATTATTTTATCAAAGTTTTTTTGTGAGAATTAATATAATAAATAATACCTATTAAAATGAGAAATTGCATTGTAAACACTTTGTAACTTTACCCATTTCATAGCCTTAATACTCAAAATAATTATAATTCCAGCATTCAGGACACTTCACGATAGAAAATTTCTTTCTGCAATTCATATTTGTGCACTCATGCTAATATCCATCATAAAAGTGTTCTTTGCTGATGATGTGATGTCCACATTCGCACCAAAAGAAGCAATTATTCTGCTTACACTATTAGCACTGAATGATTCCATAATACTATCCTTTTTCACCATCATACTAAATCATATTATTAGATATAGTTAGCTATTTATTGCATATATTTTAAGAGCTGCAGCATTTCACTGTCGCTATCTCCAACTAAAATTTTTTTTCTTGCATCATTTCTACCTAAAAATTCTAAATTAATTAATTAATTTTTTAGATTTTACAAAATCTAATTTTTCTTTTCTAATTTACTAACTAATTTGATTGTTTTTGAATTAAATATTTTACAAGATTTTTTTGATATCGCCTATTCACATATCTATCTATTTATATGTATATATTGATTGTCTTAAATAAATTATGTCTTTCTAAAAAAATTTGTTTAATAATTTAACATTCAAATTAGATATTTTTTATCAAAAATTAAAAAAAACTAATTAGAATATTTCTGAAATTTTATCTCAAAAATAAATTAACAACGAATGAAAAGCGATTGCTTGATTCTCTTGAATAAAAGTTGTGTGTATAATTTCTTTAACATTATTATTTTATTCCTAATTATTTACCAATTGAAATTATATTAAGTATTTTATAGTAAATAAAATTAAATATTTTTTAGAATTACTTATCTCATAAAGGATTTTATTTCTCCTAATTAATAATTATTTCTTTACAATTACTGATAAAAATTTTTTTATTCAGAAAAATTATTCTTTTAAAATATGAAAAAAAATATATAAAATTAATCAAGTCATTTCATATTTTTTCATTACTTAATTTAAAAAATGAAAATTACCTTAATATCAATAATCATAGATATTCTTAAGAATAATTTAATAGAATCATTTGTATCTAATAGATTAAGTTTTTTTAGATAATTAAATGAATTAATTTTATTCTTAAGATATAAAAATGCAAAACACCATTTTATTTACAATAAAAATTAATTTAATAAATGTACATTTTAATTTTATTAACTTGAGTGTTTATTTTAAATTTTAATTGAAAAAAAAAATTTAAAATATTTAATTTATTTTTAAGAGGAATCAATCAATGTTGTTCTTGTTAAGAATTAGTTTTATACTGGGAAGGAGCTGGAATAATACGGACACTAGAGGAAGAAGAAGAGTTTTTTGATTTAGGTGAACCTCTATTTTCTTGCAATTTTTAGTTTTTTGGTGCTTTTATAAAAAAATTATTTTTAGATTTTTTCATTTTAAATTTAAAATTTACATTGATTTTTTAAAATTTTATTATTTAAAATCTAACCACTTGGAGGCCGAGGATTCAAATCTTTTGATGAATTTTAAACTGACCTAAACGCTGGGCTTGGAGATAGAGACTTATTAATTGATGAATGATTATGTTACTCTCTCTTATTTTCTTATATTTAGTTTGAAATCTTCGAAAATTAGTCAATATCTTTAAGCAATCTCTTCATTTTTCTTAGTGGAGAAAAAGCTTTCTGGTTGTCATAATCTTCATCTTCATCCAGATCATCTTTTATTTTGTCTAGGTTATCTTTTTACGAAAACCTAAAAATAAAATTAATTTATTTTTATATTTTAAAACAAATATTTTATTGATAAATTTGCAATTATACTTAAATTATCTAGGAGAATATGTTGTTTTGTTTCTGAAATTATCAGCTGAGCCATCTCTCTTAGCTATAAATGGGCTGTTTTAAGTTTAATTAGCTCTCTGCATAGGAGAATAAAAAGGTCTTTTTTGAAAATTTTAATTAAAGCCTTTCTAAGATATTATTTAATAAACATCTAATTCCTTTTATTCTGATTTTTGACCAGTTGATTCATCAATTTCTTTTGAAATTTGCTCATATTCTTTTATCATTTTGTGCAGAGTTTCCTTTAGTTTGGTTTTTTCTTCAACTAATTTATTACATTCATTAAGCAAAATTAAATTTTAATCATGGGCTTAATCGTGCTAGTCTTTTATTCTGATTTGCAAGTTGTTATCAGAATTGGATTTGTTGTTGAGCTAGTTATTTGTTATCTTTACGATTTTATTGAGTTAATTAACATCCTTTAACAAGGCTTCTTCCTACCTCTGCTAGTTCATTTCGTTTGAGTCTTAGATCATCAACACTTTCTCCTTCTCATATTTCTCTTAGAGTTTTTTGTCTTTCCAACCAATTTTGCTGTTTTTCTAAGTAAAATAATTTATCACATTGTTACTCTCGCCAAAATATTTTTCATATAAACTTTCCAGGTTTTTCTACCAATTTTCAAAATCTAATTTTTTGAGCATTTGATTAATTTCCTAATTATTTATTGATTAAAAATCAAAATTATTTTTAAAGATAAATAAATAAATTGAATTACAAATTGAAAAGAGTCTATTTTGTAATTAATTTCCATCATTAACTCCTTTTTCTTTTTATCTTAAACTTTTTTTTCATTTAAAAGCTAATTCTTATTTTCAATCTCTTACTCTAACTATTACTTCTCATTAGATTGAGACAATAAATCCTTATACACGTCTCTAGTTTTTTTCTATATTAATTAAAAATTAATTTTAACATCAATTACAAAAAAATAAATATATTTATGCACCTCAATCTCAGCAAGATGCTCATTCAACGGATCCTATTCATCTTACAAGACTTGTAATTTATAATCATAAACAGCTTTATAATTTTATAGATGCTAATTTTTGTATCTAAAAGCTTAAATTTCTTATTCCTGGCCATTTATAATAATTTCTTTTTCTTTAAGCTATCCCTATAATTGAATAAACAAAGAATAAACATTTTAAACTAATTCGTAAATAATTCAAAAAATAAATAATTAAATCTAAACAATTCAAATGAGAGAGTAAATAAGTAAAATGCAATATGAATAAATAGCTTACTTTGAGTTATTATTATGTTTATTTTGAAATTTGAATAGCTTGTTTTTAAGAAGTGATTTGATATTGAAGTTCTAAAATAGTCCTTTCTCCATTATGTTATTTTTCTAAAAAACCTTCTATTCCTTTAGAAAATTTTGTGTTAGAAGTTCTCAAGTCATCTGATCTTTTGAGTTAGTATTATTTCTCTTACAGAAGCTTTTATTTTATAAGATCAAGATATTCTGAGAACTCTTCAGCTTCCTGTTTTTGTATTTCTTCAAATTCAATTTAATTTATTCTAATCTGAGTCAAGGCAGTTGAATAATTTTGCTCTTCTTTTTAATACCTATTCAAAGTTAAAATAATTATATATTAAATTTTATTACTTAATTTTCTTAAAAATTTAAAAATAAATAAAGATTATAAATAAATAATTAAATATATAACATAAATCTTCAAGTCTACTTTATCAAATAAACTGCATTAAAATTTAAAAATATATTTGAAAATTATTTTATGTTCTACCAAAACATAAAATTAATTTCAGATAAAATTTAAAGAGACTTTATGGTATAAAATATACCTTATGAAAACCGAAGGATTAAACTAATTTAAAGAAAATAAAAAATTTACTTTTTTTTATATTTTAACAATTTTTTTTCAAAGACTGATCTGTACTTTTCTTTGTCAGAATTGATTTATTCTTCATTTTGTTAGAGCAACTAACTTTTTATTTCATTCAAATAAGAAAACTGGTCATACTCTTAGATCAATTTATCATGATACTCATCTTCAATTTTTTAAATATCTGTCTTATAGTTATTCTAAAGATCAGAGAGTTATTTCTTGATTACAACTAATTTCTCTTTAAATTCGTTTTTTAGCTGGGTAAATTCTTAGTTTTTAACTTAAACAGCTTCTTTGCACTCTTGTGATTTATCTTCAACTTTTTTCTAAATTTTAATGGTTTTATTAGCCTTTTTATCATCGATGATGGTAATTAAATCATTTATCTAATAATTTAGTTCCTTTAATGAGTCTTTGATATCATTGTAGCTTTAAAAATTCCATAAAGCTAGGTCATTTAATAAATACAAATAACTTTCACTTGTCTTCTTAACGTTATTAAAATCAAATAGCCTGTTAAATAGACTGTGTGTTTCTTATGTGATGAAAAATGCCATATTCTAATTTCCTTAAATAGTAGAATTATGAAGCTAATTTAGAGATTTGAGAAGATTCTTCTTGTATTCTCTTAATGTTGAAACCTCTAAACCATCTTAATACTCTCTCATTTTAGTAAAATAAATATCTCCATCTATGCTGCCACTGCACATATACAAAAAATCTCTGCTAATATTGAGACATCTAACTTCTCCTTAGTGAATAGGAATTTCTAAAAATTCTTGAGCCTTTAAGCTAATATCAAACGGCCATAAATACATTCTTACAGTTCCTAGGTTTGTCCCAAATAAAACAATACTCATTTCCTATATTAAAATTTAACTTTCTAAATAAAAATATTTTCAAAATTCAATTTATTTTTAGTTAATAACATAAAAGTATTTTGCTAAATCTATTTTATTTATTGTTTTAATTTAATTTAAATGAATTAATTAATTAATTTAAAGCAAAAGAAGAATAAAACGTTATGTTAATTTACTTTGACTATTTAAACATATGTAAACGTAATTGGCTAAATATCCATATCGTAAAGAAGAGTTTGACCTTTATCAGAAAATAATTTAACTTTATTATCAATTGTGCATTTAATGACTAAATCATAATCTGGATCATAAGCAACCATAGTAAATTTTACTCCTGCTTTGCTCGTGTGATCAATCATTTTTTATTCTTTTAAATAGTTAACTTAAAAAACAATTTAAACTAAAGAATAATGCACATACTTCTTGATAAATTCCAACACTGAACTGAACCTAAAACACAGCTTGAAACTAGTATTTAATCTTAGTTAAACCACTTCAGCTGATTTATAGCTCCTGAGTTTAAGCTATTTAAGATATACAAAATCTCAAACGAATAAGGGTTGTACATGCATATATTTTAATAATTTGCTGTCATTTAAAATTTGAATGATTAATTTCAATTAAAAATTAAAAATAAAAATACCAGCTGCAAGTATATTTCCACTCTAGTTGTATCTGACAGCAAAGCATTGCTTAGTTAGTTCAGAGTATATTTGCTTCATTTCAGAATTAACCAAATACAGCACTTTTAATCTAATTTTTATTAATCAAACTTAATTACTTAAAATTTTTAAATAAATTTAAAAACTAATTTCAATTTTGATTGAATTATAAGTATTTATCCTTAAACTTAAGTAACAAATAAATGTTTTAAATAAAGTTAAATTATTAATATCAAAATAATAAACTTAAAACCTAAATAGTTTTTATTTAATCCATTAAAAAAGCTAATTAATTATTTTAAAAATTATTTTGCTTAACATAATTAATAATAAAGTGTTCCTATAACTCAATTAATATCCAATATGTTTATTTTCAAAACTTAATAATACTTTTAAACAATTAATTAGTTATTAATAAATTTATTTTTGCTTAAAATGATGATGAATAAATAATTTATTTTTTTTAGAGCTTAAATAACTAAAATATTCATTAAACATTATTTCGAGATAGATGATAATATAATTTTGATGGTTTAAATTAAGTTTAAGAAATTTAATTTAAAGTTGATTAATAAAATTGAAGTTAAATTTTAACTTAAAAATATAAAATAATATCATTCATTTCATTGATTTTTTTAAACAATTTAAAATCATATGTTAAATCATGTTTAAATATTTTATATTTTTAATTTTTATTAAGTGTAATTCATATCAATCAAAAAATTGAAATAAATGAATATTAATAAAATTTTACTCTTCTTTTAGACCTATGGCTACTTAAATAAATAATGGGTGTATAGAAACTGAATACAATTAGTCTGAAAATGATTGTATGAAAGAACATTTGTAACAACCTTATTTTTGATTGAATTCAAATACTAAGAACTACTTATCTTCTGATATTAAGACAATTATATTCTTCGAGTGGCAAATTGACATGTCTACTATAGCTCCTTTCAAGACTCCACAATTAAAAACTGGAGTGAATGAATTTTAAAAATATTTGTAATTAAATTCCTCTTTTAGTTATTAGAAATCAAAAATTAAGAAGTCAATTCTTCTAAGCAATGTCGAATTTTTCAATTCTTATGCCTATTTTTATTTTAAATCTTGTATTCTAAGCATATTCTGTTTTTATGTTTAAGCAGATTATTCTCCTTAATTACTCGGATCTGTATCTCCTATATTCAGTGCAAACTCCTTTTACTTCTTAAATTGCTGCATATTAGACTCTCTTTTATTGTAGATTATTCCTAAAATTAAATATGTCTCGTCTTTGTCACACATTATTTAAGTTGTGCTTAAAATTTTTTGCTTTGAAATATCATATGCCATTTTCTCTACTTAAATTTCCCTCTCGAATATTAACTCTTCATCTGCCTAGCTCTATCTGTATAAATGCACTCCATTGAAATTCCCTTAAAATCCGATTGCAAAACCTTTTTTTACCTTTATTTATTTATGAATTTGAATTAGCTTTGAATCAAAACCAAAATAATTCTAAAATTCAAGATGAATTTTTTAAAAATTATCATTTCTAAAATTAATTAACAAAGCTGAGATTCACAATAATTGAAGAAATATTTATGTTTGTTTACAGAGCTGATGCATTTGCATTCGGATGAGTAGTTTTAGAAATTGGCTAAGAGTTGAATAGATTGTATCAAATTATTTGATTTGGAGAAATATAAATAGTTTTAATTAGTTATAATTCCATTATAAGGAGTGTCATGAAGAAAAGCAATGTCAATAATCTATTCTTGTTTAGAGCCAATTATATTTAACTAGAGTTTCTAAAAGTTTAATTTCCCGTTTTGAATATCATAGTGCCATAAATAAACTCTTTTGCTATTGAATATAAAAAACTCATCTTAAGATAAAGGTGAAGCAATTGCCTTTGTTAGACAAAAGTCTACTGTTTAATTACAAACATATGATTCATCCTTCGATTTCCAAATATTTACATACGATTCCTTCTATTCAGTGTTTTCAGCAAGGGTAATAAAAACCTTTTAAACGTAAATTGATAATTAATTATCACATGCATATTTGTTCAGTAATAAAAATAATGTTATTAGTTTTTTATTTACCTTACTTTGAAAGATGAAACCAATATCTATAATTCCAGTCTAAGCTGGTAAGTGATTATGAATGAAATTCTGTTGTATGTTTTTCTTTGATTTGTAAATCTTAGCCTTTTTATAATGATTTTAAATGTCTTAAGATAGAGAGTTACTCCTACTTTATATAAATTAGCAGAATAAACAAACATAAAGACAGATAGATTACTTAAGCCATCTTTTTTGCTTGTGCCTTAAACCCTAAAGCTATCTTTATTGTTGAATTTTCATTCTTTTGGTAATGATTCATGCATGAAACCTCACTGTCATCGAGATTCTTCATAATTATTTACTGTTTTTGAGAAATAATATCTTAGATGACAATGTGCTTTCCACTAAGAAACGCTAATGTTTTTTGATTCACAAAACAAATATTTCTGTTTATAATTTGCTGATAGCACCCGTGAGTAGATTCAATGCTAAATGTAGCTCCATTCATAAATTCAGTCCCTCCCTTGGTCCACATTGTTTTTTTTACCTTAAAAATTAAAAAATATAAATCATAATTAATGTACGTACAGACAGCTTAAGCAAGTAAATAAATAAATAATTGATTTCCAAATTTTATTTAAATAATTGAATGCATTCAAAATAAATATTTTACAACTAATCTCCCATTTATTTCAAAAACTCTGTCGTTTGTAGAGTTCAGTTAATTGTTTAAGAAATTCATTTTATTGATAATAAATAAATAATAATCAATCAATTTGTTGATTTAAGCCTCCTTGATAAATAATAATCGATATAATTGAGTAAATTTAAATAATTAATTAAGATCTACTAAAAAATTTATTATAACAAAAGGATTCTACATTTAAACTAAAATATCATCAAAAACCATAAACATAAAAAAAGTTAATTGTCTTTCTTTGTTAATTTATTTATAAAAAATCTATTTCAATTTATTCGCTTCATATTAATTTAATTGTCAGATGTTAAAAAAGCTTACTATTATCAAGAAAAAAAAATTTAAATAAAAGCATTTAATTTGTTAAAATAGAAAACAAATATAAAAGTATTTTATATAGCTTGTCCAAATATTAAGCTGAAAATTACTTTAAAATTTGTAATTAATTGAGTTTAAAAAAATATAATTATTATTAATTAAAAAAAAGAGTAAGATATATTTTAGCTAAAAAAAGAAAAATACTTTCCTGATTTAATTATGAAATATTCAGAAGTACAAAACGAAAAACTCTCATTACCTTAACTTACCTCTAATAAGGTAACTAAATTCATAGGGAAAGGTATCGTGAAGAATCTCAAACATGATAGAAGTCTTGAAATAGAAGCTAAGATTAAAAGCTTTTATAACTATCAAAATAGCTCAATAATGAAAGATTAATTTTATAATTCTGAGAAATAAATATAAAATTCAATTGCTGAAAATAATAATGGTTTTTCTTAAAAAAACAAAAAAAATGTACTATTTTTATTTAAATATATCTTTAAATCAAATATAATTAATTTATCATAAACTTAAACCTAAGTGTTTCCATCTACTCTAATTTAAAAAACTATAAGACAAGATATATTTTTCAATTTAAGTATAGGCATTAATTAGCACAAAAGTTTATTAATTATTTAATCAATTAATAAAAGTATTTTTACATTAATTAATAAAAATATTTTATATTTATCTATTAATAAAGACATAGTTTTTAATCAGTTTTAGCTTTGATGACAATTATAGATTGACATATGATTTTAGTGAAAATATATTTATTCTAGAAACTAAAGAACAAAACAGTTAAGAAAACACTTTAAAGGTAACTTGCTAAGATGCTGTTATTAATGTTTCAAGAAAAGAAGAAATATAGATAGAAGACTAAGAAATTATTGATGGATACATGTTAAAATTGAAAAAGAGTTAATATTCTACTATTAGAATTAAGCTTAGGAGGAACTATTAAAAAGAATTTATATAGATTAGCTTTAGTGAAGTCATTTAAGCGTAAAATAAACGTTTTGAGTATTAGAGTTAAAAGAGTGAAAAATAATAATAGCAGCAATACATTTTGGAAACTGTTTAATGCTTTGTAAATTGTTATTTTGCCAATAAATTGACCAAACAAATCTAAAACGAGCTCCTTTCTTATTTCTTTCAATAAAAATATCAACTTTTAATAGTTTATGAAATAGAAGCTGAAATGGTGGAGCTGTATGAATATTTCCATGAAATTGTAGAAAAAAAGGATACTCAGTTAATTTAGAAGAAAATAAATCTGTTTTATGAGTCTGTTAATTAGATAATTTGCTGGTCTGGTTTGAACAGATATTAACACCCAGCCATACTAGGTGGATATTTGATTTTTAAATAATGAGAAAAAAATACAAAAAAAAACAATATAACTTTTATTTATCAATTATTTATTTATGTGTATGCATTTAATATATTAATTAAGGATCAGTTTTGTTTTTACTATTATTTCTTTCCAGTATTACTTCAATTTCAAAAATAAGATAAAATATATTCATATTAATCTTATAAATGGAGAAGCTTGTTTATTTTACAAAAAAATTTCAAAATTCCATATAATTTTATGTGATTAAATACTAAATCTAATTCATTAAAGGCATATAATATCTAATTATTAAGAAATTTTAGTTACTTGGTTTTTCTTTGTAATCATTTTTTAATGCTAATACAATTAATAATAAATAAAAAATAAGTTTTAGAATGAATTTAAGTCAATAAATTTTTTAAAATTACTATTTTATTATCTATAATTAAAAGTAATAATTGTATTTTCAATTAAAATCAATCTACTTTTACTAATAAGTTAATTAAAATATTTAAAAGATAACATTTTTTTTTCAAAAAACATTCATTGCATAATTTTATCTATTGATTTATAAATAAATATTCAATACATACTATCAAATATTACTAAAATTTTTTTCCATAGTTTAATTTCAATAACTAGCTAGATATAATTAAATAAGTTAGTTATTAATTTATGAATGCTTCATTTTTACTTTAATAAAATATTATTTAATTCATTAATTTATGTTTTCATTTTTTTTAATTTCAAGAAAGCAAGCATAAATAAAAAGCGAATAAAAAAATATCTAAATATTAATAAATAATATACCGTAGGTACTCTTGTATAAGGAGGGTCCAACAATAACTTATTTCCAAATTTTACTCTCCACAAAAGGGAACCTAGAAAGTGTCTCATTGATTAAATATAGTATTGATTTAAATAATTTACAGTAAATATAAATGATATTTTTTTAATCATTTGAATAGCATATTTCTACTTAATTTTTAATTTTTCAAGTTTTCTTGCTAACACTTAAAATTAAAAATGTATTTTCCTATTTAGCACTATTATCGAGTATGTTTATGTATTTTTATTCAATTTTTAAATAACTTTTAAAATGATTGAAAAATAATTTTATGAAAGTAAAGATTTTGTTTGAAATAAGTAATGTGTTACTAGTTTTAGTGAAGGAAAAAGCAGCGCTTTAAAAATTAATTTTTTATTAATCGATTTAGGGAAATCATTAAAATAGAAGAATAAAGACAAAAATAGTTAAAAGTAACATGCAAAAAGAGTTTATTTAACAGCATTAATTTATTTATTGTTTATTTAGTCTATTTCATTAAATTTCTAATGATTCTATTTGTCTATTAATAGATAGATATCAATTCAATAAATACTTCTTTCTACTTCTATTTTTTTGGTAAAAATCCTATTTACCTTCTTTACTGAAGTTATAATTTCTCTGTAAGCAAAAGCACTTTTGTAAGCAAATAATATTTTACTAATATCCATTGATGTTTTTATAACCATAAATTTATATTTTATAATAGTCATAAGGATCTTTACGCATTTGTTGGAGAATGCAATTTCATTAACATTTTAATTAAATAACATTCAAGTGCTTTAAAGGAAAGTTATTAGATTTCCAATTAAATATGAAGGATAACAAACATGTTCTTTAATTTAAATGAAAGTATATCTAAATATTTATTAATAAGCCTTATTCCTGATCTGTCAAAATATCTTAAAAATTTTTTTTTTATGAAAATATTTAGCTTTACAATTATAAACGTCAATATTTTAATAAAAAAAGGTGTAAACTAATTAAAAAGAATTTAGAAAAAGTTTTTCTATTTGCTCTAATTTTTGAAAACGATTTAATTTGAATGTCCTTTATAAACTCTGGCCATTGAAATATTTGATAAATCTAATAGCCATTGTTTCGTTTAGTTTTTAATATGGACTAAAATTAAAAAAATATCAGCTAAATTTACTGTTTAAATTTTTTGTAAGTTTTATGGCAGCAGAAAATATATTTCAGGAAGGAAAACTTTTTGAGATAAAATGAAATTATTTATTACTGAATCTTAAATTTCTGTTTTTCAATCAACGTTTTTATATAATTTAGAATTAGAATTAGCAAATACTATTAGAAACGAAATAAATTAAGAGTAAATGGTATGAATACAGTAACTCATTTGTTAATTTGTTTGTTTGTTTGTTCTACCAAAAAAGCATCTAATTAGTTTATAACTATTAACAATCTATCTATCTTTCTTTATTCACTCTAATTCGTGTTTAGATTCACTAGATATACTAATTCGTTCTACTATTATAAAAATTTAAATTTATTGTGGCAATACAAGTAAAATTATTATTAGGTTACAAATGTATGTTTAAATACACAATTTACTAATAATTATATCTATTTTTAAAAATAAATCCATTAAAAGTATCTCTTTTGATTCTAAATATAAGACTCTCATTGATATTCTGAAAATATTTGATCAGACAGAGAAATATTTGAAATGCTTAAATTAATAAAAAGTACTGAACTAATAAATCAACTAAATATAGTCAAATTAATTATTGATTATTAAGATAATAATAATAATTTAAATCCAGTACAATTCATACATGATCTTTATGAATGAGTCTTTGTGCAAATAACAAATAAATAAATAAATTCAATTTATTATAACATAAAATTACTCTAAAATGTGAAGAATTGTACATTTATTCTTTTATTACTTCTTAAAAATCTATTTTTATAATTTTATTTAATATTATGATTGCTATTTCTTTTTAAATCATTTGATTTTCATATTTATTTAAAACGCATCAGCTTACTTCTTAAGCACTAATATTTACTATTCTATGAAAATTAATATCAATCTATCAATACGGAAATTTACATTATTATATTTACAATAAATATATTCATAAAATTCTTTTATATATCATTTTTAGCATATATTAGAAATTATAAATTCTATTTTTATATTTTTGCTAATAATTTAAAATAAAAATTTGAATGTAAATAATAAATTTAGTTTATAATGTAACAATTAAGATTCATAATGAATCAATAAATATAATATTTTATATTCTCTAATAATAATATTTTAAAATCCATTTATCCTTTCATGCAATATATAACAATAATTTTGTTATTATTTAATTAATCAATAGGTTATTTATACTTTATTATTTTATGATGCATTCTTTAATTGTTAAATTATGTGTGCTTGTTTAATAACCTGATATCATCAATATGTTAGACTCATCTAAAATAATTGTTAGTAAATATAAAAAAATATTCAAATAACATTTATTTTAATGAATATTATAAATTAAACAGCTCACTCTAAACACTTTTTGGCATTTTACAAGTTTTTACTATTAAATTAAAGCTATGAAATACAATAAATTAACATCATTCATTTCAGTAAAGGTAAGATGAAGGATTTAGTTTGTGATTGCTAATAAATTAAAATGAGTTTTATGTAAACTTTAAAGTAAAAAAAATTACATACATAGAATTGTCAAATTTTAAGTAATCAAAAGAGAAATTGCTAGGGAAATTTTGAATAGAGAAAGCTTTTTTTTTTACTTATTAGTTATTAAACCTAAACTGCTATCTATACTGGTAGCTTGCTCTAACTTCAGAGCGAAATCTTAGCTAGCTGCCTCAACTGTAGCTGTAAATTTGTAAGAATTAATTGGATTGTTAACTCATTTTTTATTACTTTTATTCCAGTTTTACTAATATTTTAAGTTTTATATCAATGTACCATAAGTAAGTAAAATATGATTAGCAAAGATACCTTAATTTAGAATTATTATTTTCAAAAAGATCATTTCAGCACTTTTGAGAAAAAATATATCCTAATGAACGAGTAAATGAAAATAGAAAAAAAAAGGAAAAGCTTTTATAAGACTTAATTAAATTAATTAATGAGAAGTTTTTAATTACAGATAATTGATTGTGATCGGTATCTTTAGTTAGCAAGATAGATAGATAGACAGATCATCTGGAATTACTTTCAAAATCTCCTGAAACATTTCAAGTAAAATTATAATTAATTAATTAATCAATCAAACATTTAAAAACATATTTAAAAAATAAAAACCATCGATATTAAAAAAAACTCATTAACAAAACTTAACAAACAAACAAAGAAACAAAATACACAAATTGAAAATAAACTCAATTATCAATCAAAATCTTTACTGCTTTTCTTTCTTGAAATAAAAAGACTCCAAACAAAAATTTAAATCTCCTTCTTCTGAATAACTACCAACTCAATATTGAACTTCGTAAATTGAAATGAGCTTTGAATACAAAGAAATTATCAAGAAATTAAATGGATAAACCATTCTTATCATAGACAACGATAGAAGTAACATAAATTAATTCAAAGGAATGCTTGAACCCAGTACAAGAGTTTATAGCTCCGAAGAGCAATCTCATGCTATCAACATGATCCATAAAGTTAAGCCAAACATTATTTTAATCAACGGTGACAGCGAGAGATCCGAAAAATTCAATGGATTAGAAATCAGCTAAGCAATTAAATAGCTCGAAGCTTTCACTTTAATCCCTACTATTCCTGTTATGCTCTACCTTAATAATAACACTGCTATTTCACAATAAAAATATAAAACAAGCTCAGCAGATATTTTAATGGTGAAACCAATTTCTGAGAGAAACTTTATTGAAAACCTCTCAAAGCATGAGTTCTATAGCTTCATTGTTTAAAACTGAGGAAAATAAAAGAATTACATCGATCTGTATTAATTATTTAAAAACTGTTTATAAATTGAAAAAATTAATTAAAAATCAAACAAAGCAAAAACCAACTTTATTTATACTATCACATATTACTATAATAACTCTAAAGGAATATCTATCTATATAAATAATAACTCGATCAATTAAAAAGATTGGTAATAAAAATTTACCTTAATATAAATACATTTTAACAATTGTAAATATTCTATCTTTATATAATAATCAATATTTATATATTTACATTTATGTAAATGAAATTATTACATTCTTCAAAAAAATAATCAACTGAATAACATCTATCTATTTATCTTAACTTCTTCTATATTTATTTTCTTAATTTCGAAAAGTGGCTCAATAAAAATTAATTTATATAATAATATAGAGTAAATTTTATTATAATCTTTAATTTACTAAATTAGCTTTTTTAAAAAACTAATTCTTAAATTGTTACACAATTAATATCAATTTTAATTTTTTTAACAATTAATCTTTCATTTAAAATATTTTTTACATCCCTTTCATTAATAATATTTATAATTAAATTATAAACATTTCTTTTTAGTATTAGCACAGCCAAAATCTAAATAATTATTACCTAATTCATCTATTGTTAATATTTTGCTTTAATTTTAAATAGATTTTTTTATGTATACTTCTTAAATCCAATAGCAATTAATTTGTAAGCTTTAATAGAATAAGCAATATTAAATGTATGTTTTTCAAATAAATAAAACAGAAATTCACACATTTAATAAAAAATAACCATTTTACAAAAAAAAATAAAAAGAGATACTTAATTAATGTGTTTGATTTTTATTTTCTGTTACGTCTCTTTAATTTAGAATAAATAAATAAAGAAAATTTCTCTTTAAATTTTCTATTTATAGTTTTTTTATAATATAAATCTTTATTTAAAGATTTATTTCCACAAAATCTGTTTAAAGAAAGATAAGTGTCTTGTTATTATTAAGAATTATTAAAGATTGAAATTGAGAAGTCATAGATTTACTTTATAAAAAATATATTGGGAACATATTTGGATTATATATTAATAGCAAATTCATTTTGCCAACTTACAAATTATGATAAATTATTGATATTTATTAAAACTTTTCTACACTTTTATGACTTCAAATTCAGAACTATTTTAATTAAATTGAGATTTTGATATTTTATGATAAAAATTTCACAATTTTTTTGATCATTTTGTCATTTTTAAATTTTTTGATACAAGCATTCAATATTGTGTTACATAGATTCTGATTTTTTTTTTTATTACATATTTTGATATAGATTCGAATTATAGTTATTTCAATTACAGATTTTAATGATTTATTTCCTATTGCTTGCTTTATTGATAATAAAATAACTTATTTGACTTGATTACCCTAGGTAAAAGTTAATTCATCAAGTTTTGTAAACTATTTTTAGAATTTAAAAAGAGTAATCTGCTTTTTTTACAATTTAAAATTTTATTTAAAGTTAGAATAGATTAAATTAAATTAACATTATAAGAAACTCTAATTTAGCGCCTTTTGTTTTCGTATCTTTGAGTAAAATTATTAATAAAAAATTTTTTTAAATAAATACATTTAAAACCATTAATAAGCTTTTATTAACCTAATATTGATTGTATTTTAATATTTTACGTGTTTTGGTGGTAGTAGATCGATTTTTTATTTTATTGGTAATAAATTGCTTGAAGCATATAAAAAGAAATATAAACAGAAATAAATTCGTAGATTTATTAATATAATACTTGAATCTCTTTTACTTAAATTACATAAATAGGTATTGATAAAATTTCATTTTACACATTAATATCCATCAGATGAAATAAGATAGTCTATGAAAGTGTCATAAAAATTGAATTAAATAAGCTTAGAATAATCATCAACCATATATATCAACATAGCTTTGAATTTTTATAATACTTAGCCATATTATATTAAAAATAATTAAAAAATCATGATTCAATTAAAAAATGCAAATATTTATTGAAATTTAGAAATGTAATTAATTTAATTTAACTGTAAATCTTTTAATTAATCATGTAATTTTTTGTTTTTCAAACAGTTAATTTATAATAATTTTGTTTACGTTTAAAACGCAGTATATATCTATCTATTTTTAAAATTTTTGGTGTAAACTTATTTTTTTGGATTTATGGATGTTCAAGAATTAAAATCATAATCTGATCACCAAGTTAACATTCAAGCGTTGAATTGAATTTAATTTGTTTTTAATTAATGTAAGTTACTCGAGTGACTATATAAAAATTACAACTAGTTTATAACTTACGAAAATATGTAATCTATCATTAACCTAATTCAAAAAAAATTATTTTTATATTGAAAGAAAAACTCAAGAAAAAGCAAAGAATACTAAAAGTTCGTTTATATTAAAATAAATTTGATCCATCTGATAATTAATTTTTGAGATATTTATTTAATTAGTAAAAATATAAAAAATAGATAATAAATAATATAATCAATTAATAATTAAATTTTTAAGAATAATAATTTTCTTATTTTTATTTTATTAATAAATTATTTTTATAATTATGAATATTTAGAAGTTTATCAATAGTTTAAGCATCAAGGAATATTATATTTCTTTCTTTAAAGTAAAAAAATGAATTTGAGATTATTTATTATTTATCTTGAGAAATATACCTAAATTAATTTTTAGCAACATTTAAAAAGTGATTTAAATAAAATATTAAGATGGAAAAAATGTCTTTAAAGTATAAATAATAAACAAAAGATTCATTTTTCCCTTAATGCTTATAAGTATAATATTTATTTTTTCACATTACAAAGCAATCTTTTTATCTAGATTTAATTTATATACTGATCTACCTATAGATAAGTATAATATAAAGAAGAATTTTGTTTTTTATTAAGTTAATAATTAAATTTAAAGTATAAATTAAAAATAATAGACTATGGTTTATTTAATTACGCTTGTCTTATATTATGAATATCTTAAATTTAATTTTCTATAAAAAAAACAAAATTATTTTATAATCAATAAGACTTAAATATCAAATCAAATTTTAAAAAAATAAAATACTATAAAATTTATTTCTTTGTCATCACTGCTTACTTCAAAAATTATATTTTTTTAATGAACATATTAATATTATTTTTTAAAAAACTTTTAAAAAATGTTCTTATTGTTTTTTAATAAATTATATTACATTTTTGAAAATAATTTCATTTTATATAAAAGGCCTTAAGTGTAGAGATATCAATGAATAATTAAAAAAATAAGTTATTTATCTTACCAATTTAACAATAAAATTATATATTTGATATATTTTTTTGATTGATTGACTGGTATTTATTTATCTGACTTATTATTTTGATGAAATTTTTCTATTGTTAAAAATACTTGAAATATTTATTATTTTAAATAATTTGATTTCTATTAAAAACATTAAATTTACAATTCTGATTAAACAAACATAAAAATTCAATTAGTATTTAATTAATTTATGTGATTAAAAATGCAGTGTTTTGTTAACAATAATATATTTATTAGATATTATCTCAAAGATTTTTTTTATTATAATAATTAATTTGAAACAACTAAATTCAATAAAGTTTTTATCGTTTTGATACACAAGTAGGTATATAGCTAGATATTAATTATTTCATTTAAATGGACGACATCAATAAAAAAGTAACAACTAGCAAGCCAAGCAATGTGATTTTTAACACCTAAACAAGAGGTTATTGCCCAGGCTATTTATCTCCTCATAATTAGATTTCTAAGAAAGGACTTATAGTACTTTAGGAGTGGTGGGGTATGAATGAATCTATTTGTTTATTAGCAGATGAATTTGCTCATTAAGGATTCAAAGTTTTAGTTCCCGATCTTTATAGAGGAAAAGTAGCTAAAAGCCATGAAGTAAATCATTGAATAAATATTCTGATTTATAAGAATTTTAGCTATTGAATTTTATTTAAAAAAAAGGAAGCAGGACATTTGTTAACTGGTTTAGATTGGAAAGGAGCAATAGAAGATATTGCACACGCTTTATAGTATCTTATAAAATTACAGGGTTGCACTTCTGTCGGAATCACAGGTACTAATTACATTTTAGATGCTATGACACTATTCATTTTATATTTTATTTCAATTCATTTTAAATTTAAAAAATAATTATAGGTTTTTGTATGGGCGGAGCATTGACATTAGCAAGTCTCTCTGCAATTGAGGGTTTTTCTTGTGGAAGCCCTTTTTATGGTATTTGCGATCAATAAACATTCCCTGTTACTAACATTAGAGTTCCTGTTCTCGCTCACTTTGGTGAAGATGATAGTATGGTTGGATTCTCAGATGTTGAAAGTGCCAAAGCTTTAAAGTTAAAAGCACATGAAGCCTCAGTAGACTTTAGATTAAGGTAATAAAATTTATTTAAATCTTCAAGATATCTATCTATCTCTTTTAGTTAACACAAATATAATTCTTTTAATAAATTAAAAAAAGAACATACCCCTAAGCAGGACATGCCTTTATGAGAAAAGAATCTAAAACATATTAACCATAAGCTGCAGCAGCTGCATTCAAAGAAACTGTTGAATTCTTTTAGCAATTATTAAAATGAAAGATTGTTAATTAGAATTTGATTATTTTTAAATTAGGTTTTTTATATTTCTCAAGCATTTGTTAATACTTAATAGATAGATTAATAATTTTATTATCTTTAATCAAAATATAAAAAATAGTTTTTCAAATAATTTTCATATCATCTTAATTTATCTTAAAAATGAAATTACATCTTTAAAAGTTAAAATTTTTCATTAATAAATATTTAATATTTTTAAACACAAAAAAATATGTGTAAATAACACTCTAAAATTTAAATAAAATAATCGATATTAAAACAGTATAAATACTTATATATAAAACAACAATGTTAATTAAAAAGATTTTATGCTATTAAATAAAAAGTTTTGGAATAATAATTACTATTAAATGTTAAAGCAGCAAATAAAATTAAAAATAAAAACAGCAAAAATGCCTTAAATAATAAATTTAATGATAAAATAGAAATAGTAAACATATAAATAATAAATTTATTTAAATTCTAAAAGAGAGAAATACTCAAAAATTAATACTAAAATAATGAAATAATATGCAAAAAGGATTAGATTGTGATTGATATTATTATTTATTCTTTAAAATAGTATTTAATCAAACAAATAAAAGGATTTAAAATACTTTTATAACAATAAATCAATGTATTCAATATAAAAAAATATCTTTAAAGAACAAAACTATAAACATAAATTTAAAAAAATTAAATTATTAAAGATCTTTAAAAATAAATAAGAGTTAGTTTAATATGAATAAAATTGTTAATATAAATTAGAAATATATGTATCATATATTAGAAAAAATGATAATTAATAAGAATATTGATGAATGTATTGATGGATGGATGGATATATGTGTAATAATTGAATTGAAATATGTGAACCAATTTATTTAATTATATTTACATAGTTTATTTGTTTTTTGTTTGAGAATATTTTTAAAAACTCTTCTTTTTTAAATTAATTTGCTTAATTTTTGGTATTTATTAACTCTAGTTATAAATAGGTATGTTTATTTCTAATTTAATCTGTAATCTATCTAGCAAATTAAGTTCATAATTACTTAAATATATTTTCAGCTAACTTATTTGCTTAGTTTTGGATTTTAAAGATTATCTTTTTAATCTTAGAATATATAAAAGTTTGAAAAACAATTCACCTAATTTATTTTTTCAAATATTGAGCAATTAATTATAAAATTGTTATTAAAATTATTTATTTTTGAGGGTTTTAGTTCTTTAGCTATCTAATGTGTGCGTGGGTGGTTTTGTTTGCAAGTAGGCCCTAAAATATTAATTTTATGATAATTCCTTTAAATTTTCTGTTTCTATCATCAAGAGTAAATAAAAATGTTTTATTGATTTGAATTATTTTCATAAAAAAAGCTATTCATTGTTTAATTTTTATCTAAATAAGAGTTTTGTTATTGATTGTTTTGGAAAGACATCTTTTTGGTACTATTTAAGCATTGGGAATCAGGGATCATAGACGTATTATCAAAATCAAAGTCGTCACAATGTGATTATATCAAATTAAATTAACTTTCAATTTAGTTTTAATTATTTTTAAACTGCTTGTTAAATTATAAAGAAAATTATTAATTTGAGGAATCGAAACTGTCATCGTAAGATTTTGTATTTTAAGTTGATTGATTTTTAGAAATACTCTATAGCTATTGATAAAAAGATCTTATATATAACTTAATTGAGCAGTCTCGAGGAATCTAATATTCCTTCATAGCTGTATAATTATGAAGTTCCTTTGTGTAGTAAAAGAGCTTTTGTTCTAGAGGTGGAACTCCGGTTTTTTCAAAAATAAGGATTTTTATTTATAGGACAGAAGAGGAAATATTGAATTATAATGGTAAGCTTTTCCCATTAGTCAGAATAATAAATATTTAACTTAGTTACTTGGGTTCTATCTAGTTCTAAATAGATTTTTATTATATAGCCTAAGAATAGATTTGCATTTGATTTTCACTAATTTGCTTTTGCAGTTAGTAGTTAGGGCAGGTAGACAGATGTTGGTGGTATTGCATTTCGTAGATATTAAAATGCATTTGATTGCAGAGATTATTCATAGCATTTTTTTCTGTAAACTACTATGATAACATTTATTCATTGTTTCTTTAATGATGCTTTTAGCTAAATATTGTGTTTGGATGATACTGGTTCTAAATTATTTTTTGAGTTTGGTAGGAGTTATAGTAATAGGGAGAAGATGATGAATAAGAAGATGGAGATGGAGAAGATGCGCTTGATGATGAGCAAGAATATGAAATAGAATAGCAAGATGGAGAAGAATTAGAAAATAGTGGTAAATCTTCATCGTTGGTGAAGTAATTTCCATTGTTAAAATGAGTGAATGCATTATTTTGAGAGTAGTTATTGTTTATTATTGAAATTGCTTAGCTGCAACTGCATGGTAGTGGCTATACTTCGTTTTATTTTTGCTAATTCTAAGTATCAATACTCTTAATCTGATTTTTCAAGCTATTGATGAAATTCTCTAACTCATTTCTCATAATAATCATTTCAGAAGTTATTTGTGATCCCTATTCCACTTGTATAAATGCATTATACTCTTTTAGCTTTGAGTCCATATACTAAATGAATTTTTGTCTATAGTTCCAAACTTATTCAGTGATTTGCTTGCATAAATCGTCAATTTGCATTCTGTATGTCTTAATTTGATTTGTAAGATTTGATGAACTATCTTAGTTTGCCTTATTGATTAACTACTTGCTAAACACCTTTTTCTTTTCTTTTAACTAATTCTAATCATCAAATTAGCTGGATGGTTATTCTTAAATAATCTACATATCATCGGAATAATATTAGTCACACTCACTTAAAAACAAGGAGTTGTGGTTAAAATGAGAGTTGTTAACATTGAAGCACTTATAACAACATTTCATATTGTTACAAGTTAGACAAACAGCATTTAAAAATATCTTGTGTTTAGCACATCTTTCATCTTCTTCAGCCTCGTTCATTTCTTCTTAAAAAATACTAGTTTTAGTAACAAATTTATGAAATTTTTATTTCAGCTAGTTCTGTAATAGAGTTTGTTGTCCTACAAGTGAATAAAACAACTTTCAGACGATGACTATGCTGATGATATATATATACTTTATGTTAATTTCAAATTTTCTTTAAACTCCAAATATTCTAAATTATCTATTGATTAAAAGAAAGCACTGATTGAATAAATAAAAGATTAATAATTATTGCTAGAGTGCACGTTTGTATAGGAAGTCTTAGAAAAGCTTATAGGTGGATAAATCTAATATATTTCTTTATTTGCTTGTTTATTTATTTTTCTCCTTGCTTTTCCTAGCTAATCCTCAAATATTTTGATAATCACTTTCTTTCTAATTAAATGCAAATATTATTATTTATTTTTTATTAGTTAATCAGATTAATTAATACTCGCTTTCCCTTTCTATTCTCAATATAACTAAAGAAGTATAGATAGATAGATAGATAGATCTCAATCTTTTTTTAGAACTTCTTTCTTTGCTTTTTTTTCTGTCATTCTTCTATTTTTAATTAATAGTGAATGGACTGGCAAGCAAAATATATTAAATTTTGACTAAAAAAAAGCATTTATTAAAATTTGCCGCTATTCCATAACATCTAAATTTTAGAGCAATAGACCAAATTTGTTAAACAAATTAAAGAAAATTTTATAGCACATGAAATCTAGTTTTTTATAAAAATAATCATTTTATAGAATTAAAATTACCATTTAAAAAGATTGAACTACATTAGTTAATCTCTAAGTTCATTTTAATATTTGATGACAATAATTGTAAGATAAAAAAGTTATCACAAAAAAGCTTTTTAGGAAAAAAAAAAAAATACTTTTATAAGTTTTAAAGTTATTCTTGATTCTAATTTTATTCGTATTGGCGCAAAAAAGAAAATTGTTATAAATTATTGAATTATTATTTATTTATCTTTTAAATATAGTTAATCCATTTTTGATTAATAATCGTGGTGACTGAAAAAAAGCAAAGATAGATAGATAACTTATTAGATAAAATATTTATTTTATACTAAAAAAGTGTCTTATTAAGAAAGTAATTAAAGTTTTTTTTCATTTTTAATTAAATTTTTGAAAATCATAAATAATATTCTATCAAGTTTAATATTTAATCCAAGTTGCGTTTGTTATAATTAACAAATCAAATTAATATTCGTAGTTACTAACAAACACGATTAATTAATTAATTTATTATCTTGATTAAAATAATTGTCTGCTTTTAGATATTGTTGTGTGAAGAAGAAATCTTACAATAAAAATTTTTAAATTAAATAAATATTTGAATTAGTTTTTATTTAATAATATGATCGCAAGCATATTTTGCATTTGAATATTTTTGCAAATGAATAAATATAAATATATAATTGATAAAATACATGAATAAAAAGATTAAATAAATTTATTTGAGTTAATTCTAGCTGATGTGTACGATTATTTGATGTTAGTAGATATTTAATTTGAATAAGTTGATTTTATTTTGATCTTTTAATTGAAATTAGTAGTTTTATAAAAAAGATTAAGGTAGATCAAAGATGGTGATATAAACTATAGAAATGCGATTATGAGTTATCAAGCAACTCTTTTGGGCTTCCTTATTCTAGAATTTCTCCTTAATTGAGGAAGATCACTCTGTCGAAGTTCATAACATTTGTAATTTTGTGAGCAATAAATATAACCTATTTTTAATATTTAAATTATTAATAAAGTTTTGTTATAATTTTAGAAAGTAATAAATTTCATTGATATTCATGAAATAATTTCTTTATTGACTAAAATTATCTTATTCAAATTTGTTGATATAATAATAATTAATGATATTAAGTAAATTTTATTTACGGTAGATTTAGTTTTGAACAAAAAGTTCTATAAGATATTTTCATTTTTTTCATCAATACTTGAGTTTGCTTCATCAAACAGTATAATTTTTCTCTATTAGATTAATGCTCTAACTAGAGAAATTACTTATTTTTCTCCCTATGATAGATTCTTTCCTGATTCTTCTAGATGAGTGTCTAAACTAAGATGATTCATTGTAAGAATATCATCTAATTCCAGTTTCTTGATGAGGTCAAGCAATTCTTCGTTTGTATATTTGTCAAGAGGGTCTATATTTTATTTTACAGTGCCTTCAAATACGATACTATCTTGCATTATGATAGATATGTTATCTCTTATTTATCCGCCGCCAAGTTCCATGTCATCAAATAGCACTTTCTGAATTATTTCAAAAGATAAATTTAAGTTAAAAAATATATTTATGATATTATATTTTATTTACTCCTGAAGTGTGGTATAAAAGATCTAAGATAGATAGCAAGATTGTTGATTTTCCTGAACCAGTTCTACCAACAATACACACCTTTTCTCCTGGAGATATGCTGATGTTCAAATTTTTTAGGGCTTTTTACTGTTAGACATATTCTGCAGTGAAATTGACAAATTTAAGTCCTCCTTTAATCTCTATTTTATTGTCTGATGGAGTTTAAATTTTATTTTTTTATTCTTCTTATTATAAATTTGTCAAATCGTTAAAAGACTTAATCTCTTTTAGGAAATCATTGCATTTCTGATATGATTGCATAGAGTCTTAAATTTCATTAATTGATTTAACCAAACTGATAATGTAAAAGTCTATGTTAATTGCAAATGTAATTTTTGGACCTATTGATAAAGGGTCATCACTCTATAAAGTAAAGAAGAAAGAAAAGAGATTGAACATAAATCCAAATGAGCTTATAAAAAGATCATGATAGAATTTCTTTTTAATTTATATGTCTCTCCACAATTATTAATTTTCCTATAGATGAACATATTCATTTAAGATAAACTATTAGATTCCATAGGCTCTAATATAGCAAAGACCTTGTAAGCATTGATTGCTATAGTTTATTAGAGGTCCGCTTAATTCTTTCAATTTCTTTTAGATTTGCTTTAAATCCTCTACATTCTTTTAGGCTATTTTGTATCCAAAATAAAGATAGGTGCACATAGCTATCAAAATAGAAGGTTCTTTTGTTCCCATCAAGCTTAAGAGGACATTAACTATATTAATAAAATATAATTTTAATATGTTTGACAAATTTTATTTTGATAATAAATACAATTAGAAAAGATACTTAAAAAATTAATGTTGATTGTATTATTTATTTTAGTAGAATAAAAAAATTAATTAAAAAAATATTACTTATGATACCAAAGAAGTAGAAGTAGAATGCTGGTATTTGTAGGTTGAGCTTATGGTCTAGGTTGGAAATTTATATAGAAAGAATATCTTAGATTTTGGATGGTGTAACAGTTTGATTGATGTAGAGTTGATAGTGAGATTTAAGAGTTATATCAGTGATTTCTTGGTGGATTTTCTTTGAAGATACAAGGCATAGTACATCAATGAAGTATTTTCTAAGACATTAACCAGCATTATCTAGCAGAAGAATGAAAATAAGAGTAAAGATGTATGTGTTTTAGGAAAACAACTTGCTATCCCAGTATTTTAATACTTGAGTTTAGGCCAAATCAAGTATGCTGTAGATAAAAACACTCAAAGTGGCAAGTACTAAATACTTTCTACCTTAGATATCCTCCTTCGTGTATTACTAGAATAGGTCAAATGTTTGCTTGAATTTGCATTACTGTATTGAGTTTCTTCTTCTTATTTGTATCACTTTCTCTAAATCTCCCTCGCTTTCATCGAATTTTATGTTTCTTTTTTAAAGCTTTACTTGAGTTAGCTTGCTTTTGTTGACAGCTTCGAATGAATCATCTAAAGTGCTAGCAAGATCAAAAGAAGATTAAAGACTATTATTTGATGATAAAATGCTGTTATTATTAGCCTCATGTTTTGGGGATTGGTTGTATTCTATGGCATCCAATGTACCGTCTTACTTTAGTTTAACAAGAATATCAGCATGTCTCTCAATGAATTGATTTTCATTTATTGAAATTATTATGATACGATCTTATTTAAAATACTTAACAATATTGTAGATGCAGTTTTTCATAACTTTCTTATCTAAAGCACTGAAGCTGTCATCCAATAAAATCAAAGACTTGCTATTTTGATAGAATGCACGAGCAATATTGATTCTTTGCTTTTAGCCTCCACTGAGATTATCACTGCGCTAGCTGATGATTTAATTAAAGTCCTTTATGTCTTTGTCAAGATCAAAACAAGAAACTACAAGGTCGAAGTATTCCTCATTGTATTCATTATCTAAAATAATATTTTCTTTGATTGATTTATTCATCATCCAGTTATCCTATCCAACATAAGCAATGTTTCTGTCTGAAATTACTTGTGACTTGTTATACTCACCTAACAACGATTTTAGGAACAAACTTTTTCCACAAGCTGTAGGGCCTTTGAGTACAATAATGTTATTTTTAGCAATATCCAACAAATTTAAGCTTACCCTCTTGGGCAGGAGATTATTATTTTAGTTATTGACTAATAGTCTGCTATTGTCTTCAATATTTTGATTTTGTTAAAAATCAGGTAAAGCTCTCTTGTCTAATGGTAAAATTTCTTCAATATCTAAAAAATCTTCAATTCTCTTAATATTTTGCAGAGAGTCTAAGTATTGACAAAGTAAAATAGGAAGCTAATTCAGGCATTATCTCACTATCCAGAATGATTGCTCTATTTAGTAAATTGAGTTCATATCGATAACCTAGTCATCATAAATGACATAGTAGAATAGAATAGTTGCAATTATAATTGGCTAAGCAAATTTCTTGAGGATAGCATTCCACTAACCATAATAGTTTTACAATTCTATCTATTCGATTTCTTTTTCCCTTATCTTATTTATCTTATTTAAATAAAATTCTTCTGAATTTGACCCTTTAATGTACTTGATTGAGTAATTCACATTTTGAATTATCCTATAACGTTCCTCTGATATCTTTTTTAATATTGCACTTACTGCTAACTACTTTTTGCTAAAGTAGAATGTTAGATAAGAGAGAACAATAATTAATGCTAAAACTATCATCCAAAAATCACCAGTTTTTTCTTTACTTTTAATTAGATTAGAAAAGTTAAAAATATAAATTTTTATAAGTTAAATTAAAATAGAAATCAATCTAAAAGAGCCAAAAATATAAATATATTTATTTATTTCTTTCATCTTGGTAAATATTTGTTAAATTATTTTAGTAAAGTTTATCTTGTCTGTGATTATTTTTTAAACTAAAAAATATTAGATTAGATCAGTATTTTTTAATTAAGTTAAGGGGTATTTTGGAAAAAAAAATTTGTGATTTTTATAATTTTGAGATGGATTTCCTGAATATTGATAAGAGAGTTATTTTTTATGAAGTTATAACATAAGTGAATTGATATGATAATAAATTGATATTTATTTCATAACAAAGAATATATTTATGGCTAATATGAAAGTTGGCTGGCTATTTTTATAATTTTTAGAGGGAGTTAATGAATTCTTATTTTTAAATAATTTTTAAGAAAATAGCTTTTATACTTTAGAATTAATTATTAAAAATTTTAGTACTGTAACTAATATCTTTAATTAAAAGAGTGTTTTTCTATTTTAATTATAATTGTAAAGATGTATTTAAGATGAATATTTTTAATAAAATTCTATACTAACTAATTAATTTTATAATTAAATTTTCATTGTATTCCTTCTATGTTAGACTATAGAGTAAAATTATTAGTTTTTTTTGAGTCAGCTAATAATTCAAGATTTTTTAGAACAATTTATTTATTTGAAATGCTTGATGCTGTAAATAAATGTAAAAATATTTATTTCTATTTAAAGAACGACAAATATCAAGTAGATATTGGAAATATTATTAGATATATTTGTTTTGTTTTTAATTAATTTAATTAATTAATTTATGAATGTATTTCATTCATTCCTCAATTTATTTCAAAATTACAAAATTGCACATGTTTTTATGTTTTTTGGCTAAATTAAAAAATTTAATGCTTACATCATTTCCATTGAAAAGGCTAGCTAGAGAGGGATCAGGCAAATATTACACAACTAATAGAAGTACTCTACTAATTTTGTGGACTCGTTGTTTATTAAGGAGCTTATACTACTCAAAGAATATTGCTTATTAAAATCTAAGTTTGTTTTCATACTCTTTTGTATGATCTTCTGTTAATACTCTATCACTAGTTAATTTCCTTTAGACCGCTATATGTATTCACTAAAAGATAGCAGGGAATGCTCAATGAATTTTGTTCCCGCTAATAAAACAGATATGGTTAGGATATCTTCGAAGCTTCTAAAAGGATATTTTGCTAGTGATAAAGTATCTTCTATGTATTTTTTATACTAAATTTTTGCTATTAGAGAGATGGCTAAGGGTAAAAAGCTGACAGCTAGCTAGTAAATATGCTTGGTTGTATATCTTTTAGTCATATCTGTGTTTTTATGAATTGACTTTGATGTGATAATTGGTATTTTTAAACTGTGGCTTTTAATGAATGGCTTTTTGTTCGTTTTTCTATGTTTTGTTATTCACTAAAGACTAGTCCTATAATACTATTTAGAGATATTACAAATGAATGAATGAGGAGACTATTTAGTTTTTGTAATAATCAATATGTTTTTTGTTTACCTTTTGATATATAAATTTAATTAATCAAATTCTAATAAATTCATATACATTTTTTTATTGATTTGATGAATAATTTATATTCTACCTCATTCCTTTCTTTGTTAATATTTATTTAATTTGTAATATCCTTTCTTTGGTGGGCATCAGCTGCTTCTTTCCATTCATTCAATTTTAAATTTATTAGTTAGTTAGTTAATTAATTAATTACCTTTTCAATTATTTCAAAAGATATTTTTTAATTGTTCTATTTTTCTGTATTGATTCTATTTTTAACTCTATGTTGCATATCCTATGCTTTTAAAACAACTATAAATTCCACGTCTTATTTATGATATCTGTTATTAATACCTATAAAATATGATTGAATAAGTAAACATAAATCACTTCAATTAATTATATTCTAGTTTTAGTTCATAGATTTTTAAATATTCGATAATAACCTATAAAAATAACTCCTACTAAATAAAAATAATTAAATAAGTGATAAAAAAATATTCAAATTATTTAAAAAACAACCTAGAAAGAAAAAGTAATAAATAAATTTTGAATGTCATGAAGAATTTGTGTTTCATCAAATAAATTCATAAAACCCTAAAATTTGATTTAAAGATTAAACACCAGAAAAAAAGTTCATACAGAAAATCAAAAATCTAAGAAAATTTGTTGAGAAATAAAATTAGAAACATCAAAAATAAGTTTTTAATTTTAGTAAAAAAAGTATTTTTAACTCTTTCTTTGATTGAATATAAGGGAAGGAAAATAATGGTTTTGATTTAAAAATTATTTAGGTAAAAATATCAAATAATTAAATATCTAAAAGTTAAAAATAAACTTAATTAAAGTATACGACAATTTTTTTTTCGAATTTTGCAAAATTATTATGCACTATTAAATCAATCAGACTTTTTTTAAAAAAATTAACTTACAATTCGTAGCAAGATCAATTAATTACCCACATTCTTACTAAAAAAAGCATAAGACATTTGCCAAACAAAACATTAATTTCTAATTTACTTTTTTTAATTACAAATTTCTCATTTATTTACTCATTTTTCTTTTATTCCTTCTCAAGCTCACAATAAACACCACCAGCAAATGCAATTGCTTGTTTGATTACTTTATAATTTTTCACTTAAAATTGTATAATTAAATAAATTTCTTAAACAATAAATGACAAATTAAATTTTCTAATAATTATAAAAGATTTGCGAACACATAGACATATTCAATAATACTAGCAAGGATATTTTATTTAGGCAAGTTAAAATCACCAAATATGATAAAATTCTATATTTTTCCAACCATGGAAATGAAAAAAAATAAATAAACAAATAAAAAAACTACTTAACCATTTATTTTTAAATAAATAAATTCTTATCTAAGCAAATACTTTTCATTCTCATTTTATCATCCAAATTTGAGTTTTTCATAGAAGTTATTTCTTAATTTTATCTCAGAATTTTAATGAAATTGATAGATTTAAAATGTTTCTAAGAAAATTAGCTTCAGCTAAAAAGTTTAAAGCTATTTAACTTTCAAAATATTATTTATTTTTAATATTTATAAATTAACAAATCAAGAGATTTTTAAATCAAGAATAAATTATTTTAAACAAAAACATTTCAAATTTTACTAAAAAAATAAAATCTATAATTCATCAAATGGCTCAAATAACTTGATAAATTTAACTTAAAATTATGAATAAAATAAAATTTTTACATAATACCAAAAAAAATTGTATTTTATTATTGGTTTGGTGATTATTATATTTGAAATTATACATTTTGTATAAAATATTTATCAAACAAGAATGAATATTTTCTTCCAGATAAAATATAAGCTTACTAATTATATGGTACTATGCTTTTTATATGAGGATTTACTTTAAAAAATAAAAATAATGAGATAAAAATCTTCTTAAAACTTTCTAATTTATTTTCAACTCTTCTATTTTTAATTTTATTTTTTCAGGTAAATTAATTTTATTAATTTATTTGGTTTAAAATATTTTAAATTTGCAATTGAAACAAAAGATTTTCAAATAAAACAATTATTCTGAACAAAATAAAAATAAAATAGTATCTTTAATCTATCATATTATATTTTAATTCAAAAGTATTTCTAATTTTAATTAAATCAGAAGGTATTTATTTTGTATTATTTAAATTAATTTATAAATTATTTATTTTTATTATAATATGATAAAATTACTTTTAAATGAAACTAAAATATGAAATTAATATTTTTTAGTAATAGTTTATACAAATTTAATAATAGTGCTGATTTCTTGGTTATAATAATATTTGAGATGATATAAAAGTTAACGTAGTATAATACAAATGTAATTGTGATTTCTATTAAATCAAAATTTTGATAAGATTTTCTAATTTTCAATCACTCTTTAATTCAATTTATTAAGAGAATGAAAAAGACAAATACTAATAGCTTTAATAGTAAGCCAAACAAATAGAAACAGGCTGTTTTCTCTTAAAAAAAGGTCCCCTCTAATAAAATAGTCCCTGTATAAAAAGTTTAGCTTTAAAATTCTATAAATTAATCAGTATTAAATGACACCTTAGAGCAGTTTGTGAACACAACAGACATGAATCTGGAGAATATTTAGCTCTCTAAATAAGATTTGAGCCAAAAAAATGAAGATAAAACAGATATCTAAATAGAAACTGTTATAAATTTCAATAATGCTTCCACTACTTTAGATATAAATGAAGATAGTAAAAATAATAAACATATCAAATTTGATGACTCTGAATTGGCTTAAAATTCTATTGATTATAAAAACTTAATTACCTCCTCAACTCCCTCAATCATTAATGAGCAACTATATTTTAAACATAATAAAAGTGAGTCTACACTTAGTAATATAACTTTTAATCATGTCAAACCAGGACAAAAAAAATAAAATGAATAAGATTTAGATGAAGATTACAATTTAGGTCAAATATTACCTTAATAAAATGCTAATAAATCTGAATAGGTAAAGCCAAAAAAGGCTCCTTCTAAAAAGAATTCAGTTGCTAAAGTAAAGCAATTCAGTATGGACGAAGAAGATGAATATGAATATGAAGAGGAAGATGATGAATAAGAAGAAAGTGAATATGATTACGAAGAAGATGAAGAAGAAGAAGAGGAGAAAAATGATTGCTAAAATAATAAACAAAATGGAAAAATCACAATTGAGCAATTGGTTACTCTTGATCCTTTGAAAAGTAATGGGATGATGATTTAGTAAAAGAAAACTGAAAATGAAGGTGAACAGACATAAAAATTTCAGCATTAAAAGAATACATCTACTTTACCTCATTCATTGATGGAGAATAGATTATTAATGCTTGAGCTGAGTCATCAAGATTCGAATAAATTTAATAAAAATTCTCCAAATTTTGGAAATCAAAGATAGAGAGTTAGCTTTTAGAAAAATATTGATAGTTAAAAAGAAAAGTGTAATTAAGAGATATTAAATCAGAACCCTGAAGCTAATACTTATTATAAATCATCATATACAACACAATATGAAAGAAATTCCCTTAATGTGAATGCATCACTGTAATCAGATATTCCAAATTTAAATTAGAAAAAAAAATCGAGATAAATTCATCCTTTGTAATTGTCTATAAGTAGCACTTAAAATTATGTACAGTAATATGGAGTAAGTCCAAATAATTTAAGACATTTGTAATCAATAACAAATTAAGAAATGCAAATGAATAATGCAAATCTACACAAACAGGGAATTATTAAAACTTTTGGCTCCAGAGCAAATAGTATATCGAGAGGGCCAACTCCTTCAAGAGTTTTATTTCCAAATAACCAACAAAAAGACATTAACAGCTAAGTAAATAAAGAACAAAATCCTAGAGATTAATTTTAACAGGATATAGAACCTACTCATTGTAAAATCTGTCTAGAAACTGAATGCACTTCCGAAACTGGTAAAATGATAACTCCATGCAAGTGTTCAGGAACTCTCAGAAACGTCCATGAAGAATGCCTCAAAACATGGATTCTCACATAGCAAAAAGAAATAATGGAAGCTTAGTGTGAAGTATGTATGAAGCCTTACGATTAAACAATCACATTTGGTTTAAAGTAACAATCAAATTAATCAAAAAACAATCAAGAAATCAATTTGAAGATTTTTTTTTAATTTTGAAATTTTTTATTTGTTTTTATGAATGAAATAAAAGTTCAATAAAATATTTAACAAAAAAATTATCAAGATTTTTTCAAATTTTTTGATAAATAAAAATAATATTTTAATTAAAATAACAAACAGATTGAATGTAAAGAATACTTGTCGTGATGGTAAAATGAACTGTTTAACATCTTCAGTAATTTCGATGTTTGTTATAGCCCTTATTATTGTAATAAGCTTGCTATTTTAGCAAAAGTATTTTTTGATTCGCTAAATTTTATATTAATAAATTTCATTTTAAATTATTTAATAGTGATAGAATTAACCACTCAAACTCATAATACGCTAGCAGCGATTCATTTCTAGGTAAATTAAATTTCAAAGACAAATAAAAATTAATTAAGTTCTAATTGTCTTAACTAGATAGTACTACCCATGTGATATCTCTCATCATCATTTGCTTTATTATTCTTTTAATTTTACTTATTATTATCTATTACACTCTTAAAGAAGCATGCTGCATTTTGGTTGTCAAAGAATGGATCATCGAATAATATGTGTCTTCTCCATAAATTGAATAAAGTTAGATTGTAGAAGGAACTTACAATTATTAATAAACAACTGAGTACTAAAATCAAATTTAATATAATCTATAAAATAATAAAATAATCACATATTAATAATTCTTGATGGAAAGAAGAAGTATGCCTACTATTATGCCTTAAAATATCGATGAAGAGAACAGAAATATCTTCAAATAAAACAACCGTAATTTTAATTAAAGTAGAAATAGTCCTAAATCTTAAGCATAATCATGTGTTACATAAATGTAAAACAAACAGTAAAAAAAATTATCAAAATAAGAGCAGCAAAATCGCATCAACCAACTTCTTAAAAGCAAAAAGTAATTAAACAAACCAATTTTATTTAACTAAAGAATTTACTCTTCAAGTAGAAGACAAAGCTAAAGTAATGCTGCCGTAAGAGTTTCTTATGATTTATCTTGATTTTGATAAGATAGATAATAACTAAAGTAAATTAATTAAGAAATGAATAAATTTATAGATTTAATCATTATATTTTAATAAAATATAAAAAAAATAACTAAATCAATAAATAAATTTAGCTTTCCAATATAAAATTTTCAAAAATAGAAAATGAAATGTTAAGGATTTAATCAATAAATAAATGATTTTCTATAAAAAAATTTAAAAATTTACAAAAAGTAAATTATTAATTAAAAAAATCTTTTAACTTACCTAAAAATATGCTTTAAAAATTATTAATAATGATTTTATTAAAAAATTTAATTTTTTCTAAAAATAGTGAAAAATTAGAAATAATATAAAAAATTTAAAGTAAAATATTTTTTTAAAATATATAAAATTTCAATATTAAATCATGAATTATTTATATTTATTTATAATAAAAGAGGTATTTATTTATTTATTTGCATGTTTATATTAAATTTTCATCCTAATATACCCTATAAAGTAAATTTAATTAAATTTATCATATATAAAATTTTTTAAAAAATTTCATTTCATATAGAATTTAATTATTGTTATGAATTGTTTATATTTATTATTTTTATTAACTTTAGTTTTCATCTTAAAAGTAATATTACAAGCTTAAAAAATAAATAAAATAATCTCTCACTAAATTTATCAATTAAAAAAATTTATTTATAAAAATGAGATTTCTAAATAATTGATTATTTATTAATAGTTATTTATTATTTTTATTAATTTGTATAAATATTTATAAACATTTCTTTAATTTTTATTTAAAAATAGATATCAAAAACTGATAAAATAGTGTTTATTCCAAGTAAATATTTTACTTTTAATAACTATACCAAAATAAATTACATATTATTTAGTATATATTCTTATTATTGATTATATCTATCTATTTATTTATTATTTTTATTAGTATTTATTTAGTAATGTTTTTTTTAATGCTCATCTTAAATTTTAATTTAAAATTGTTAAAAACAAAAATATTTTCAAATTAAATTCATCATATTTAAAATATTTATTTATTATATTTGCATTTTATTATTATTTATATTATTTGTACTATTTTTATTCATTATTTTTTTAACTTTTAATTTTCCTCGTAATAAATAATATTATAAGCTTAAAATTTAAAATAGATTATAATTAAAGATATCAAATTAAAAATATTAAAGAAAATTACATTTTCTAAAGAGTGAATATCTAATAATGAATTATTTATTATTTGTGTTAATTGTTATTCATTCATAAATTTAGTAAATTTTAAATTTGATCCTAAAAAAATGTCACAGGCATAAAATATTTATGCAAACTACATTTCCTAAAGGATTAAATTCTGATTTTCAATTACTTGTTTTTATTTGTTATAAAAGATGTATCTATTTTTATTCATACATTTTTCTTCAGCCTTGATTCTAAAAGATAAAATTACAAATAAAAAATATTAAATTAGTCTTATTTTAAATATTTATGCATTTTACATTTACTTTAATATAAATTTCTAATGCATACCTAATATAAGATTTATTACTTACATCCTATCAAAAATATATATATCTAATTTCTTTTATTTATATCTAATAAAAGAAATATTTGATTTCTCAATTTTAATTAAATCTAAAAATCCAAACATAATCAACAAAATTAAATAATTAATTAAGTTATTAAAAAAGTAAAAAAAATAAAAAAAATAGAGGTTTATAAATAAAATGAAAGAAGTGATAATTAATAATATTCAAAAATAAATAGAAGCGAATTCTGTTATTAAAGCAGAGGAAATATCTTTAATTTTAGAAATCTTTATAAAAAAATATATAAATTATATCTATCTTGAATATGAAAGCAGCTAAACTGACTCCTTTTGTTTAAAAGCATTCAACACAGAGATTTTACAAAATGTGTATCTCAAATTTTCTCTCTTGATCTTAAAATAAGAAAAAGAAAGGGAATAGAAAAAAGAAATTATATTGAAGCTAATTTAATAAAACTAACTGGAAGATCAAATACTAACGAAGGATACTCTATATGACGTAACAATAGAAGAAACAATAGATAATTAAAGTAAAAAATATAAATTAAAATTTGAAATTAAAAATATTAATTTTATTAATAAAATAGACTATCCTGATCTCAGTTAAAGAATAAAGGCAGAAAAAAAAACATTCTATTCTAATGTAGTTTTTAATAAATATAAACATTATTTATAACTAAACAATTTTCTTTTAGGAAGTAATTAATGAAACAAAATATGTAAGATAAGTAACTGCAATTTACTAGTAAATTTAAATTAATTTTATTTTATCAAATATAAATAAATAAACAACTTCAATAATTTAACAATCAAGGAGGCGAGCATTCAACATGGAAATTATCTTAAATGAATTAAATTTACTAGAAAACCATCCTTACTTGAAAAAGCTAAATTTAAATTTAAAGTATTAAATAAATTAATCTTAATTAAGAATGTATTAATTACGATATATTTATAAAGCAATAACGAATTCTTTGAAGGTGAAGGTGCGTTACTGGGTTCTTGGATATCAAAATTTTCATATTTAGAAAATTTGGAATTAGATATCGAGTAATTTATTGATTTTCTCAATTTTAAAATGTATTAAATTTTATTTAAATAAAAAAGCTCTTGCAACATACAGACAGATTAGCTGATTTAATTGTTAGATTCAATATCAAATTGCAACAATTTAAAGAAATTAGATTTCACTTATAGGTTTTTATTATTATTAAAAGATAAATAGTATTTATTTTTTGCTCAAAAATTAAAAGGATGAACAAAAACGAGCCTATTTTTAAAGAAATTGGCACTTATTTAGGCAAATTGCATTTATTAGAATATTTATCTATAAATTAAAGGTATTTAATAATTTATTCTTAAATTTTTTTCAAATATCATTTCTCTCTAGCTTAAACAAACTATAATAATCTATTGGTGATAGCTCTTTGTTTGGATAAGGCTTGGCTAATTGTAAAAATCTAAAAGAGCTATCTTTTAATTCATCGTAAGATTTTTATACTAAATAAAATTAAACTAGGGTTTATTATTAATTAATTCAATAGATTCTGCTTTTATTAGAGCTTAACTCAACAGAATTTGATACTTGGGCTAAATAATTTGAAAAGCATCTAAAAATTACATCTCGATATTAAGTAAAAACTTAAATTCATACTTTGAAATTTTATTTTAATAAAAAATAATTAAAAAAAAAGTTAATTTATTTATGCAAATAATAGAAAATAAATAAAAAAGGTATTTTAAACCATAGAATTATAATTGCATGGAAATAGCATGAATTTATCACGCTTATTTAACCCTCTACCTCCCTAAAAATAATATTTAGCATAAAAAACATTATTTAATTTACACAAATTATAAAAAAATAAAAAAATGGCTTTTTTACACTTTTAAAAACTTACAGTTTTCTCAAAATTATTTTGAAAGGATAAAGATAAATTAATTTATGATATATCCTGATAACAATAATTTAATTTTTTTTTTCTTTATACTAATTGAAAAACAATAATTAAATTATTTTAATATTAAATTTTTATTAAAAATTTTAATAAATAAGACAAAATAAACTATCAAGTGATTTGCTAATAAAAATTGTTTAGGAAATATCTTGCTGTTCATAAATAGAGGATTTATCTTTGAGTTTCATGTAAATATTTTAATTTGAAAGCTAAATTATAAAATTCTTACTAACTTTTTAAAGAGATAACTAAATTGAAGACGATACAGTGTTAAAGCTATTTAAAGAAGTATCAAAATTATAATTACTGAAGAGATTTTCAATAGATTTTATGTATATAATGCTACTTTTCTAATAAAAAAAATTAAAATTTCTTCTTTTTCTATCAGGAATATTATTACTGATTACAGCAAATTGATTGGATTTGGCGAAACCCTTTCGCTGTGTAGCTAACTTTCATACTTATAGATGAATATCTAAAGGTATTTATAAAATTTAAAGACAAAATTTAAATATATTTATTATAAAGCTAAATTGAAAGCTAGAATGAATTATCTGAAGTTATAGGTAATGAAATCTCGTAAATAAAATCATTAAAAACTATTGAAATAAAATTTGGGTACTTTTTAATTAATTTCTAATTGTATTTTACTTTAAATTAATTGTTAATAATAAACTAACAAGCTATGAAAGAATAAACTTCCAAAATCTATGCAAAAATTGGGGTCTTCTTCAGAATTTAGAAGATATTTCAATTGATTTTGAGTATATATTTTAAATAGCTTTCCTCAAATTAATTTATTAATTTGTTCATAAAAAGTAAAATTTATTTGTCTTATGAGAGGGCATAGGGATTAGATAAATTGCTTGCCTAAATCAAGAACTTAAAAAGTCTAAGCATTACATCCATTAAGTAAATTTTGTAAAATTATGAAAAAGAAAATATTGTTGCGTTTTTTCTATCTTTTATAAGTCTATTAATGTTTTTATTTTAAAATTAATTTCTTAGCGAAGAAAATTATGAAATTAAAAAATCTAAATTATTTGGAAAATATTTATCGAAATGCTTAAACCTAATCGATTTAAAACTATCCTTAAGGTATTTTAATTAGCTCATTTTAAAATGATAAATTACAAATATAAAATTTGATTGCTTTCAATTTATTTTTTTAAGGAGAGTGGGGAGAGGAAGGTTCGTTCATCAAGTATGAAAGACTTTTGTTGGAGTATGTATTTACTTATGTCACAAATCTACAAACAAGAGAATGAATGGCTGAAATTTATATATGAATTTTGTATCATCCATCCCCTCTTAGCCTTTATCAGACTGTTAAAAATAATATTTTATTAAATTATTTTTATTTTTTTTGAAGGAATTCACATTTAAGTTACTTTGTTGATGCTTTAAATCATATTTCTAAAATTCAGTCATTGGAAAGATTAAACTTATCATTTTAAAGGTATTTATATATAGAATTTAATTTACTTATAAATTAAGATATAAGCAAACTAAATTTAATAACAAAAAGCTCTATAGACAATCTAAAGGAGACTCCATAATATATTTGTAAATATATATCAAGCTTAAATAAGCTTAAATAGCTCCAACTTACTTTCTAGTAAATTTTTTTAAATAAGTGATTTTTTTAACAAAATGAAATTAAAATTAGCTCCATTTAGCATAATGTAGACTTTTTAGTTGAAATACTTAAGGGTTTAGCAGAATTAAAAGAACTAAATCAATTAGTATTTTAAATTTGGTAAACTATTCATTTGTAAAAAAAAAAAAATATTAATAAACTAAATAATTATTAAAGGTATTCCATAGTAACTGATAAAGAAGCTACAATACTGCTCAAACATATTTAAAAATTAAAAAAGCTTAACACAGTTAATCTTGATCTAAGGTAAATATAAATAAATAAATAAATGCTATTACTTTCATTTGATATTTTACTTTTGTCAGATTATAAATTTAATTTAACATATATAAATTTTAATTATTTTTATTTTCTTTTAATAGGGTAAATAAAATTACTGCTTCAAATACTCTTTAATAAATGCTCACAAAAAATCTTTACCTAGTAAATAAGGATTTTTATGTATGAAAATATAAATTAAATATAAATAAAATGTGTTTTTTTTTAAAATATAAATTAAATATAAATAAAATTTGTTTTTTTAATATGAAAATAAATAACTGTAATTAATTTTTATTTTTAAAGATTCTTTTGTGAATTAAGTAAATTACTTAAAATAAAATAGTTTTTTTTTATTGTTAAATTTTATTAAGAATTTATTAATTATTTTAAAATATTTTTGAGTTGATTTTTTAAAATTTTATTTTAATTAATAATAGAAATTATAGTTAAGTAGAAGATATTTAATTTTTTTTATATAAAAGCTGTTAATTTAAAATATTTATATTGTTAACATATTAAATAATTTTATTAAAAATGACAGATAAATATAGAGAAATAAATAAAAATTTAAGAATTTAATCAAATCATAAAACTATCGATTAAATTTTTAGTTTTAATAAATGAATTAAAAATAAATAAAAACACCAAAAATATTTTATTTATTTATTTGTTTGTTTTTATATTTAATTATTTGCAGATAAATATTTTACACTATTATTCATATTATTGAAGAAATCAGTAAGTGAATTTGCATAGTAAGCAATCAGGTATATAAAGCATTAAGATAATTGATATGATAAATATTGATTTTAGGTTAAATTTAAATCGTTATTAATATAAAAGACCAATATTATAATTCTTTTAACATTAAAAACAAATATTACACCAATTTATTCAATAATTTATATAGCAAGAAATGAGAAAGCTTAAATTTCATGAGCAAAAGCTCTTAAAAAAGCACGACTTCTTCAAGAACTGGACTGGTGAAGATAACCACCACGAAGTCAAAGTTATTAAAAGATACCATATACAAAATCGTGAAGATTACGAAAGGTATTAATCATATCAATCCACTTATTCATATTAATATTATATAGATGATTTAAAAACTAGAACTTAATTTGAAAATATTTTTTAAAAATATATAGATATAATAAGATATGCGGTTTAGTTACCTCATTGATTTGTAAATTGAAGCTTTTAGATGAGAAAGACCAATTTAGAGTTAAACTTACAGAATAACTTCTTGAAAAACTGTAATAAATAATATCATTCATTAGATTATTGATTGCTCATTAATAAATCATAAAATGAAATCTAATTTTTCTAATTTTTTGCTTTTTAAATCAAAAAGATATAATTTAGGTCTTGTTAACTAAAGAGAAAATGTAATGGCAGCTGAAAAACTTACTGTAAGTGCATTCTGCAGGTAAAAATTAGCTATAAGATTAAACAAGTATTAATATATATGCAATTATAAAACAAAAGGAGAAGATTACCAGTTGTAATGTAGATAAATAAATTCGCATAAACAGTCAAAGAGGCAGTCACATATATTGAATAAGGAAGTAAGAAATCATTTAAATTAATTTGTATTTTAATGCTCTGACTAAAAAATTAACTTTATCTTCATATCTAAATAGATGTCAGAATAGGTCCTGAAAAAATTACAGACCCTGCTTTCTTAGTTAGTAGAAATTTAGAAGATCATATCGAGTGGATGGATCAATCTAAAATTAAAAAGAAAATATTAGAATATAAAGATAAAATGGATGATTATGATATTCAAGAGTGATTTATTTTTTTATGTATTAAATTAAGTATCCAATTTATGCCAATTAATTAATTTATAAATAAAAAATCATTGCAAATAATTAAAATAATATTTTATTTTTCCATTTATATTTTAGCAATAAGTAAATATTATTCACGAAATATAAATAACAAAATTATTTTTAATTTAAAAATAAAAAAAATATAACAAAAATAAATGATATGTTTATTGATTTTATTTTTTATTTAAATTTATTTTAATTATGTATGAAAATACAAAAAAGTTTTTGTTTATAAATAAATTTTTTCAGCTTTCCTTTTAAAAATCACTATTTTGTTATTTTATTTTAAATGTCTCAATAAATAAATATTAAATTCAAATTGGAAAACTCATTATTTCATTTTTTATTTAAAGACTTTATTCTTTTAATATTTAATACTAAAATGAATATTTTTATTTTTTTAATGCCATAAAACTTCCTTAGCTTTCAAGGCAAGGTAAAAAAATCCAAAAAAGTTTTACTTCAATAGTTAGTCATTTATTCATTTATTTTTAAGAATAAATTTTGTTTTAACGCTGGGTTATGTTATTAATTAATTATTAGAAAATTATTCTCTAAGTTTTTTTATTATTTTATACATTGTTTATTTTTTCATATAAATAAGCATATAAAAATTCTTTAAAAAATTGACTTAAAGAATTTTAAAAAAAAACTACCCATCCTTCCTTGGCATTAGTCTCTTCTTAAATTAAATAGAAGCTACAGTATACGGTCAAAAATACATAATGAGTATTAAAAAAATATTTTTTGAATTTCACCATATAATTCAAAAATTGAAAAACTATTTTAAAATATAGGAAAATTGAGTACACTTTCATTAATAAACTAATTTTTTTATTACAAACAAAATATAAATTGGCCTAATTTCTGCAGAAAAATTACAAACCTAATAATTTATTAAGAACTAATCAGATTTTGTCTATTTTAATAGTAATTATAATCTATCTACCTATTGAACTAATTTTGCTTATCATAAAATTATTGATTATTTTTAATAAGATATTAAATTACAGAGGCAATTCTATTGTTTCATAATAAATTCTTTTATTAATTAATATAATAATTCTTTGCTTTTTAATTTTAATCTTTAAAAAAATCATAAATACTACTTTAAAGTAAGTAAAAGTTTATTCTTTTAGATATTTGGGTGTTTTTTAGTAAAATAATAATTTTTTCTCTCAATAATTTATATTTTTATGGATATAAGATTATTTAATATCAAAATATAATCATTTAATTTTTATATTGACAAAAGAAAATATAAAAGTGAAAATTTTTAATTTCTTATTTTATATAAAAAATCAAGAAAGGAAATAAATGAAAAATTGATATAACATACACCATCTACCTATCTTTATCTTAAACAATATTTTCATAAGAAAGAAAATTTTATCGAAAAATTTCAGATATACCTAGAAAATATTTTTAATTTAGCAATTGAAGTGAGAATAGATAAACTATTAAAACTAAAACATTGTCAATATATTTTAGTTCAAATCTAATAATTGTATTTTATTTTCTCAAAGTAATTTAATTCTCGGCTTTTACTTATGGGACTGATAGTGTCTATCTGCTTTAAAGTAATAAATATCTAATTATTAATTTCATCTTATATATCCTGTTCAAAACCTAAAAAAAATATAATTTTTAAATAAGAAACAATATACTAAATTAAAAAAAGATGAAGATTTTATTCTTTTTAGCTGTATTATTAGCTATCGCTTCTTGCTAAATCTATCCTATGTATGTTGGCAATCAATGTTCTTTGAGTTCATGTCCTAGAAGCTATTGGACTTATAATAATATTAACTACAACTATACTTGTCCTAAGACTGGAAGTGGCAATGCTAGATTCAGATTAAATGGTCAAAATTATGTTTTGGATTTTATTGCTAATAATTCAACCTCCTATTATAGCGTTTAATTACCTCTCATTTACAATAAAGATGCAAAATCTAATGGAATTCAATACTTCTAACCATTACAAACTGATACTTTTGTTGTTTTAAACTGTACTATTCCTGCTGCTAAAAAGTACACAAATCTTTGCTCAAGACATGCTTTAGTTGGTGGAAAGATTATTAAAAGTGGAGCTTTCTAAAACAGCTGCGCTTTTGGTTTGGATGCCCCTAAGCTTTCTTTCTTATAACAAGAATAAAACTTTGAATTAGAGTCTTTGGATTGAGCAAGATGAGCTTTATAATATATAATTATAATTATTTTTAATTTGTTATAAATGAAATTTGCAAATCTAAAGCATTTATTGTGTGTATTATTTTCACGGTATTTAATTTTTTTACTTTTTAATTCCAAAAATGAATGAATTTCGTTGACTAGTTAAGTAAATAAGCCAAAAACATATATTGTGCATAAATTATTCATATTTTTTTAAAACTATAATCTAAAAAAAACTATTATTTATATTGAAGCATGTACTTTTTGCTCAAAATTTTCAATAAATTTCTTTCTATATTAAGTTAAAAATATTAAATTTTCAATTGCCTCATTAAAAAATTAAAGCTTAAATACCTTGATAAAAACAGAGAAAAAATAAAATGAGAATTACGATATTGATTGAATTTTCCCTAAGTAATTCATTCGTTTTTTTTTTGCTATTTGCAGCAAATTTTTTCTGTAGTTGAGAAGCTACATGTTAAAATTAAATAAAAAAAAATAAATTAATTAATTTTTAAATTTTATGTTATTTTATATTAATGTGTTTATTTGTTTACTTTTTAATTTAAAAATAAATAATTTTAATTTTAAATTAAAAAATAATATTTATATTTATTAATAATTATTTTTATGTTCTTTTTCCCTTTCTTATTTTATTTAGTTAAATATTAATAATTTATATATTAATAAATTATGAAATCTATCATTGTATTTATAATTTATTTTTTAATTCATTGTTTCTTTATATTTCATGATTTTAAGTTACTCTCGCAATTCGGCTCGGTGCTATTATTGAGGTTTTAGGGTAATTGTTTTATATTCTCATAATAATCAAATCCTCAGCTTTTTGATGAACTTTCTGATGAAAATTAGTGGCTCTCTTTCTTAAAAAATTAAATACTTAATTACTAATCATATAATTATACTTTTTGTTTAAAACTAAATAAAATACATATTAAAAAAAAGATGAAGATTCTACTCTCTTTTGCTGTTTTGTTAGCTGTTGCTTCTTGCTAAGTTTATACTATGAATGTTGACAGCTAATGCTCTTTATAGGAATGCCCACTAAGCATTTATTTGTAATATTTTACATTTATATGCCCTCATTCTGGAAAAAATTAAGCAAGGTTAATAATAAATGATGGTGTTAATTATATTTTAGATTTCCCCAACAGCTACATTACTCTAAACCTTCTAAAAATGGATGACCCAAGTTCTAATGGAATTCAATACATTTCAAATATGCAAACACCAGAAAGTATTGTCATTTTTAATTGCACTATTCCTGCTGCTTAAAAATACACAGATCTTTGTTCAAAACATGATTTTGTTGGTGGAAAAATGTTTTCTGGAGTGTTCCTAAAAAAATGCGCTTTTAGTATGGATATTTTATAAGAAGAAAAAGTAACTCTTTAAGTGTGAGTCTTTGGATTGAGTATGCTGATCTTTATTAAATAAAATAATTATGATATTAGCAAAACTTGAATATTTATTGTATGTTGCATTTTTCAGATATTTAATTTTTTTATACTTTATTAATACAAGAATGAAGGAAGTTTCTTTAAAAGAAAATAAACTAAACACACTTATTATTCGTAAATCATTTAGATATTATTAAAAATAGAAATTTTAAGCAATTATTATTTATTCATATTGATTCATAAATATTTTTTCAAAGTTTTCAATTAATATTTTCAGTCATCTCATTCAAGAATAAAACTAGAATACCATGACAAACATCCAAATATTTTTGATAAAAAAAGAGTAAAATAAAAATGAGAATATTAATTGAACATATTTTAATTTTCATAAAAAAAAGAAAATTTCACAAAAAAATTTATTGATTTATTAAATTAAAATTACTGAGCCATTTATATAAACTTTACTGTAAGGAATAAAATAATACTATCAAAAAATATTAAATAGATTTATAGTAAATTATCAAAATTTAATCTCAAAAATAAGAATAATTAAAATCAAATTTATGGCTTTGTTAAATAAGCTTAAGGTTGACTGCTTCATAATTCGGTGAAATTTATAAATAGAGAGTAACCAACAACTCATTCATCTTTCATAGTTTATAATTAATAAATTAAACTCAATTAGCTCTCAGACAGCGTTTAATTACCTCTTATTTACAATAAAGATGCAAAATCTAATGGAATTCAATACTTCTAACTATTAAAAACTGATACTTTTGTTATTTTAAACTGTACTATTCTTGTTGCTAAAAAGTACACAAATCTTTGCTCAAGACATGCTTTAGTTCGTGGAAAGCTTATTACAAGTCGAGCTTTCTAAAACAGCTACGCTTTTGGCTTGGATGCCCCTAAGCATTCTTTCTTATAACAGGAATAAAATTTTGAATTTGAGTCTTTGGATTGAGCAAGCTGAGCTTTATAATATATAATTATAATTAATTTTAATTTGCTTTTGATGAAATTTGCTAATCTAAAGCATTTATTGTGTTTATTATTTTCATGGTATTTAATTTTTTTAGTTTTTAACACCAAAAATGATGAAAGAACTTCGTTGACTAGTTAATAAATTATTCAAATTTTATTTAAAATAAATCTAAAAACAATTTTTATTTATATTGAAGCATGTACTTTTTGCTCAAAGTTTTCAATAAATTGCTTTCTTTGCTAAGTTAAAAATATTAAATTTTCAATTACCTGATTAAAAAATTAAAGCTAAAATATATTGATACAAATAGAGAAAAATAAAATGAGAATTACGATATTGAATTTAATTTTACATAATGATTTAATTCATTTCATATTCATAAATAAATAAATAAAAAATATTTTATATATATTCTCAATAAAAATTATTATTTTATTTTTATTAAGATGTAAAATAAATTAAAATTAAATAATTTAAATTATTATCTTTAATTATTAATGCCTGACAGTATGTACACCATAAGTCAAAAATAATTCTTAACTTTATCTTTCATCATCAACTATCAATATTAATTCAATTAAGCTGATAATTCTTTAACTTTCATATCTAAAAAAGCCACCATAACTTACCATCTATACGGTAGTAATAAATATTTTTGCATTTTTATTACTAATTTAAATTTGAATCCTTTTTTAAAAATAATTAAATTAGAATTATAATTAATTAGTAATTTTAAACAACTAATTAAAAAAATAGGATATGTTTTTATTAGAATTTTTAATTTAATTATGTTAAAAAAACTTGAGTACATAAGAATTTATAAAAGGGAAAAAATACATACAGAATTTTTGGTTAATTCTTGCTAAATTTTCAGGTATTGTAAATCTTACTACATATCCATCGATTTCTAAATGTATAAAGGTCCACAATAAAATTATTTGAACATTTATCAAGCTTGAGAAAATTATTTTTTTATTAAAAAATTTTTTTTATTTTTAGATAATACAATAAAAAAATTTAATAATAATGAATAATGATAACATTTTCTTAGGTGTGTATTTAATTATATTTTAGAAACCCTTTATCAATTATTTAATGAAAATAAATAAAATACTACAAATCTTAGTTTGTTGTATACCTTTTTGAAAAATAATACTATTTAAATGCTTAGATAAATAAAATTTGGAAAAATATTTTATATTAATATTATTTGTCAAAACTATTGTTTGTTTGATACTATTTATTTTTTAATACCAGACAAAATATAAATTTATATAATTTCAGCAGAAAAATTATCAGCCTAATAACTATCAAAACTAATCAGTTTTTGTCTATTTTAATAAAAATTATAATCTATCTATTTATCTAATTTTACTTATCAGAAAATGATGCTTGATACAATTTATAAATTTATTATTGTTTAAAATTAAATCCTATGATAGCTGCTTTGTTAGATGATGTTAAATTATAGAGATAATTCTACTTTAATAACAAATTCTTTTATTAGTTAATAAATATATTAATTATTTCTTTGTTTTAATTTTAAAAATAATAAATATCACTTTAAAAGCAATTTTTTTAAAGTTTATTTTTTTACAAATTCAGTAAGTTAGAATAAAATCATTATTTTTTCTCTTTATGATTTATTTAATGCTAGAAAATGATTTAATATGAAAGAATAAAACTATTAATTTATGAAATATACAAAAACTTTTAAAAGTGAAAACAGGTATGGATAAAATTATTCAAAAAGATACTCACCAATATATTTTGGTGTAAATTTAAAAATATTATTTCTATTTTCTATATAATTAAATCCTCGGCTTTTAGTTCTGAAACCAAAGTATCTAATTTATAATGAAGATAAATTAATTTTCTTAAGATAAATTTTTCCTACTCTGCTTTAAAATGATAAATATTTTCTTATTTATTCAATTATAGAACTTTTATTTTATATTATCATTATAATGAGGGGGGAGGGGAGACTCTCACAGGGGAGTATTTATTTTTTAATGGAGCTTCAAAAATAGCCCCTCTAATTTCTTTCAAACATTTTTTATTCCCACTAAGACTCCAAACCCCCTACTCCGAATTATAATTAAGTCAATATATTTTAGTTCCGAGACCAAAATGCTTAACTTTTTTTACATATGTTTGTGCAAATTTAATACTTGCTTTATTCTCATTACAATTAAATCCACAATTTTTAGTTGTAATAAAAACCAAAATATAAAGTTTTTGAAAATTTTTCTGATGATAATTAGTGCCTCTCTGTTTTAAAAAATTAAATACCTTATTATTAATCTTATTCTTATATTTTTGTTTAAAACTAAGCAAAATATATTTATTTTATAAGGAAAAACAAATTAAAAAAAAAAAAATAAAGATGAAGATTCTTATCTCTTTTGCTGTTTTGTTAGCTATTGCTTCTTGCTAAGTCTATATTATGAATGTTGGCAATTAATGCTCATAATAGGGATGCCCATAAAGCATTTTTTTGAAATACGCTAATTCGTTTATATGCCCTGATTCTGGAAAAAACTCTGCAATATTATTTACAAATGATGGTGTTAATTATATTATAAAATTCCCCTACAACTTTATTGCTCTAAATCTTTAAAAAATCGATGATCCAAGTTCTAATGGAATCCAATACATTTCAAAAATGTAAACTTCAGATAGTTTTGTCATTTTTAATTGCACTATTCCAGCTGCTCAATAATACACAGATCTTTGCTCAAATCATGATTTTGTTGGTGGAAAGATGAGTTCTAATGGTATTTTCTTTAAATAATGTGCTTTTAGTATGGATATCTTATAAGAAGAAAAAGTAACTCTTTGAGTTTGAATCTTTGGATTGATTATGCTGATCTTTATATATAAAATAATTATAAAAATTTATAACTTGTTATAAATGATATTAGCAAAAGTAAACCATTTATTTTATGTTGCATTTTTTGAATATTTAATTTTTTTACTTTGTTAATACCAAAATAAAGGATTTAAATGTAAAGAAATTAAACTAAACACAATTATTTTTCATAAATGATTTATATAATTAAAAATATAAACTATAAAAAACTATTATTTATTCATATTGTTGCATTTTATTTTTTTTTCAAAGTTTTCAATTAATTGCTTTATTTATTTTTATACTTTAAAAAAGTTTTATTCTCAATCATCTCATTCAAAAATAAAACTAGCATACCATCACAAACATCTAAATAATTTTGATAAAAATGGAGTAAAATAAAAATCAGAATTTAATAGCGAATTGAATTAAAAAGCATTATAATATATAGAAAAAAGTGCCTTCTGTCTCCAGAAAAAAATTAAAAAAATATTTTATTTTTCCAGCCCTAAAATACTCATAAATCATCAAAAATTTGTATTATTCTAGCGAGTTCGCATTCTCCTTATCCTTTATATCTATTCTCTAGTTCCTGCTAAACTTTTAAGTACACATTTTAAATAGAAATATTATGATTTAATAATGAATTTTACACTAGCTTTTTTGTAATTTCTCTTACTATAAGCAAATTTATAAATTCATATAATTTATCTGCTCTTTTTATCAACTTATAATAAACTAAATTTTGATAAATTGCTATTCAATATTTTTGAAAGAAAAAAAATAAATGATATAATAGATTAAATATTATAAAAAGTTAGAAGAAGTAGTTATTTGTATTTTTATCAATTTACTTTAAATTTATTTTTACTAATATAAAAAGATTTTAAACTCTTCACTTTAATCTCATGAGGTTCTCCATATTGATCTGAGGTATATTTAATTTATAATTATAATTATTATTAATATTTTCTATATATTTTAAGTTCAGTTTATTTAAAATATTATTTTTCTAATAGAAATTATCACCTATATTCATAAATTTTATTTATAAAAATTTTATTTTAATTTTCACTTTAAATTCGTTATCCATTTTTTATTATTTGTTATTTTTTATTCATTTTTTCCTTAAAAAACTTTTATTTGATAAAAAAAGTTTATTTGTTTTGTTTTGCATTGTGATATTTTTATTTATGAAATTGAATTTAAAACAATTAATCTCTTTTAATTTGTTTATTAACTTTTTATTAGATTTTATTATTTTTTACTTTTTTTTTTGTTGTATTTGTATTTTTTCTTCCTATATCTTTCTTAATTTCACTTTTTTTTATTTCAACATTTTTTTTTTATTATTAATTAATTCATTTCTTATTATCTCTTATTTTATTCTTTTTCTTTCTAAATAACTTATTTATTATATATTTTCTTCTATATAAAAAAGTTACAAATAAATTGGTCACTAAGGTTCACTATTATTAAATTCTTCTTTAGCAAATTGCACTAATCTCACAAATTTGACACTTGATCTTCGGTAAAAAAGTTTAATTGTTTTGGATTGTGATATTTCTATTTATAAAAATAATTTAAAAACAATATAGTTACTTTAATTGGTTTATTAGCTTTTTATTAGATTTATTTATGTTTTCATTTTTATTGTACTTGTGTTTTTTTTCTTCTATCTTTGTTAATTTCACTCATTTTTTTAATATCAACATTTACTTTTATTATTTATTAATTAATTTCTTATTATTTCATATTTCAATATTTAAAAAGTTACAATTAAATTGGTGATTAAAGTGCATCAGGCTTAGGTTCTGCTTTAGCAAATTGCACTAATCTCTCAAATTTGACACTTAATCTTGGGTAAAAACAGTTAATTTTTTTGGATTGTGATATTTCTATTTACAAAAATGAATTTAAAACATTTAAACTCTTTTAATTTGTTAATTAACTTTTTTTAGATTTATTTTTTTTTTTCTTTTTTATTTTACTTGAGTTTTTTTTTCTCCTATCTTTCTTAATTTCACTCATTTTTTATTTTCAACATTTACTTTTATTATTTATTAATTCATTTCATATTATTTCATATTTTTTCCTTCTAAATAACTTATTAATTAAATATTTGTTCTTTTATATTTAAAAAGTTACAATTAAATTAGTAATTAAGGTACATTAAACATAGGTTCTGCTTTAGCAAATTGCACTAATCTCTCAAATTTAACACTTTTTCTAGTGTAAAATTTCTTTATTAGCTTTTTATTAGATTTATTTATGTTTTTCTTTTTTATTGTACTTGTGTTTTTTTTTTTCTTTTAACTTTCTTAATTTTTCTCATTTTTTTATTTTCAATATTTGATTTTATAATTAATTAATTAATAATTCATTTCATATTTTTTCTTGATTTTTTCCTTCTAAATAACTAATAATAACATATTTTTTCTTCAATATTTAAAAAGTGGAAATAAATTTGATTATTAAGGTTTATCAGGCTTAGGTTCTGCTTTAGCAAATTGCACTAATCTCTCAAATTTGACACTTAATCTTGCGTAAAAATATGTTTATTTGATTTGGATTGTGATATTTCTATTTACAAAAATGAATTTAAAACAATAAAGCTCATTTAATTAGTTTATTAGATTTATTTTTCTTTTTCAATTTCATTGTACTTGTGTTTTTTTTCTTCTATCTTTCTTAATTTAACTCATTCTTCACTTTCAACATTTTCTTTTATTATTTATTTATTTATTTATTTATTTATTCATTTCTTACTATTTCCTATTATCTCTTCATTTTTTCCTTCTAAATAACTTATTAATTATATATTTTTATTCAATATTTAAAAAGTTAACTTTAAATTGGTAGCTAAGGTGCATTAGGCTTAGGTTCTGCTTTAGCAAATTGCACTAATCTCTCAAATTTGACACTTGATCTTAGGTAAAAAGAGTTTTTTTTTTTGGATTGTGATATTTGTTTATAAAAATGAATTTAAAACAATGTAACTCTCATTATTTATTTATTAGCTTTTTATTATATTTATTTTTTTTTTCTTTTTGATCTTGCTTATATTTTCTTAATTTAACTCATTTTTAATTTTCAAAATTTGCTTTTATTATTTATTTATTAATTCCTTCATTTGTTATTATTTCATATTTTTTCTTCCTTTTTGCCTTCTAAATAACTTATTAATTATATATAGTACCCTAAGGTACTTCCTTTTTCAAGTTTACATACACGAATAATAACAAGAAATATTTTTTAGTAGTTTTAATTTAAACTAAATTAAAAAATGACTCATAATTGGTTTCCTTTGTCTTTTGCTATCGATTATTTTGCCCTTTTCTCTATCCAAATTGTCTCTTTCTCTACCTATTCTTTATTTTAAAATTTTATTTAAGATAAAAATTTATGTTCTTTAAGATTTGATTTCTAAACTAAGATTTGATTATTTTTCGATGTAACTTAGCATGGCAGATATTACTGCTTGTTTTATTTTGAATATAGGGCTTTCTTTAGGATCTTTTGATTTTTTATTTTTTGTAGTTTTAATTTTTTTTTTCTCCTAGTTTTGGTTTTTGGTGTTTATTTATTTATTTTTTTTAATTGTATATATTTTTTTCAATATTTAAAAAGAGGAAATTAAATTGGTGATGTAGGTGCATCAGGTTTAGGTTCTGCTATAGCAAATTGCACTAATCTCTCAAATTTGACACTTCATCTTGGGTATAAACAGTTTATTTGCTTTGGGTTGTGATATTTCTATTTTTAAAAATGAATTTAAAACAATTAAACTAATTTAATTTATTTATTAGCTTTATGAGATTTATTTTTCTTTTTTTTTAATTGTGCTTGTGTTTTTTTCTTATTTCTTACTTAATTTCACTCATTTTTTTATTTTCAATATTAGTTTTATTGTTTATTAATTTATTTCTTATTATTTCATATTTTAAATCATTTTTTCCTTCTAAATAACTTATTTGTTTTATATTTTTTCATCAATATATAAAAAGTGGAAATTAAATTGGCCATTCAGGCGCATCAGGCTTAGGTTCTGCTTTAGCAAATTGTACTAATCTCTCAAATTTGACACTTTAACTTGGGTAAAAACAGTTTATTTGTTTTGGATGGTGATATTTTATTTATAAAAATGAATTTTAAACAAATGAGCTCTTATAATTGTTTATTAGCTTTTTATTAGATTTATTTTTTTTATTTTATTTTATTGTATTTGTGTTTTTATTTGTTTTATCTTTCTTAATTTCGCATTTTATTATTTTCAACATTTGCTTTTATTATTTATTATTAATAATTATATTCTTAGTATTTCATATTATTTCATCATTTTTTTCTTCCAAATAGCTAATAATTATTAATTTTTTTCCACTATATTTAAAAAGTTACAATTAAATTGGTGATTAAGGTATATTAGGCTTAGGTTTTGCTTTAAAAAATTGCACTAATCTCTCAAATTTGACACTTGATCTTTGGTAAAAACAGTTTATTTGTTTAGGAATGTTTTTTATCTATTTATTAAAATGAATTTAAAACAATTGAACTCTTTAAATTTGTTTATTAGTTTTTATTCATTTATTTTTCTTTTTTTTTTTTGATTGTGTTTTTTTAGTTTTATCTTTCTTGATTTCACTCATTTTTTTATTTTCAATATTTACTTTTATTATTTATTAATTCTTTTCTTATTATTTCATATTTTTTATTGATTTTTTCCTTCTAAATAACTTTTTAATTAATTATTTTTTCTTCAATATTTAAAAAGTTACAATTAAATTGGTCACTAAGGTGCATCAGGATTAGGTTCTGCTTTAGCAAAATGCACTATTCTCTCAAATTTGATACTTGAACTTGAGTAAACATTTTTTTATTAGCTTTTTATTAGATTTATTGATGTTTTTCTTTTTTATTGTACATGTGTTTTTTCTTCTTCTATCTTTCTTAATTTCGCTCATTTTTTTTATTTTCAACATTAACTTTTATTATTTATTATTTATTAATTTATTTCCTATTATTTCATATTTTTTCTTTGTTTTTTCCTTCTATATAACTTATTAATTATATATTTTTTCTTCAATATTTAAAAAGTTACAATTAAATTGGTCATCAAGGTGCATCAGGCTTAAGTTCAGCTTTAGCAAATTGCACTGATCTCTAAAATTTGACACTTAATCTTGGGTAAAAACAGCTTATTTGTTTTGTGTTATGATATTTCTATTTATAAAAATGAATTTAAAACAATACAGCTCATTTAATTTGATTATTAGTTTTTTATTTTTTCTTTCTTATTCTGCTAATTCTATTTTTATTTATTAATTTTAAATATAATTTTTAATTAAAACTTTTTATTCTATTTAATTTTTTAGTATTTTAATTTAATATAATATTATATAAAAGTAATAACAAAATCAATAAATCATAATAATTGAAAATAAAAAGAAAGTGCTATAAATTAAAAAGATTAGTTGTCTTTATAATAGATTTCTTATGTTGATAGGCAAGTAATGAAAAAGGATGAATAAATATAAAATATTTGAATAATAGAAACTAATATCTTTTATTATATAATATTTTGTAATAAGATAATTTAACCTAAAATATAGATAGATAAATTTATTATTATTTTTATATTGATGGATATCATATTTTGGTAGGTTTATAGACTCAATTTTCACCAAAAATAATCAAAGCTTTTAATTTTAAATATTATCCTCTATAATATTAAGTAATCTGAGGGACTATAAATTTCAATAAAAATCACTTATTTATTTACCCTTAAAATTACAAATATCAACTTCTTAGTTTCTTATGGTTCTAAATATAGGCTCCACCCCCTTAATCTTAACTAATTTAATTTAGTTTCTTTTTTTTGAAATAAAAATGATTTAAATTATAGCGAATTTGACATATTTTAATAAATTGAAAATAGAAGTGAGTACTTGAAAAAACTGACCAATAGTAAATATTAATAAACAAAATTATATCAGAAATTTAAGAATTTTTAAATTTAAAAATTTTCAATTTTATAAAATTAGGTTATTAATTTTTTTTGTTTTGTTTATAAAGTAAGATTTGTTATCAAGAAACATTTAAAATCAATTTCAGGTAAAATTCAAAGATATATTAAAAGTATTTTTTACTTAATTTAGTTTTTCAAATATTTTATATAAATTTTTAATATTTTAGGATTTAAACCCTCTTTTTTTTGCCAGATATTATAGTAGTTCATGCATTTTTTTAGCTAAGCTAAAATATTTATTTAAAGTTATTTTATCCAGTTTAAAGAGCCATTTCCTTGAAAATACTTTTTTCCTGCTAGAGAAGATCGTAAGGATTTCCTTATTCAGCAACAGTACCATTTTCTAAGACAAAAATTTTGTCGTAATCAGCAATAGTATTCAATCTATGAGCTATTGTAATCACAGTGGAGTTTTTAAATCTTTCTCTAATTTTTTGCTAGATTAATTTATCAGTTTGTTAATCACAGTTTGCAGTTGCTTCGTCTAAAAGGATCACTTTGCTTTACCTCAAAATAGCCCTTCCTAAACATATCAATTACTTTTCTCCACTACTAAATAGTTCATTAGCATTAGACATGTCTGTAAGTAAACCTTCTTTGAGTTTCTATATCTTCTCTTTTTATTTTAGTTATAAGGATAAATTTATTACTTTAAATTAAAATATTTTTGTTTATCAGCTATAAATAGTAGTTATTTTATTTAGATGAATTTTTTTTACCTGAAAGATTAATTTCTTTTAAAATTTAATTGATTTCTGCATCAGTGTATTCATCTAATGGGTCTAAATTTCTGCGAATTGATCCAGCAAACACAAATGGCGTTTGAGGAATAATACTAATTCCTGATCTAATTGTGTGTATTCCTAACTCTTTTAGATTAAACCCATCAATTTTGATAAATCCTTATTCTTCAATTTTATCATGTTTTTCTTCAATTTCAGTCATCCTATATAGTGCTTATATTATTGAAGATTTTCCAGCTCCAGTTCTACCTACAAATCCAACTTTTTCTCCTGCATTAATTTTAAAAGACAACCCATTTAAGACATAGCTAAGCTCTTTTCTATATTTCATTTTAACATTCTAAAATTCGATATCTCCTTTCACTGGAAAATTATAAATTATTTTTTAATTGTCTGTTTATGTAGTATCTTATTTATTTTAGATAAAAATTTTGTCATTTTCACATCTCAGATCAGGCTCTTAAACAATGTCTATCATATTCATAGCTCTTTAAGCACTAGACATTGATATATCAGTATCTATCATCATCCTATTTTTAAAATTTAGATATTTACTTAAAATTTATTTTTAAAAAAACTCAAACCTCAATCCAATCTGCATAGCATCACTAATACCTATAAAAAACAATATAGCTTATCCTAAAGAGCTTGAATCTTTGTTTATTAGCATAATCATAAATATTCCTATATTAGAAAATAATACTGTAGCCAAATGAATATAAAACGAAAAAGCTCTTTAGTTGAAATTAAAAGTAAGAGCTGCCTTTAAATAATTGTGTAGAAGAACTGAGAAATTTTCTACAAATATTTTTTGCTTTTTGAAAGATCTGATTGGAAGGGCTCCTTAAATAGTTTAGTTAAAGCACGTGAATATAGGTGAGCGGTGTGTAAGATCTAGCTACTTTGATTACTAAAGTGGATTTTTAGAAAAATTAACAAAAAGCCAAATTAAAATCGTTTAAATAAACACAACTATTAAAAAATAAGGATTTATCATCAAAATCGTAAATATAACTACAGATATTCTAGAAAATATTTCTAAAGAACTGATCATTGTTCTTGTTATTAATTAATCTATTACTCCTATTTAATAAGTAAATTTAATTATTAGTTAAAAAATGTTAAATTAATTAATTAAATTTCTTCTCTTTATAAAACTAAAAAAAAAATTTTTTTGTTTTGAAAATTTTTTCATAAAAATGATGGCATTTTTCTTTATTTCTTTTGAAAATTTTTATATTATGTAAAAATTAAGATTAGAATTGTTTAAATAATATAGGATGTGTTGATTTGAAGGAAAAATTTGTTAATTTTTGTTGATTATGAAAAAGTAAATTCCATTTACTAAATTTAAAATACTCTAAATAGAGGGTGACATAAAAAAAAATTTTTTTTTAATTGTAATTATTGAGAAACTTCAATATTTAAACAGAAATTAAAATTAAATAAAATATTTTTTTAATTTTAATGTTTAAATAACAATAATAATAAAAAATATACCTAAATCAGAAGAAAATTTATTTAATGTTCTACCAGAGGGAGTTACATCAAAAAATAAAACAGCAGCTCTAACTAATGATTTAATCATATTTTAGTGAATATTTTTGTTGCTGCTATTAACAATCAAGGTAAACAGTAATAATTTACTCAAATAATTAGCAAAGAATATTAAGGTTAAATAACCCAAATAGTAAAGCATTTCCAATAAATCATCTTCGTTTTCATTGTAGTTTGATATTGTTTTTGTATAAATCACATAAACAATATCGCATGAAATAAATAAAGCGAGCGCTAAAATAATTAACCATTTAAATGAAGAATATCCAAAATACTTCTAATAAGTTTTCAAGTTTACTGTCATATTCTCATCTTATTCTTTTGTAAAAACATTCTAAATTTTATTATTTTAAATTATATTATTTCTAATTTTTTCTTTTTCTTAGTCATTTTTAAAGTCTTATTAACAATTTTATTCTTCTTATTATCTATTTTCTTGCATTATTTGTTTTATTTATTAATTAGATTCTGTTGATGTTTCTAAATCATTTGAGCATAAGCAACTATTAATCTCTTCTGAATTAGCTTATATCTCTTCATAAGTTCCTTACTCAACTATTAGACCTTCCTTTATTATCAAAACCTTGTCAGCTTTTTAAGCAAAGTCAAGATGATGAGTTACCATCAGAACTGTTTTTCCTTTCAGCATTTTCAAAATAGCCTATTCAATTATTTACTTAGCTACCTAATTAAATTAAAATAATTTTTTATGTAAATAAGAAGGAAAATAAATTTATCTTCATAAAAAATAATTATTTTCCAAAAAAAATAGATATTTTTTATAAAATTTAATTGATTTAACCTTAGAATCAACAGCAGATAGAGGATCATCTAATAGAAATATGTCTGATTAAGAATAAATAGCACGTGCTAATGAGATACGAGCTTTCTGTCCACCACTTAAATTGCTTCCTCTTTCTCCTATTTAAGTCAAGTCTTAGTTTATAAATAATTAGATATCCTAGTTAAGACCACAAGCTTCCAAAACTTACTGATAGAGATCTTCATCATATTCAGACCCAAAAATAATATTTTCTTTAATTGAACTGCTGAAAATATAAGGTTCTTGCTCTACGTAGGCTAACTTGCCATTGAAGCTAAAGTTTCCCTTAAAATAAGGGATTTCTTAGAGAATACAGCTCAGAAGCGATGATTTTCCACTTCCAATCCTTCCGATTATTGCCACTAAGTCTCCATTTTGAATATCAAGATTTATATTTTTTAAAACAGGAGTTTATAAATTCCAATAAGCGCTGAAATCTTTCATAGATATTTTTCCTCTTGGCAATGATTTATCTAAGATTAATGGTTCTAATTTAGTTTTAAAATATTTTTTTTTAATTTTTATTAAATTAATTTAAACATATTATAAATTTATTTGTTTAGAAAAAGATAAGTTACATTCAGTTGAAATATCAGGTATTTTTGAAATAGACTACTCTTGTATGGTTAGCACAGCAAATATTCTTTCAATAATTACTTTGAACTCTAATAAGCCAGTAATTCCACTGCTAATATAAGTTGCGAGATCAAATTTAACAAAAGAGAATAGATTCATAACAGAAATCATTTATGGAACTGTTAAAACTGAAGGATCTCCAAAATAATATGTACTCAAAAATGATATCAAGCAGGCAAGCAAATCAACAATATAAGCAAAAGTTTATTGGAATGAGTATATGATTTGAATAATTAATATTTTACTTATTTCATTTTCTCTTACTATTCGCACAAATTTTATAAAGGCCTCTTCCCATGCATACATTTTTATCAACCTAATCCCTTCTATTAACTCATTAGTAAGTTTTATTCTTTAGTCTACTAATTAAGTCTTCAGAAAGAAGAATCTTTAGTTCAACTTTGCAAAAATGCTTTAAATAATTGGATAAAAAAGGATAAAGCAAAAACCAAGTAATGAATAGAAGCCTAATCTATTATATTATAAAAATTTTCAAATAGTTTTACTAAAAAACTGTTATTAAAATGAAAAGTGAAAATAAAATATTAATTGGATTTCCTCTTAAATTTATGTTTTATAAATATATTTCTTAATTTGAGATAAACAATAAAAATTATTTCTGCAATTTAATAAATAATTTATTACCTTTAGTACAAAAAAATAACTATCACAGTAAGATCGATAAAAACTGTGATTACTTTTATCATACACAATCCTTTATTATCTAAAGTATTTAGATCATTTGAAACTAGATTAATCAATTTGCCTACATTAGCTTATTTCAGAGAAAAAGCAGAAAGAGTAGTTATCTTTTGATACAATATTTTCATTAAAGTGGCCTTGAAAACATGGAAGAAATTGTAAAAGAATCTTTATATATTGTGTTGTAAAATAAGCGCACATAACTGAATGATGGTTAATAGAAGGGCTAGAGAGAATTTTATTGAATTGCTTTTATTTTCTTAAA